TTAAAATAAGGTAGCTTCTCGTACGCGCGTGTAACGTAATATGTAATTCGTAATGGCCATTGTGGTCAAGGTAGTAGATGCATGCTTAGAAGTAAAAACCACCACGTAGAAGTAGACCACCACGTAGAAGTAAACCACGTTCATACAAGTAAACATGTAAACGTACAAGTAACCCACCATACAAGGTGATAGTTCGAATCTAAGGTTAAGCAAATAACTCTTTTTTTTTTTTTCAATTCAACTTAGCTACTGCTACTGCTATTACTATTACCTTACTGCAGCCAAACCGCAACCTAATGGTATATATTACCTAAACGTCACATGATTTAAGCGTTTGAAAAATTTTCAAACGTTTGAGAATGTAAACGTTTATATATATATGCGTTTATTTTTTTCGTACTGTAATGCAACGGTCATAACACGGTTTACTGGGACCGTTAGATGCTGGTATGGTATCAAAGTTAGGAGCAGCCCTGGAGGTTTACACTGTCTGGCTTCTCTTGCACGTAAGACCCATACAAAGTACTCGTAAGTACACAGTATCCAGAAACCCCGTTCCACCTTTAATTGCTGCAGGTGTTAATCTGACCATCTGATAGGGCTTTTCGCTTTTTGCCCCTTCGGCCCCCTTCTTGAATCCCCTGTCATCATCACTTCAACAAAAAAAAAGATTGAAATACAGCAGATCGACACCTGAACAAGATAATTTCTTATTGACTGGACTGCTCTGATTCTGCAGGGAACCTCGTTTGCTGTCACGATATTATCGTGCACATACACTCTCCTTCTTTTTTTCTTTCCTCTTTAAACTCTTTCTCATAGTTGGATTGAGTTTATCCTATTACTTATTATTCACAGTTTATATTGTTAATCTCGGTTGATCGCTTAACTTCGACATAGTTTATATCATAGTTATATAAACGGAGGTTCCTTTGTACTCCGTGGTGCATTTTAGATATCACCACAACCTCTCTGTGAACCACCCCACATTCCCGTTGTCTACTTCGAGGCGGCCCCCAAGGAAATATTCCTTCCTCGGCAACACGACGCGTAAAGAGGAAGAGACAAAAAAGACAATTATTTCCAATTCCTTGAACCCCTGCCCCACCAATCAATTCCCCGACGAACGGTGTCAAGACTGTGGATTTTGCCTGTCACAGTTTTACTCGTTTCTGGTCGCAGCGAATTTAGTCGAATATTAGTACTTTTCAAAAAGCCGTACGAGATCACCATAATTCGATAACTATGTCGGTTGGAGTCGAGCAGCTAGTCGACCCATCGTCCGACTATGTGTTTGAGGAAGAGATTCGTACTCCTTCTATCGCACCGTCCCTGACGTATTCTGAAGACTCTGAAGATCAAGATGAACCCCAGGCACCAGAGGAAACTTCTCGAAGGCGACGTGCTTCTACAAGGCTAATTGCACAGAGCCCAGCAGACGTGCAGAGGATTACGGGAGAATCTACGCAGCAACTACTCAACCGATGCTGTGGTGGTGGATGCTGTATGAACGCACAGAAGAAAGAGCAAGGAGTCGAATATGAACGAGTTCCACTACCCGACAATGACGCTTTCCGATCTCTAGGCCTAAAGATCGATGAGATACCTACTACCCTAACTAAGGTTGCGGACATGCCTGAGCAGGTCACTTTCCTTCAGTCCATTAGACGTGTCTCGAATACCCCGTCGCCAACTGACTCGGCTGTGTCTTTCGGAAGTCAAGATAGCTCTCCCACCCTTGAGACTAAACTCCAAAACCTTAGCCTCGAGAACCTCGATACATCCATCCAACCTCCTTCTTTCGTCCAGCCTCATCATCCTTTCAATGTCTTCCCTGCGAAAATCCACAGTACCCGTGAACTGACGCGCCCCGGAGCTGAGAAGCGGACGTATCACTTTGATCTTGATATTACCGACTATCCCCATGGAGAAGGCGTCGACTTCAAGGTTGGGGGTGCCATTGGCGTCTCTGCTCCGAACGATACAGCTGCCGTGGACCAGGTCTTCGACTTGCTTTTGGTTCCGCGTTACTTGCGGGATAAGCCTGTTCTACTACGCACTACCCGTGGCCGATGGCCCACTGTTTGGGGCGAAGACAAGGCTCGCGAGCTAGTTACCACCCGACGGGATTTACTGACATGGTGTTCCGATATCCAATCTTACCCGCCCACCAAGTCGCTGCTGCGAGTTCTAGCTGAACACGCTCTCGACCCCAACGAGAAGAAGATACTCATGTTCCTCTGTTCTAGCCAGGGGCAGGGCGTTTTTTGCGACTTCCGCACTGGCCCTCACATCTCTCTTAGCCAGCTCTTGAGTGCTTTCCCCTCCGCTAAGCCACCTCTAGATTTGTTGTTCTCGGTACTCCAACAACTGATGCCACGGTTTTACTCCCTTTCCAACGACCCACACGAGTCCTACGGAATCAGGGATGGAAAGCAACACCGCCTTATTGAAATAGCTGTCACGGTTCAAGAGACTCCTGACTGGCGAGCGGGTACTCGAACTGGCGTTGGTTCTGGTTTCTTCGAACGTCAATGTCGGAAATTTTTAGAGCTCCAACGTGCGGGTGACAGCGCTCCTCAGCTATATATCCCGATGTTCAAGGGGCTTATGGCGAACCCGTTAGCCAAGGAATTTGTGTCAGATGGGCCGATGCTCCTTATTGGGGCTGGCGTCGGCATTGCACCATTCCGTGGTTTTGTCCAGCACCGGTTGAAGAATGCCAACTGTGCGAACAAGGTATGGGTCCTGCAGGGAGTCCGAGATGCCCTTGTGGATGAGCTATACGGTGGAGAATGGGGTGTTCACGAGGAAAGAGTGAAGAAGGTTGTGCAGAGTCGACGCGGCGAGAGCCGTTATGTCCAAGACGAGGTCAGCCATCAAGCAGACCTTGTATGGTCGATCATCAACTCGGTTGACGGACGCGTCTTCGTTTGCGGCAGCTCCAAGGGCATGGGAGAAGGTGTCGAAGAGGCGCTTATCAAGGTGGCTGTGAAGAAGGGCAACTTGAAATATGAGGAGGCCAAGAAATTCTGGGACTTAAAGAGAGAAGTCGGACAATACATCACTGAGACATGGTAACGACAGTGTTCCGCTGTCTTCCAACTGTCTAGACTGGGAGGGTGGACCTATAATGGGGATAGACATATGGTCACTCGGCTGGTCTCATAAAATTCGGGGGACTACAAAAGTCTGTTTTTATTATTCATAGCATGCGGCGTTATAAAATGCCTAGAGGCTGGGCGTTTGCGCAAGCTAGGCAGGGCAGGGCAAGGCAGGTCAGGTTAGGTTAGGTCAGGTTCGATTTACAGAGGGAGGGTATTTCTTTTTCAAGTTGGCGGCTTGGAAGCCTGCATGAGAGGATGCCAGGACCTCCGTGTGTACCTAAGATAAAAGCTGCAAGGCAATGCGATGCTTTACGCGATGCATTACATGATGCCTTTTCTGCCAATGAAGGGTGAAACTGTACATAAAGTTATATCGAGTACATAGATGAGTAAATCACAATATCAACCAAGATCTAATGTGTAGTCCAAGAAGCGCTTGAATGCACTGTGGGTATTAGTAAGAAGCCTAGTATAAATAAATGCTTGTAATACCAGAAACGGGGGTCAGCTCGACGTGGGATAAGCTAGAGCCGAGGAAAAATTACCACATTCGGAATTAGTTATATATATCGAGCTCGTGCCGTAGGATTATACTATTAGGTACTTTGGGTAGTTACCTTAGTTATACTATTGTTATAGTTTTTAGTCAGGCTGCGATAAGGCGTCTACGGAAAAGCCGCGTGATATGCTATGCGACAGAAATAAGGTTATGAAGCGATAGTTCGGCTACTTTTTATTAATATAAGGGTATTTGGTCACAATGTCTTGTAGCCGCGGTTAAATTTGCCGCAAAAGTAAAGTAACGGGCCGTATTGCAGAAAATATATTCCCTTCTGTACGCCAATGCCGAATAGTATACCCATGTGAGAGTAGGACTGCCGCATCGATAGTGCTCCCAACCACAATACTTGCGGCTGTACTCGCCGCCGAGACGCCGATGAGCCCAGCAGAAATTAAGAATATATTACCTTAGCGACGTAACTAAAGTGGTGTAATGGCGATAAAACAAGATGAGTTGTACCCAACTAAGCGCCATATAGCCAATATTCTCATACGAAGTTGCGACGTCAAGCGATTGCCGAACGCGCAAAGGCGGCTAATAAAGCGATAATAGTCGACTTTAGATGAATCGCGGGGTAAAACCGCGTGGTGAGACGGCGCTTTTTGTTACAAGCACTTTATACGAAAGAGCCTCACTTTCTATAGACCACTTATAGTAGTTGCGTCTATACTAAGAAAAGAACGGAAGCAAATCAAGATCAGACAAGGAAAAAAAAAAAGTCAAGTTTAAAATGTGACCAACAAACCGGGCAGCGAATCAGACAAGCCGAGGATGACGAGATCCGTAGGATGCATGGATCAGTAGGGAAATAAATGGGCCATGCTTAATTCAAAAGGAGAAAAAAAGGGGTTTTGTTAGGAATGGATTTCAAATGGCTTGGAAATCAGACCAAGACCAGTGGAAGAGGATTATGAATAAATGTGTAAGCAGTTATAGTTCGGGTCCGGCGTTATAGCATGAGCGGGTAAGGACCCACTCCGCAGCCCCTACCGAAACCTGGCCTTGGTAAGGTAAGTTTTGAACTTCCTGCTTGACCTGCCTAGTTAAACGCTTCACTTACGGATTTTGCGGATACAGGAAGGTGTTGCAACTCGTAAGATAGACTACAACCATCTTTCATGTCTATGTACCTACTCCTACCACTTTTTAGGCTTTATATTCAAAAAATAGAAAGTGCCTAAGGTACATGTAAGTTGGGTCGGGTACATACATTCTTACATCATGTGCCTAGATCACTAAAGAGGTACCTCATGTATTGTAGGATATATACTCTGTAGGATATATGCTTTGTACTACCTACCCACTAGGTACTGATGCAGGCAACCCTTTCTTTTAAGAGTGAACGGCTTACCAAAAGAGCAATTACCCATATAGAAGTGGAAATAGCCAACTGTGATAGGGGCTTAGGTACATTACGTAGGCAACTTCCGAACAGCCACTCTTGCTGGTATGTACCTACCCCTCGGTGAATTTCGTGATAGGATTACTACCTTTAAGGTATCGTGTTGGCGGGGCATTCGACACATGCTAAGGAAGTAGGGATACATATTGGCGACATAGAGCGTAGCTTCTGGACACTTCCTTCCCCCATTGTTCATGCAGCCATTCACCCTTTAGTACATCCGTTAGTACGTCGATTAGCAGCATTAGCACGTTAGAACACGTTTAGAGCACACCTCGCACTTTCTGTTTCCGATCATTAGCATAGGCACTATCTCCATAAGATCATAAGACATACCTGGTTAAGAGGTACCTAAGGCAGGTACAATCCCTTACTACCATACATTAATACAATACATACCTAGGTATAAGTGGGAAGTTCTACCTCCCCTTTTCAAATAAATAAACCACGATGCGCCCGCAGATTGTCACCTCAGCTATCTTCTCCTTCTCCAGATTCAGCACCACCTCGGCCACCACCTCTAAAACATCTAGTCTAGCCCTTAAGACCCTCGCAGCAACTTGTCCGCAGAGAGCTTTATTTACCTCCCAGTGCCCACGTCCTCAGTTGTCACAACAGGCTAACAAGACCGCCGCCACCACCTACACGCCTTCAACTCGCTTCAGCACCACCACTAAAATGGCTACTCAAGTCAAGGCCGAGTCCTTCCTGGACCACCTCAAGAACCGCCGCACCTACTATGCCCTCTCCAAGGAGCTGCCCATCTCCAAGGAGCGCATCCAGGAGATCGTTAAGCAGAGCATCTACGAGGTCCCTTCCTCTTTCAACTCCCAGTCTAACCGTGTCGTCGTCCTCTTCGGCGCCGAGCACGACAAGCTATGGGATCTCACCAGCGAGATCCTCAAGACCATCGTCCCTGCTGACGCCTGGGAGAGCACCGCTCAGCGCATGAGCGGATTCAAGGCTGGTGCCGGAACCGTAGGTTTCTGTCCTCTTCCCCTAATAATCTCTAATACGTTAGCGCAACGAGCATGGCTAATAATACAAATAGGTCCTGTTCTTCGAGGACCAGGAGGTCGTCCACAAGATGCAGGCCCAGTTCTCGCTGTACAGCGACAAGTTCCCCATCTGGGCGCAGCAGTCCGACGCCATGGCCCAGTACGCGATCTGGACCGCCTTCACCGCCGAGGGTCTCGGCGCCAACCTCCAGCACTACAACCCTCTGATCGACGCGAAGGTCGCCAGCGAGTGGGGCATCCCCGACCACTGGCAGCTCAACGCCCAGCTCGTCTTTGGCGGCCGCGCCGGCGAGCCCGGCCCCAAGGACCAGGTCCCCATCGAGGAGCGTCTCAAGGTCTTCGGTGCTTAAACGCGATACTCCCCCAACCAACCAACTGTCCAACCCATACGCATATCGTATATATATGATATGTATCCCCTATATATATCCCCAAATCCAAAACCTATAACGGTGTTTGTGTACGTCGAGAGTTCGTTACGAAATATTTTTACTTCGGAAAGAAAAGAAAGAACTCATAGACACTGGCTATTGTGGATAGAGAGAGAGAGAAAGAGAGCCGGCGGTTTTGTTTCGAGTCCTTCGCCCGCTCACACCGAGTTCCCTTTAGGTAGACTACCTCTTTACAAAGCGTTCAGCACCGATTAGAATAAACACCTAAATTAGTAAAATCAACCAAAACGAAGACTTTTCGTAATTGTTCAGAGTTTTTCGAAGTGATTTTAAAAGGATATATGATAAAAAGATGCCTAACTAACCTAATATGAAATAAAGAGCGAATACCCACCTTCTAGAGTATATAGAGTGGAAAGTTGAGCAGCACATACCTAGTATCTCCCATAGAGAACACCTCTTTATATATAAAAATCACTCATGTCCATATCACCGCCTCGTAAAGAATCGCGGTAGAAGTTAGGATGTTGAAATTAAATTAGTTGCGTAAAATAATCCCTTTTAAGAGCTGCTGTCGTTAGCCTTGAACTCTATAAAGTGGGAGAAACGTTAAACTCGTAGACGCGAGGGAATAAGAAAACTGGGGTTGTCATTACATATACAACAACCTGCACGGGAATGCATCACGGTGTATCATCAACGACGATTTATTGGGTAAGTCAAGGCTTGAGCTGCATTTACGAAGCTGGGAGGTGAGGTACTAACTACTGCCTACGTTTTTCTAAGTAGATACCTCGATATGGAAAGGTTAGAGGTTCGAGGATGATTTGGGGCTTGACGAGTACCTTAGGAGGTAGGTATAGATAGGGAGGTATTTTGAAATATGAGACACCGTCTAATGAATAGCTATTAGTGATTCTATTTTTTTTTATAAAAAAAAAAAAAAAAGCTTTCAAGTCATATGTTTGCTTATATGAGCTGCCTTCTCGATGAATAAGGGTCATTTCCCTCCCTCTATGACTCACCTCCTTCCTCGAAAGGGGGTGCAACCCTTAAAGTTGCACCTGTTCCTTACTCCTGAACATCAAATTCGAGCTGATTATGCGGGTGTGGTAATACGGAATGCAACTAACTGTCCGGGTTATGTCTCACCATGCGGCGGACCCACAATATTATCACAAGAGGGCCCCGAGATTAGACGCAGTCCGGGGTCCGGTTGGAACACAAACAAGCCGGAGCGGGGGACCCGCAAAAGACGGCCCCACTTGGATAAGGAGAGCATTTTTGATCCGATCTGCTTGGTTCACACTTGCAAAATTATGTGTCGTGCCTTCTCGTTCACTCGTTCATGGAAGTTACATGAGTCGGTACAGTGCCTGTCAGGCAGGAATACTTCCCTCCTTTTGAGGGAGGGTAGAAAAACTATAAAATAAACGCAGTCTTGTCCTCTTAGATTGTATTTCTTTTTCTCTCATTCTTCAGGGCTTTATATATTTACTCATTTACTCACTCACTCACTTGTTTGATCACCAGCAGACAAGAAGAGGTCTGTCTCAGTATTCTACTTCTGTAGAAGAAGCAAGGAATAGAGGATTAGGGACAATCAATACATACATACATACTTCTCAAGACACACAAATATCCCCTTCACGATTCCAGCAATACACTCGTTTCTTCTAAGGCCCCCTTTGTCTCTACTACCACCACCATCACCACTACTACTACTACCAAACTAGCATAGCGGCCAACATGTCGGACCGACCAAACAACGTCACCGCCGCCCCCGGCAGCAGCCGCAGATCCAACTCCGGCTTCGACTCCGGCTTCGGCTCTAACTCCAGCTCCAACCACAATGACAACACCCACAACCCTAACAACGCCAATCATAACAATACCAATACCAATAACAACAATGTCAACAATGTCAACCACTCCTCCTCCCCCTCCCCCTCCCTCTCTTCCCCCTCTTCTTCCCCCTCTTCTTCCCCCGCCTCCTCCAGCGACAACCTATCCAGCGACCCCGACACCCAGCCGGCCCTCGACGCGCGCGGCATCCCCACCTCGCGCCGCGTCCGGGTGCAGATGCACGAGTGCGAGGAGCTCGTGACGCTCTTCCGGCGCCACGTGGTGGCGGCGTACGCGTCCCTCTCCCCCTTCTCGCAGACGGGCCTGCGCGTCCCGCACGCCCGCCCCTGCCGCGTGTTCGCCGTGGCCTGCCGGCGCGGCCGCCCCGCCTTCCAGATCGCGCTCGACATGCGCGCGCTGGCCCCGCCGCCGCCGTTGCGCCGCGTCCTCCTGCGCCCCGGCGACGCCGCCGTCTGGGACGAGATCGCCGCCCGGACCGTCGACGGGGTCCGCGGCAGCGCGAGCGGCAGGCGTCGGTTCGTGGCTCTGCCGTGCGGCCGGTTCGCGGTTAGGTTTGTGAGGGTTAGGGCTGCGGATGGGGAGGAGGTGGGTGATGAGGAGTATTGGAATGCGTAGAGGGATGGGTTGGGTGTGGGTGTGGGTGTAGGTGTGTGGGAAATAGGGAAGGAGAGGGGGGGAGAGGGGAAGAAAAAAAAGGGGGGGATGAGAGATGAAAAAAAGGAAAAAAAGAAAAAAGGAAAAAAAAGGGAGAATATGTTTGGGCGCAAGCGGTTAGTATTGCAACACTTTCACTCACCATCACTACTTATCACCACGCGGTACTTACTAACTCTTATTTTCTTTCAGATGATCTTACCATGGAAAAAACCGAAAAACAAAAAAAACATTCAAATTGCTCAGCATGGCCTCATTCACTGCCCTCGGCCATGAATCGATGAATTCAAACACAGCGATCTCAATTCCATCCTACAAGCTAGAATTCGAAGCCCTGGATCAGGAAGCGGAAGCGGTATATCCATATATCTGCTAGAGCTAGCTATAGAGATAGGCACCTAGGAACTGAAAAAGGAACAAGCAAAAAAAAAAGTATTTTTAGGTCCCAAGAAGCCCTTTTTAACCATAGCCCACCTGTGATTGTACTTGTGCCCCTTAACTTGTTGCGTTCGTGAATAAAATAAGTAAACAAGCAAACAAATGAATGAATACAGTCGTAAACACGTTTGTAAGATTGCTCAACCGCAGCGTAGTTTTCGCCCTCCATGCTTCTTTCTACCTTGACGTCCTCGTGATAAGACAAGTTCATCTCTACCGCACGACAAAACGCCGTAGGTGCTTCTTTACATATAACCCTACCTAATCCATGTCAACCGTGAACCACATTCATCAAGAGGACAGACAGTCTGTCAAGGTCAAGTCTAAAAGAAGACGAAAAAAAAACCAACCGCAATCCTTGATTTTTTTATATCCACAATCCACTCGACACCTTATATATATACGCTACCCGCCAATCCCTCAATCATCGTATGTATAATACACGACAATCGGAACACTATAGCCTCCCCCCTTTCCTCCCTATTCAACCACTTCTATAGTCAGCTCCAAAAACGCCCCTGAGCACCCCCCCCCCCCTTTTTTTTTTCTTCTTATTTTTTCCACGTGTACTCGACGTATACACATACACACATACATACATACTGCCATCAACTAGCATCGTGGAACGCCAACCCGATCTTATCATAGACTAGCCCAAAAAAATCGCGAGTTACCTAGCAGTCATCATCCAAGCTCCCCGCCCGACACGAAGAGCAAAGCAGAATTGAGATGGCATTACGTCGTAAAGAGTTTTTAAAACTTCCTTCAAAAAATTTCGAGATCCTCCCGATGATTTAGGACAGGTTAGGTTTGTTTAGGTTAGATTAGGTTAGGTACTTTTTAGCTCTGTTCTTTAGGAGCTATAACGCTACCACCGTCGACGATAATTTGTTCGTCGACGCGAGCTGACGTATCGCCGTATTCGACCCGTTTGTAGGTTGTGATTCGGGCTTCGTTCATGTCGATGTCAAATAAGCGAACCCGACGAATGAAGCCACCATACCCGCCATACCCTCCAAATCCGGCGCCACCACCGTAACACATCCACAACTCGGGCTTTTTCGTCTCCTTATTAGACGAAAGCATGCAATACTCATTGGCATGATCGCTAGAAAGTTCAACGTTAGCAAGTAGTTAAAAAGGGGGGTGTAAGAAATACATACTGTCCACAGCTAAGCATAACGACACCCTGCTCGACCAAGGCATCGCGAAATCCAGAGTTGTAAGTGGGGGCCGTAACGCCTTCCCGTAGTTGACCCACATATTGCGACTCCTCATCCCTGTATTCCGGCAGAGGGATATGAATAAAGGCGATATCCATGTGGATATGAGTATACTCCTTGTGCTTCTTCTTCAGACTCTCGGAAGTATGTCTGAACCAGTCAATTTGGCTCTTTTTGATCCAATCATAGCCGCTCCATTGTCTCTCATCCGGAGAATAAGAGTGGGAATCGAGCAAGTATATCGTAAGAGCGGAATGTTGTGAGCTCCCCTGGGCGAGGACCTCGATAAAGTAATTACCAACCCCGTCAATATCGTCTGGTCCGGCTACGGATAACGAGTATGGCAACTGCTCGATCAGTGCCATCTGCCCAGCTCTGGGTAGTGATCCTTCATCGTCATGGTTGCCGAATATGGATACGTAGGGGATTTTGCGCTTGATGAGTAGCTGTGCATATTTGAAAATGGCCGATTGCGCATCGGGGGCGGTATCTCCATTCACCTGATCACCACTAAGCACAACCAGGTCCGGCTTCTCTTCGTCTAGCAACTTGGACACGAAATCCAAAGTTCGCAGATCTGCCAGGCAGGGTCCACCTGCATACTCGTCCGGAACCGCATCTCTACAATGACCAACGCCCGTGCTCAAATGAAGATCTGCCAGCTGCATTATCTTGAATTTGCCATTATCCCTCACTCGCGGTTGGGGCTTCGTAGGCGCAATAGGGCTTCCCTGGCGGACTGTGATATGGGCACTTGGTATATCTGGGCCAGTCTGAAGTAATAACGGGGTATTCTGTAACTGCCAGCCATCTCGAACTTCGACAGCGTCATCGCCGAAGACAACGTCGACGTCCGTAACAGCCTGCTTCGAGTCGCTCGCCGTCCGCTTAGACGACCTAAGTACCCATAAACCCGCTGAACGGGACTCCCACTTTTCACCCGTCTGCCCTTTAGTTCCTGTCGAAGGATCCAGTCGACCCACCGTGACACCCACGACCACCTTGTCGTCCGCCTCCAGCTCCTCCTCTTTCTTCCTCTGGACGTGGATATAGGCCTTGGAGATCCACGACTGATCCAGATAGAGGTTCTTCTCGACCCTGTGCCATTTTTGAGGGTCAAGCTTGCAGGAAGAAAACAGGTTGACTTTGGAACACTGGGTAATCGTTACGTCGGTGACGACTTGGCCATGGTGATGCTGGGGCATATACTCGTGGACGGAATTCGGGAGGAGTCGAAAGTTCCGATCTAGGAGGAAGATGACGAAGAATGCGAAGACGGCGGCAGCGGCGAGCTGGGATATGGTGCGCACCTAAGCAAGAAAAAAAAAGGGGGGGGGAGGATTGTCGTTAGCTTTTTTTTTTTTTGAGCCGGGTACCTAGCGCTTAGCTAGAAAATGCGGTGAGGCATATACTATGCTTATTAGGACTTATTAGGAATCAACTTACTATCCGTCGCGTCATGATGTTTGATATGAATAAGGTCGGCTAGATTCAGGTAAATACGGTGTGTTAACACAGTAGCGATGTCGTAGTGATGAACGCCAGGGGCCAATCATCTTCAGCCGTGCGCATTTAGATGATATTGTTTTCAAACCTTCAACTTTTACCAAGTCGTCGGTAGGAAGGTTGAAGAATACTATATTAATATGGTGGCGTTGTATAAAATGTTAAACCAAGAAAGTGTTTAAATGGTTATAAAGCAACTTCCGAGGACCTAATGTAAAGGTAAAAGCTGTACTAGGTACCTACACCTAATGGTAAAGCTAAAAAAGCTACCTAACGGCAGCTTGGAAGGAGACAGGGAAGTATTTCCGATAATCTGGGGAATCGCGGCCAAATACATGCCAAGACATGCCTATCCTTCCTAGATCTAGCTTATAGGCGCCTCGTTACACATGCATTTAGCGAGCGTCGGAGCTAAGCCCATTCACATGCTGATAAGACAAGCTCACCACCATTTCCCCTATAACGATACATACCTTAGGAGGTAGGTAAGGTAGGTATTCAATATATCAGATGGAATAATCTAGACTTTGAAGCTCACCAATAAATATCCATCTACTGCGTTGTACAATCCTACCTCTGTCTTGACACGATAGGCAGGTAAGTTTAGGTACCTTAGGTACCTAGGTAATTAATAGATAAAGGCAGAGAGTAAGCAGCTATTAGGAACAAACTCAGTCCGTAAGTGAAAGATCATGGCCACTCGCTTCTGCAGTTGTTATATTAGACGATGAAAGAGGATTGAGTAAGCACCGGGCGTAAATGTCTTCCAATCCACTAATCGGAATTATTCCTTCGATGTATCGTACTCGTAAGTTATAAATACCTGAATATAACCCAAGTACACAGAGTTAACGAACTGCAATGTGTTAGTTACAGCTTGAATAGTAACAACTACAAGTCCTAGGCAAAAACACTATAAACAGGAACAAATACGGGAGACCTTTTTTCTCTTTAGATAAGCCTTCGCCGATATCAATATCGAATAAACGCTTACGTAGAAACATGCCAAAAAAAAAAAAAAAAAAAAAGAGCAGCCAGAAACAAACAGTAATACCAGCCATAATTCTCCATAGTCTATTTACTGATTGCTACCTCCTAATCTATTCAGACGGTAGCATCTTATTAAGAGAAAACAAGCCGCGAATCCCGCACACCTTCCATCCATCCATCCATCCATGCACCATGTCCACCCACTCACCTCCCTAACCCTATTCTAAACCCTATCGTGACCAATACTGACTGACTGAGTATTGCCTTCATAACACATAACAACTAACTCCCCTCTAAACAATCCACTCACTCACTCACTACCTAGATAACTAAGCTTCCCCTAAGCCAGGACCCATTAGCCCTCACGCTTCGCCGTATTATCAAGCATCAAAAGCTCGTCGGTTATATCCCATAGTTGCGCCGTTCTATCGGCGCGGGCATTCGTTCGCCGACTCTGGTTTCGCGCCCTACCGCACCAAAGCCCGTCTGTCTCGGTATAGGGCTTATCCTTACTTCCCGGGACCGCTTGCTTCTTCATATATTGGCGTATTCGATCTTCAATCCCCTCTCGGTCCTGGCTTTCGTCCCCATGCCATAAGCCCAAGCCGCACCGCCCCTTCTGTTCGTCGTAACGGTGACTAGGCCCGTCCACTTGCCCCTTGCCGTTGATATCCTCCTCGGCGTCTTCGAAGACGTCCCCGTCGCGGAGCCCGCGAACCCGCGCTGTGAATTGCTTAAAGACGGCGACTCGCTTCTCTGCCGCTTCGGCCCTTTCTCGCCACATTTTCGATTCTCGTTTTGCTGCCCTGAGCTGCTCGCACAGTCTCCCGATATCCATGTTCTCGCGCGCTTCCAGCTGCCGTCGTAGCTGAGTATTTTCTTCCATGCGGTGTTCGAGCTGCTTCTGCAGGTGGCGAATCTGCGTGTGGAGTATTGAATTGCCACTTCCAGGCCGAGGGCTCGAGGTCGACACTCTATCGTCGTCATTCCTATAACGCGATGCGGGGGAAGATGTATAGGGTCGGCTGAAATTGATATGGTGCGCGATCGGAGGTTCCTCGAGGGGAAGAACCATAGTTCCTAAGCTCGGCGGCTGGTCAAGTTCTCGATCCCGCGCAGGAATCAGATAAGTCTTCGAGCTCTGTGGTGTTTTCCTCGAAGCAGAACTATCGCCTATAGAACGCAACGAAACGTAAGGGGTTTTAGCTGACGTGCTGTCGATATTTGCGCCTGCAAAACCTGGACTGGAAATTCTGTCGTCCACTAATAACCCCGGCGCCATACTTCGGGTTGGTGTCGCCGGAAGCTGAGACCCCCCTCTAGAACCATCAAAAGCGTTTGACGGCGTGCTAGTTCTTGCCGTGTTCCTTGATCTAGGATATTTCGACGGCGAGTTGCTTGCAGAATATGGAGACCGTACACCGATGCAGTCGCGTCCAATTCTACCAGGAAGCATAGTTCTGGAGCTCACCGGAGAATCATAGATGGTATTATCAAACAGCGCAGCTATGGCCTTCACTGATCCTGGCGTCGGCTTCGAACTCGAGCGATATAAAACCGGCCTACTCATCCCCTCGAAGATACTCTTGTCGGGCAATAACCTCGATTTATGTGGAGAAACCGGTTCCCTTGAAGGCCTAGGTCGAGGGGAATTTTCGCATACGCTCTTTTTCTCGGATAAAAGTCCAGCTGGGTTTTGCTTCCTTTCGCTTGGCCTATCTGCGATTTGCTGTTGCCATTTTGGTGTGGATGGTTCCTTGTCTCGTCTCACGAATGATTCCTCGCTCTGTCGAAGACTACTATTGCCTGGACTACGTCTCAAGCGTCTTTCCTTTGCGGATCTTGCTAGAGACTCCGTGCTGGTCTTACTGGCCAGACTTAAAGCTTTCCATTTTCCAACGTAGTCAATATCTTGCGTTGAAGTATGAATATAGTCCCTAGCTTGACTGCTATGATAATCTTCAGTCGACAGGGATGACCTAGCTGAGGTTATGGTTTTCTTTGATGGAGACTTTTCAAGTATTCTAGGCTCTTTGGCTTTTGGTGTAGCATAATCGTATCGTAAAGAGTATCCTTCATTGTCGCCAATTTCGACGATGGATGACTTGACGCTATGAAAAGTTAACTCGCTTCCAGATAGTATATGACTCAATGAGCTTCTGTTGTGGAGAACCGAAGGATCCTCGTGCGCATCCATACGAGATGGCCGCACCCTGGTCCGGACTCCAGCCTCGCTCTCACCGCTACCCGACGCTCTGTCAAGGCCTCGGTTTTCTGGGGCGCTCTCAATACTGTCCCTGAGCAAACTTCGCTCAGCAGACGACGCTGTTAGATGAGACGTTTGACCTACACTTACTGCATATTGACTGGCCGACGGGCTTTCCTCAGCTGTAGGTGAGAGGCAGTTTTCTAAAATCCTACTTGGAGCTTTATGGGAAGCGCAAGAACTGGACGGTCGTGATCGTTGTCGGTTTAGCGATATGGGCTCAAGGTGATTTCCTGTAGTATCTCGATGTTTGTATAAGCTAGCCCCTATTTCTAATAATCAATACACACAACGCTGCAGACCATGAATAATACATATACTTACTAGGCATGGGAGTTGGATTTCTAACTAGAGGAGAGACGCTTCTACCTTTTCGCTTATGCGAAATCACAATGCCGTTCCATTTAGGTGGCTTTCTTGAAGGGAATGAGTCTGAAGCTGAAGAACCTAACTTAGTCTTGTTCGTCCTATGCTGGGCGAAATGATCACGCCTGCTGATCTTCAGGGTGCCAAGGCTCCGCATTTGCTGAACCACCTCCCTCCAATGTACTATTAACATCTCCGTGATGTTATTAGCGACATGTATCTTATCAACCGTAAAGCTAGAGGGCGCATCTTCAGTTCGAGATTTAGATTTCCTATGCTTGTGCCTCTCTTTTCGGGACTTCGGGGCAGATACCGGGAGCAGTACCAGTCCAGCAGCGGGGTCTGCTAAATTCATGCTGTAGGAGTCGATAAGATCATTGATCAAGAGAGGGCCGAATACTATGCTTAAAGCATTATATCCCATCAAATCGGCCGTGGGGAGTGGCCTACCGTTTTCATCTTCTCGAGGAGCATTCTCAGCAGCTCGGCCGACAAGACATAATAAGCCGAATACGGCACATATCAGCTCCCTCTGGTACTGTGATCTGACGGTCCCAATAGCGAGTGCAATCAACCGTGCGCGCAGCTTAGTTTCTCTAGTCTTAGCGAGTTCGGGATCAGCATGTAGTTGGCTGTGAATTGCAACCAAGGCATCGAAAAGAGACAATGAGCCCAGTATGCCTCCAGGTAGCCCTGCCAGAAATCTTTTGAAAGCGGAAGCAATATCATGAGCACTGCATTCAATATGCGAAGGAAGGTTAGGACATCGGGTCGTAATTGAGATGGCATCTGCACCTTTTGCATCCCTATCGGGGCAGTAGTAGTCATAGAGGATGCCCACAACTCGAGCGGAGCCTGGTACCCGGAAAATTCCTCTTGTATCAGCTACCACGAGCGTGGATCAGCTTACGGACTAATATGACTATTGAAAGAATTATTGGAAAAGCCTTTACCTTGTTGTACAAGCGCTTGCGCGAGCGCACGGAAGCAAGTCGGCAGCACCAAGGAACAAGGTGCGTACTCGGTAGGTAAGTAGAATATACTCTTTCCGCATAATCGCACTAGGTCTCGGAGGGTTTCACCTTTAAGCTCGCCCTTTTTGGTGTGGTGTATAAGATTCATAGCAACATCACTGACGCTTCGCCGACGCCTCAGCTGTCGTGAATCCGAGCGGACGAGTATAGTCTGTACTGATTGGCCAGACGATGTTCGCCGTAGAGCTTTCGAAAACCAGCTCGGTCTTCTAGTGGGAAGGGACTTAATGATGTTATTATAATTGGCCATGTTGTTGTATATTTTGCCTTACTTACCGCGTCTACAGGGAAGTCTCTAGTCACGAGTAGCCGGATACCATACTGGAATTTCAGTCAGTTCATCCGTTGACCGAAGACGACCGAACGGAATGCATCACCCTCTTTGCGAGTCGATTATATTCGTGAACGAACTCATCCCTGCTTTCTGCCTCCTCGCCCTCCGAGAGGAGCCCTAACTCGCCGCTGGAAGACGTCCAAGTATTACTCTTGAAGTCAAGAGGATGGTCCGGGGCAGCGAGTGACTGCGTGGAAGTTAACTCTGCTTGTGGTTTGATAAATGTTGATTGCGAGAGAGGGCGTCTTTGTTGGTAAGGAAAAGGGCGTGAAGACGTGGAGCGGTTAGCAGGAGGTGTAGACGCATTTTCTTCCAAGGGAACTGGAGCCGTATTATAATGGTAAGACTGCATCTGATCCATTGGATAAGGAGTAAATTGTAGATATAGAAGACAACGAAGATATTGGATAAGGGGATGGGTATTGCGCAATAGGAAAATGCATCAATGATTGATGCATTTGGTGTATATAGGACTAAGAACCTCTGCATACTTGAAGCGTGCCTATCCTTCCTTGCTTTAAACACAACCTTAGAGGAAGTGACAAGCAATAAGAGGCGATAGTAGCTTCTATTTTGTATACAAATGCGCTATATGAAGGTACGATACATGTTAGGTAGTTAAGTGCAGCAGCAGTTCAACATAGCATTAGGTAGGATATAGAGAGAGACGAGGTAGAGGTGTGTGTAGAATGGCAGACATATACACCTTCTATACCTACCTAATGTAGGTATGTGGTATGTAGCTAATTAGGATACATACAAATACCACCTACCTCAGGTGGTTTAACTGGCCGGTTAGGTAAATGGTTATATCATAAACCTAACCTTTGAATGCTAAAAAAAAAATCTATTGTACTCTTAAATAACGTGCCATACCTGTCTCATGGTTAGGTACCCTAGGTAAGGTAGGTAGTAGATCCCGACATTTTCATCTTCTACCAAGCCGTGCCCCCTTCCCCAATCTAGACCTTGTAATCCCTCCCTTAACCCAAGCGTATTCGTACTCGATTTAGATCAGCGTGAGGATATGGAGAGAAAGAAAACCATGCGGGCTCAAAAGGAACTGATCCTTATCAACCACTTTAGTCTTTCGAACGCCAAACTCCCCTATAATGCCTACTAATAACACACTATCACTCCGTGACCTCGTATTCCGTCGTTTCCAGTTTCCAAGGTATCGTAGCGTCATTACAAAAAGCGTCGAGTTACCCCATCAGCTCGTTACGGCGGTGCGGAATGCTCAATTTCGTCGCTAGTAACGCCGGTAAACAAGACGTACTTGAGGATGTCAGACAGCGAAATGATGCCCTTCAGATGCCAATTATCGTCAATCACTACCAACCTATGCACTCGAGACTGGCGCAGCGTGACGAATATCGAATCAAGCCTGTCATCCTCTTGACAAGTGTAGATCCCTTGGAAATCTTCCGGTCTCTTCGTCAGCGCTTCTCCCACTGTCGATTTCAACTCGTCATATGCGCCTCCCTTGATACAAGGTATAACGTCGACCGCCTCAAACACGTTAAGTACAACATTATTCTTGTCAACAATGGGTACCGCAGAGATGTTATGCACCACCATCAAATTGATTACTTCCAGGACGGAGTCCGTCATCTTAGCGGTTGCGAGATTGGTATACGTTCCCAGCCCGATCTCCCGAACGGGCTGCTTAAGAAGCATAGTATGTTGCTCCGTGTTAACGGCGATGAATTTGAGTATTCGGTACTGTGTAATGACGCTCACGACTGTTTCCCTCTCTGTTTCGTGATCGATATCGACGAGGGGAATACGACGAGCGCGACTCTTAAGCATACGGCTGCACGCTTCGTAGAGCGGCCTTGACGGGTGGACGGACACCGTTTCTAGGGGAAGCACACCAATTGCTTTTTCGATATCTTAAGCAGCTAAAGCGTCAGCGACATACCAATTCAATCCACAAGTCCCTAACTAACACATTCGCAATTCGGGCGCAACGTACCGCGAAGACTGCTCAATCTAAATTTCTCTACATCGTCGATATGTTCGGGGAATTGACAGTAATATTGTATCAAATTTATATAATCAGTCGCGGTAAGTAGGCCGGCGAACCTGGACTGCTGAGAATCCCAGAGAGGCGCGGACACGATTCCTAGTAGCTCACGTTAGGGGCTGTTCGAGCCGTCGCGGGACATACATGCGTGTATTGGAAGTACCATTCTGGATCAAAATGTCCAAGCTCTTTTTGATTAGTAGATCATTGTCGAGTATGATGAGGCGGAAAGATAGCGGGAGGACATCGTAGCTAGTTCTGACTCGAAGAAAGTTGCGCAAGCCTTTCTATAAAAACGGAAAGTCGTTAGCCAATTACCAAGACATAAGGCAAAGACACATATAACACATGGTAACCACTTACTAGGCCTTGCAACTGTTCTTCATCGATGGGACTCGTTGGCATCGTTGGAACAGGAGTTGTACGACTCCGAAATTTAGGTCTAAGATACGATGATGGCTGCACAAAAGGAAGCTCGTGACCTCGAGATAGCGGCGGTATGTAAGAGGGCAAACCCGAAGACATGGCAGGGGCTGGAGCGTTTGGCGCGCGCTGTGGCTCGTCGGCCGGTGCATTGTTAGACTCACGGCTCGAAGGGTCGTCCATTATCTACTTTTTTTTTCCAGGTACGCTTCCTCTTTTGGGGTCGTTGGGGTTCGAGCCAGGTCAAGCGGAAGCTATTGGTGGAACGCCCGTCTTCCCGGGAGGCGTGCGACTGGAAAGTTTGCAGCAGGTGTAAGCTTGGTAAAGTCTTCGGTGTAGGAGGCACTTCTTTTGCTGGGGTGAGCTTGGGGAAGAAGAGGGGGAGGGGGTGGGGAGAGTAAAAAAAGGGTTTTTGTTATCGGGTAAGGGATCCGGGGTTCTTTTTTTTTGGTCTGGGGATTGGAGAATGAGATACTAACTAGGTGGTTTTAAATTGGAAGCAAGCTTGAGAGTTGCTAACTGAGACAAGATGCAGAGACATGGAACATGGGATATGAATAGGAATGGTGACAGGTTGAATCGGTGGTGATGATGGTGATGGTGAGGTTTAACAGCGATAAGAACAAAGGGTTCAAGATAATAGATAATGGATAATGATACTAGGTACCTTAGGTACCTACATAAGGTTAGTAATAAGATCAGACTATCATGGGCCACATTAAATGCCACATAAATAAGCCTCAGGTACTTATCTTAGGTACCTACCTAGGTACCTTCACTCACAGTGGTTTGAACTTTGAAGCAGATGTTAGAGGGCAACTGCAGTCTGCAGTCTGCAGCTTCGGGTAGTACTAACGCTGCCGATAAGCGCGGCTACGTAGGGGGTTTACGCCTATGGAGATGCCTACAAGGTAGCTTTTTTATTTTATTAGTCGAAATAGTCTTAAAATCATTCGGGGACCCTTGTCTCGTATTGGCTGACATAGATAACATAACACCTTAGGTTAGTTTGACCTACCCACCATATCTAACAGGAGGCATAGTGAAATCGGTTGATACATTGGATTGCTTACATGTATCATGATGTATGCATGGTAAAGTTGGAGTATATGCCTCTAGGTAGTAAACAAGTACTTGAGTTAGTTACCTGGATTAGGTAGTTATACTCGCGGAGGTGATTTGTTTGATGTTTTATAATCTGGACCAGCTCATTGTTGATATACATAGTAAACTTGCAATAGAGACCAGATAGATAATTGGTCTATAATTGTAGCACAGTAGTTGCATTCTCAATCATCTTTGCTCCTCTTTCTATTTCTACTTCAACGGAACTATAATAAGACAAGATCGCCCACTCGCCAACCAGCAGTGTAACGGGTCGCATGCACATGCTTGGATACAGCCGAGACCCTCCCCTCCTATGTCTACCTAAGGTATGCACTTATTTCAAGCTAACCTCCAGATCGCCGGAGAAAAACATATTCGGCAACTTTAAATCGATGCATAGGAGGAAGATAAACAATCAAGTGACCTATCATATCGTATTAAAGATGTGATGTAACACCGAGGGGACACAGAGGTGTCATCTAAAGGAAAAAAAAAAGATCTCTGCTTGACGAGGGCTGGGGAATATCAGTCAATCGTCGAGCCAAGGTTTTTCAAATAAGAGGCAAAGGTGTATCATCGCTCGTTCAATCGGCAACCATTATCCTGGGGGGTAATATCATGAAGGCAAAGCCATTGAAGGACAGAATGTCTCATCGAGGTCTAGACTGCCTACTAATTTACTTGATCATCAAGATGGTGTGGAATAAATAATAACCTCAAGTAAACAGTAGCAAAACATGAGGGGCGAAGGTTGTCGTCATCCAGTAGTACGACTGTGGAAAAGGAGCCTAGACATCAATTAGCATAGCAGAGAACATTAGGCAGTTAGAGGTGTACCAGAGGTGTTGGATTGATCGGATATTAAGTACTTTAAATCTCTATCTTTCTAGCCTTAGCTTTTTAAGACGGGGGCAGGACCTTGTGACTCAATCCAAGCAATGCCGGTGGTCATAAGCAGAAGTATCCCACCTATTCTGCAGAGTCAAGGAATGGTTAGCTGCTGAGAATTGGGAATAGCTTCAATTCGCGGGGGGATAGTGCAATATCATGACAAAGATTTGCCTGATCTTGGTTACTATCAGACGGAAAGCTGCAGAGTGGATGGATGGGACGTCATATCTTTGAGACAGAGGGTGGATACTCGCTTTCACAAGCTAAATTAGCGAGCTATAGCGGCAAAGGTACATTACATAGTAGGTATCTTTTGCTATCTGTGGTGTTTGTGTTTAAGCTTATTAGCTCAGAGCTGCTCATAACTGCTCATCAATGAGCAGAGCGGGCTGGGCTTTGTGACCACACCTATGATGCAGAAAAGCTGTCCCAAAAAGGCAACAAGGTGATAATCGGGGTCCTACCTTTTTTTTTCTTCCTTTTCTTCTTCGTAGTGGTAGTGGCTTTATGTCGGTACATCAGCTTGTAACTTTATTTGGCCCAACCGATAAATAGACTTATTAGCCTTTTAAAACGGACGGCCTACCTTATCATCTGGATTTTGTTTGGATCAATTATACTTTAGTACCTAGGTAGGTAGAGTTTGCATTTGAGACTCAACTAGAAAAAAAGGGATAAAGCTAAGATTGAACATTTGTGTACAATATAAAACGACATGCTAGGTATGGAGATAAGCTACACGGATTAAACCGGTCGAAAATGTGCAATTCAAGGTAGGTACCTATGAGGTAAATATAATTGGATGCTATCAGTACCTTCGCAAGCCTTGAATTAGGCCAAGTACCTAACCCGTCTGGTGCTAAAAAGAGGTACCCACAATCGAAAGCTCAGGGCGAGCTTTATCAGCCGAAACCTTCCGGTCCTAGCTCCATGACAAGCCATGAACAACCCCTATGACATGAAGAATGAAGCAGAAAAGGATTAACTTCCCCCCCATTAAAAGCATTAAAACCCACCAACTGCGCCTGCGCCCTTCTTCTACTGTACGCAACCACACAGCGCGACCCGGCCCACCTGCAGCGGAGGCGGCAATAGCGCAGCAATCGCTATCGACGTAAAGGTAAAAAAATAAAAAAAAGATTAGTTAGGAAGGCAGCAACTGGAGCGACTGGGATCGACTGGGGATTTTTGAAGAAGGAACAAGGGTTATCCAATGTCGGGACTTGTCAAATCCTCTACTACGCAACAACCTTTTTGAGCCTTCTCGTGCAACTTAAACTAAGCTGCAACTTCGTAAACATTTCCAAAAAAAAGGAACCCCCAGTAATAATGTTCATTTAACCTCACCTTTCCTTCTACCACAACATAAACACCCACACATACACACATATACACCCACACAACTCACGTATACACACATACACACTTCGGTCAAGATCGACCTTCTCTTCATCGTCCCGTTCCGTCGATGCATGCAATCTGGCACTACTTTCGCCGCGTCGACCTGGACGATATTATCCGCCTGCCCTAGCCTCTCACGAGGATACATCACAGGACCATCTCCAGAGAGCAGCAGGCTTATCATTTGGTCCCGGCACCAGTACTAATCCTACTCATCCCTCCCAGACCTCAACAACCGCGAGCATCCTGAGACCGAGTGCATCAGCTCAGCAGCGTCATCACTTTTTATTCTTCCCGTCGTCGACCGAGTTCAAATCAATCATCCATCACGGTTTCTAGCTCTACTAGCTCTACCCATAGCAATGGGGGCCTGCCAATCATGTTGCGGAGGTAATGCCAGTCCATTATCCTATCAAGAGCATTCTCTCAAAGTGCTAAACATGACACAGGCAAATCTCGCGATGGTCTTTACGAACCAGTATTGGCCGATAGCGAACGGGAAGCTGTCGCCGATCTACTCCAATACCTCGAGAACGTGTGTTACAGCCGATCGATGCATCCTACTACTTATAAGCTAACTTGTTATCCCAGCGCGGCGAGACGGATTTCTTTTCGGGCGAGCCTCTTCGCGCTCTGAGCACTCTTGTCTTTTCCGATAATATTGATCTTCAAAGGAGTGCAAGCTTAACATTTGCTGAGATCACAGAACGAGGTACGTAACGTAACGTAACGTAACGTGTTTAGCGCTCTGGCAAACGAGGGCGTCGGATTACCATGTTATCGAACGATATGGGCCCTATTGCTCCAGTCTTTCTCGAGTCGCGAGTTTTGGCTGACCGCCTTCTAGATGTTCGTGAGGTTGACCGAGATACGCTGGAGCCTATCCTTTTCCTACTTCAGAGTCCCGACATCGAAGTACAAAGAGCAGCCAGCGCCGCACTAGGGAACCTTGCCGTTAATAGTAAGTGCGACTCTGCGCCATTGCTTATCTTCTTGTCTTACCAAGCCACGCAGCCGAGAACAAAGTCTTGATCGTCCAACTAGGCGGCTTAACTCCACTCATACGTCAGATGCTTTCCCCCAACGTCGAAGTACAATGCAACGCCGTAGGATGCATCACCAATCTAGCTACTCACGAGGAAAACAAAGCAAAGATCGCACGTTCAGGAGCCTTGGGTCCACTTACTCGACTAGCTAAGTCGAGAGATATGAGGGTTCAACGAAACGCGACTGGTGCTCTTCTCAATATGACACATTCAGGTACGCATTCAGCTCTTCAGAACACATTGTTACGCATTTCCTAATCACATATTTCTAAAGACGAGAACCGACAACAGCTCGTGAACGCGGGTGCCATCCCCGTGCTCGTTCAACTCCTATCGTCTCCCGATGTCGATGTTCAATATTATTGCACGACAGCGCTTAGTAACATTGCCGTTGACGCCAACAACCGCCGGAAGTTGGCTGCGTCGGAGACCAAACTTGTTCAGTCCCTTGTTACCCTAATGGACTCGTCCTCTCCCAAGGTGCAATGCCAAGCCGCGTTAGCACTTCGAAACCTCGCTTCCGACGAGAAATACCAGCTAGATATTGTCCGCGCGCAAGGTCTCAATCCTCTGCTACGCTTGCTCCAATCCTCTTATCTTCCTCTCATCCTCTCGGCGGTCGCTTGCATACGTAACATATCCATCCATCCTCTAAACGAGTCTCCTATTATCGAAGCAGGGTTCTTAAAACCCCTCGTCGACCTTCTAGGTTCTACCGATAACGAGGAAATCCAATGCCATGCCATATCAACCCTCCGAAATCTTGCCGCGAGTTCCGACCGCAACAAAGCGCTGGTCCTCGAAGCTGGCGCGGTGCAGAAATGCAAGCAGCTCGTCCTCGATGTCCCTGTTACTGTTCAATCAGAAATGACGGCTGCAATTGCAGTGCTTGCGTTATCTGATGATCTCAAGACGCACTTGTTAAATCTTGGCGTATTTGATGTTCTCATTCCTCTTACGCATTCGCCGAGTATCGAAGTCCAAGGCAACAGCGCCGCAGCTCTCGGCAACCTATCCTCGAAGGGTAAGTCTCCCATTCTAATCCTATGAATTCCGTAGTTATTAATATGACGTAGTTGGCGATTATTCCATCTTTATCCAGGACTGGACGGAACCAAACGGTGGCATTCACGGATACTTGAGTAGGTTCCTCGCCAGCGGCGACGCCACATTTCAGCACATCGCCATTTGGACGCTCCTCCAATTGTTGGAATCTGAAGATAAGACCTTGATTTCGCACATTGGAAAGTCGGATACGATTGTGGAGATGATTAAACAAATCGCGAACCGACAAGTCGAGTCAGATAACGAATACGAAGAAGATGACGAGGGCGAGGTGATTAACCTTGCGCAGCGCTGCCTAGAGCTGCTCGGCCAAAGCATGTCAAAGGCGCACATAGAGGGATAAAGTAACCAAGTATTAGCGACCTCACCCCCTTTTTTGTTTTGTTTTAATTATCGATATTGTCAGACTCCCTATTCAAGCGGGCATTCACGCGGATGTGGTTGGTTCCCGGTGTTTGAGGCGTATGTTATATAAGCATGCATGTGTATTTTCGTCAACGATAAGGCTGCTTCGATATTTTATAAGGAACGCATATTCTCATTGGGTGTTTGAGTTGAGTTGTGGGCGGGTGTATTGCAGGTTGCATTTGCCCCAGAAGCTAAGCCTAGTGGAAAGACATTCGATCTCATTTGTACAAGGCGGCAGCGTCGCCGGTTGAAAAGATGACTACTTGACCAATCACTCCCGACCAGTCATGAGCTAACTCGTACGAGCCTCATGCGTGGAGTTGAACTCTTGTAATTAGATTGCCCTTCTCATCGAAATGATATATGGTAAACAATGATTCCCAAAACGCCCCTCGTGCAATGCAAATCGTGGTATAGGAATATAATACAATACAATAGGCACATGACCTTTTTCTAAATCATAGCTGTACTTTATAGGAAAAGGGAGAATGAGTACCAAAGGTAATTATATTTTAGGCTCATCCGATACTGGGTGAAGACCACTTTCTACCTTTGTAAACCAGTTAAACGGCCACCAACCGTTTACCACTACTTTAGCGACCACTTTGCCTTTGATGAGGCCCATGGGAATGGGACCAAAGTCGCGGCTATCCCTCGACCAGGGGAGGTTGTCTCCGACTATGTAACAATGGCCTTTAGGTACCTAGGGGGGGGGGGAACGTCAGCGCTCGCTTCTCTTTCTTTCTTTCTTTCTCTACGTACCTGTATCATGGTATCGGAGCCTACGCCGGGGGAGTTGAGGAGGACGTAGTCGCCGGGGAGGCCGAGGACGCGCTTGACGCCGTCCTCGCCCGGCTCCACGGGGATGGCGTAGACGACGCAGTCGCCGACGCGGACGCCGCGGCCCCGGCGGTACGACCGGTCCGTCACGAACCACTCGTTCGTCGCCAGGAACGTCGGCAGCATCGACGGGCCCCAGCCGTACCCGACCCCGTACCCGTACGTCACTAGCAGGTGGCCCAGGGCCAGGGCTTTGGTTGTGTAGACGAGCACGCGGAAGGGGTGGCCTAGGAGGCTGGACATGGTGGTAGGTGGGAGCTGCTTGCTTGTTTTCTATGAGGGATGATGATAAGGTACCTGTTTGCTGGCTTGCATCTCTCAACGAACCGGGATTGTCCTCAAATCATTCCAAGTACCTTAGGTACTACCTAATTGAGTCGGAGCTTGGCTTGAGTTCCAGTTGAGTTGAGCTCAGTCTTGGCGCGTAGCTACATTCGTACTAGTACGTACCCGAGCCGCTGCCGGGGAAGGTATTATCACATGCATGATCTCATTGGCTATTGAATTCCAGCCCTAGGGAGTACGAAAGTACATCGAAGGTGGGATGGGCCGGATGGCTGTTCTAGCGTCATCTGGTAAAGTTTCTAAAAACACAATTTCTTACTTCCTTGCTTGCAAGACGGGAGAGACTTCTACTTCTACTCTAAAGTTATTTATTAATAGTTCTACAGCGCGACGGCAACCGATTAACAAATGTTAATCCTACCTTCCCAATTGTATAATACTTCCCAAGAGCCATAACGCATCAGGCGCACCAGTCAAGAAAAAAAATATAAAAAAATGGCACACCCGCAACATCTCGCGAGCTCGTCGCCCGCACGAGCTCTGCACCGAGTTCTCGTCTCGAACCTCCCGCCGCGCACACGCACCTCTATATACCTCCTTCCCCCGCGGCTCTTCTCATCCTCTTTCTCCTCAAGCCGGCGTCTCCTCCCGAACAGCAAATCCACAACAACAACATCTCTCTCTTTTATATCACCACCACCGCCGCCGCCGCATTCCCGCGCTCTCTCCACCACCCCTCCCCTCCGGCGCATCGACCCCCTGCAGAAATACCCGAGCAACGAGCGCATCCCCTACGAGTACGTGCGGATCCCGGGCCCGCCGCCCGAGAGCTCGCTCGGCCCGGCGCAGCCCCTGCACGCGGTCCTGCGCACGCTGGACCTCAAGACGCAGGCGCTGGTGATGGTAGCGCCGCCGCCGCCGACCGCCGAGCCGGGCTCGCTCGACGCCGAGGCCGCCATCTGCCGGGTGGTGGACAAGGCGGCGCTCAAGGCGGCGGCGATCGAGGCGGCGCAGCGCGCGCGCCGCAAGGCCGTCGACACCAAGGAGCTCGAGGTGTCGTGGGGCATCTCGGCGCACGACCTGGGGCATAAGCTGCGGCGGCTGCGGGGCTTCCTGGACCAGGGGCTCGCGGTGGAGGTGATCCTCGCGCGGAAGCGGGGCGGGAAGCCGGTGTCGGTCGAGGCCGCCGAGGCCGTGCTGGAGGCCGTGAAGGGCGCGATGGCCGAGGTCGAGGGCGCCAAGGAGACGCGCCGCATGGACGGGCGAGTCGGCGGCATCGTGAGGTTGTTCTGGGAGGGGCCCGGCGAGAATAAGAAGGCGAAGAAGAAGAATAAGTGGGGGGATAAGGAGGCGGAGGCGGAGATGGAGGAGAAGGAGAAGGAGAAGGAGAGTGACGACCGCTGGTAGCGTGTGGGGGTGAGATGAGGGGAGGGGAGATAGAAAAACATCTTCAACCTCTTTTATCTACACAATACCTTGGCCGGGTATTAGACGTTAGAATAAGCTACTCCATGTAGCTTGGCAGATGATACCTGGGGGCCGTCTAGCACGCCAGCCGAGATGTGAATCCCTAGAGCGGTTCTTTTAGATGCATAAATGTAGATATTAGTATAAAAAGCCGGCCCTAAAAATGGCCATGAAGATTAAAATAGAACAACATACATACCTCTTACATATTCTACCTATAGCCGCATACTCTAATGTATTGGGACTTGTTTACCATAAATAGGCGAAAGTTAGGTATTTTATTATTGATATATTACAAAGAAATGCTACCGAAGCAGCTATATACCGAATATGTTTTTACACGCCGCCACCGTCTTTAACATCTAGCCAACCTTCTTCTATATAGGTACCCTGAATTTTGAATATACGGCGCTTAGGTAATTACTGGCTAGGTAATAAATATCCCCCATTCTTTCGTCAGCGGGTGGCACGGGCTGCTTAATCTTTCATCACAAAGACACACGCGCTTAGAACACCGAGTGCGATCGCACTTGTCATGAAGCCGGCCGCTACCTTCTCTCCCGTGGTGATGGGCGTCGGACTGGGCATATACGCATCCATCGGCCGCCCAGCATTGGGATCACCGACGGACGTCCCGCCCGTTGTTGCAGTCAACGGTGCTGCGCTCTGCTTCTTGACTAGCGAATATTGGATAGCAGCCAATGCGCTCATTTGCTCTCCGACACCAACAAGACCGTCAAACTTTTCCTTTTCTGTCCACTTGAAGCCGCACGCTGTACCAGCCGGGCCCTTATATAAGTCAGCTGACGGCGAACCAGAACATTGCAGTGCTGCCGCCCCCGCGCATGACTTGATCAATGGCATGAGCGTATCAAAGGTAAACGGAGCCATTTGCGATGCAGAGGCCATCCATCGCATAAGGTAACCCTTGAAACTTTGCTGATCGTAATCGCAAGAGTTAAAGCCTTCACACGGCCGCTCGACCACGATTCCATTATCGAAGAAATATTCGTTCGTCCTATTCACCAAGCCTTCCACTCGCTGTTTCCAGACATCCTGTTCAGTCAAATTGTACATCATGGCGGCCCCCTGTAGGAAAATGCCGGCGTTGTATGTCCACTGCGCCTTGTTGATTTCGGTACAGCCGTTCTCGACGCCTGCTCCGTCATAAACGTTGAAGTCGTCGTCGATAAATTTAACCTCTGTCATCCAATCCCAGACTTTGTCGGCCCAGTCGGCGTACGTTTGGTTCCCTGTATATCTGGCCAAGCGTGAGGCAATGTTGAAGAAACAACCGTTGGAGATGGAGTTCTTGTAGGTATATCCTTTGTTGAACGTAAACACCTGCCACCGCAAACCACCACCGCATGTTTCCGTCTCCCATCGAGTTACATATTCATTAAAGACGGCCTGAACCAATGCTAACCACTGCGGCTGGTCCTCCGGTGGGTTCGGGAAATTATCCTCGGCGGCAGTCATCGCAGACATAGCCCAAAATCCTTGATCGTCGTTTCCAAGTGACCTCGTCTGATTTTGAGGCATGTAATCTCTATCTTCGCCTGCTTGATGTTGCAACGCTTGCATTGTCACGGCGTTATACGTCTCGTCGCCAGTATAAAACCAATAGTCAACTAACGTACCAAACATAGCACCCGCTTCCCACCCTAGTACATTTATTATAAGTAACAATTATGCCAGAAGAGAAGGGGATCACATACAGAAATAGGGATCCGGTAAGTTACCAGGAGTGTCGCCTGTGTTGTTTCCCGTATAATATTTTAACAAGCCGAAAGCGACGGTACTTGCTGCATCTTTGACGGAATCTAATAGGAGTTAGTCGTGTATCGAAGAGTCCCAATAAATCACGTACCATCGCTATTCCAGTCTACTTGTATGGCTCCGGTTGTACCTGCCAGCAGGCTTACGATGCCTGCTATACGAAGTGATAGTTGCATTATGAAATAAATATAAAAACAGCAGAAGTAAAGAATGGGATGGAGTTTGCCTATGAAAGGCCTAGCTTTCGAGCTGAAAAAAAACCCGTATCTGCTCAATATTATAACCTCATGTCCTCAGGAGAGTGACAAGTCAGGGGAGCGGTGAAAGGCCTCAAATGTGATCTCGAATATTGGTATCCAAATCGTTAGAAGAACTCTCGATAAATTAGACCCCCGAACAGCCACCCAAGATCCACACGCTAGAACACAAGTCGCTAGGACGAAACGAAAGCAATGTAAAAAAGGCTCGACCGGGAGCGAGTACGAAGAGAAAGAGGGTAACGAGAAGGAATGGAAGAAAAAAATTGAAGGAATCGCACGGCGAAACGAAACAAAACGAGAGACTCCGATCTAGAAGCCAAATATAAAAAAAAAGAAGTGAATATGTGAGAATAGGAAAAGACACGAGCTCTCCCCAAGAGCGAGTTTAGGAATACAAGGTGGGCCAATCCATAGTGCAGTCTATAGTAAAGTGTTACTACCAGTACCCAGTACCCCCCCCCCCCTTGTTGGAGGGGATTCGAGGGGATTCACGGACATAGAAAGGGAATACGCCAATCGCCTTCGATCGTCTAAAGCTTAGTCCCCTAGCTAATTTACCTCTTTGCGTACGATGTACGTGAAGCCCCATTTTCACCCGGGAGGCTATGCCTGGGAAATCGGCGTGCTGAAACTGTTCAGGTTGGATCTGTGCGGAGCGCGTCTCGAAGGAGAAGGGACCGGGGGTGATGATAAATGCATGTGAGATGAGACTGCGTCTTCAATAATACCTGTTACCTGACCTATTATTGTAAATCTTATTAAACTAGTTTGTAGATCACTCCGATGGTAACCATGTGAGCAATCACCCAAAATGAAGGGATTTTGCTGATTTCCATCATCTTTAACGTAAGAATTAAAAAACAACCTCTAGATGATGTTGAAGTCTAGAAGTGGAAGTTGAAGTAAGCAAGCGAGCCAAGCTTTGGGGAAATACTTCCCCCTGTAAATTAAGAACTTGGCTAGGCTTACGCAGCACGTACCTGAATACCAGGTATTGTACCGAACCTAGGCTGAACAGGGGTATTAAACGCTGCTGTCCCGGCATCACAATAGCCGTTCGTAGCTTCTTACACTTTCAGTCCGCCTCAATCCTGCTTACATTAGGTTAGGTAGTTATATGTATATGCGTATTTAGGTACGAAGTAGTTCCCCTTTCCCTTTCAAATTCGATTATTGGAAAATGATCTTCCTCATCCCCATATAATTTATTAAGTTACTATAATTCGTCAGCAATTCTTACTTAGGTACCTCCTAGTCATGTCATATTCAAAGATGCGCTTGGATGTGGACGAAAAGTTCCAGTTAAATCAAGCAATGTAAGACGCACAGCCGGCGCCCTACCAGATCTTGGAATCTATTGATAGTCTAAGGCGAAATAATTTTTGGTGAAATACTTCTTGGTATCGAAATCCCCCGGTGCAACTGATTGCAGCTTGTAGCAAACCATTCATTCATTCATCCGTCATAACCGCTCACGGCTCATCGCTCACCGTTCTCTGCGAGAATTCTGATCCCTCTTTTAATCATTTCCTTCCTGCAAAGATAATCATATTAGAAAACGTCACTTCATCTAAAAACATGTTCAAGCTTTTCGCTTTTTAGATGGGGGGTTGGGTACCATTAGCTTTGGGCTTCTCCGTCTGCCATCTCTTCGTCTTCGTCATCCTCGAAGTCAACTTCGCTAATGTCGGCTTCCTGGGCTTGGCCTTCGAAACGCGTCAGCAACCCTCTCTTATTCAGCTTATTATTAGATTGAGACTTACTGAAGTACTTGATGGCGTTAACCCAAAGGTCGTCGCTGATAGCAAGCGCCACTTCTTCACCATCGGGGAAGATCTCGAGGGAAAGAGGGTCCTCGTCGTCATCATCTTCCTCATGGTCATGTTCCTCCTCGGCCAACTTGAGCTCGGGGACCTTGCCTGCAGCTCTGTCGGCTCTCTTCTTCTTCTCTTCCTCAACGGCGAGACGGCTCTCCTCAGCAGAGATGTTCAGGCCCCGGTATCCGAACCAGCCAAAGAAGGAAACGGCACCTAGACCGGTAGCCTCGATCTTCTCCTTCAAAGCCTTCTCATCAGGGGTGTAGTCCTTCTCCTTCTTCAGCTTGGTGCTGTCGGTGTTGGGCTGCTTCTTGTCGTTCTCCCAGACCTTGACGACCAGGTCGAGCATTCCCTGGGTGAGATCCTTGTCGGGCGACTTCCACTTGATGGGGACGGGTTCGCTGACGAGACCCTCATCACCGTCCTTGGAGAGACGGTAGTAGAACTTCTTCTCGAGAACCTTGTCCTCGAACCACTCGTTCTCACCAAATTCTAGCTTGATAGAAATGCTGCGGGGGTCTCCCTGGCCGCCATTCTCAATCTCAAAGTGAGAGACGGAGACCGAAGTCAGGGCGGACAAGAGCACAGCGGAGTCGCTAGGCTGAATATATTGGTCTAACTCCGGGGGTGCCTGCTCAAATACAAGCGCCCAGAAGTTGGGGATCTTCTCAACCAGCTTGGCTCTCCTCTCATACAGAGACTTGGTAAGAGCAACCTGTTGGCGAACTATGGAATATGTTAGTTAAGCGATTTTCCTGACTCAATCCTTGCGTATGCAGCCGCTACTACCGCTAGGTATATCGGACCGTGACCTATTCGAGTCAGGGTCTAAATGTCACGAATACTTACTTATTTCTGTCTCGACATCCTCAAAGTCCCTGTCCAAGTCCATCAACTCCTCATAGGTGGCAATAGCCTGATCAACCTCGTCCATCGACATGATTAAAGTATTTTGAATTTGGTTATATTTGGGGGGGAGAAAGATAGAGAAACTTATTAGAAAGGTGATATCGAAAGAAAACACAAATCAGGCACACGCCGGGATCTCTTATATAAGAAAAAAAAAATTCTTGTCGATCAGTCAAATCTCGTTTATTGGTTGATAAAGTGCTAGCGGGATAGACGGTTGTCATAGGTTGTCACCTTCAGGGCAGTAATCAAGTGGAGAATTTTTCTCTCCGCATAGGTCTTGGCAAGGGTCTACCTGCCACTAAAAATGGTGAGAATTCAGACTCACCCTTCCTAATGAGGAAAAGAATTTTTTTATAGCCAATTATCTACCTTTACCTCCCTTACTCCCTTACCCGATGGTACCTAGGACTGAATTCAAACAAGGGTACATGAATTTTTCTCGTGAAACACGGTGAAAAAGATAAATTTGATATAAAGTGTGCCTAGGCGTATGTGTACTACTAGAACCTGTGTGAGTTATATATTAAACCTTGAAAAATGACAAGGATGAAATATTAGGTAGGTACCTAAGGTATCCTGGCACCGACCAGAAGGTTTAACAAAAACGTCGAGTCTAGGTAGTTTGAAGCAACAAAAGAACCAAGAAAAAAAAAAAAAAAAAAAAAAAGCCTGGTCCCAGCAGACAGGCAAGCTAGGCAGGCCAGACCATTGCAGAAGGTGGGGTGGGGGGATACCGCAGATTTTCGATGGGGGGATAATCCCACCTGATCGGAGAAGGGGGGGGGGGGGGGGGTGGAGGCGGTCGTACCTGGCAGAAAAATAATTATTGCAGATAGCTTTCGTACAACGAAAACAATTTGGTAATCGCAATCGCAAGTCGCAAGCTCGTCGCATCCTACCTAATACCACACTCACTGCCTCTCTTCTCTTCTCTTACCTTACTACGCCACTGTGCCGTCCGCAGTATGAACGGTTTTCCTGGAGCGGGCGTCGGCGCTGCCGGTGCCGCAGGCGCGGGACAGTACGACCCGAACGATCCTAATGTTAAGAGAGTGCGTTCTATCTACACTGTTCCGGATGGGCTACTGCGCGCGGGGAAAGCGCTGACCAGCTGGTTGGCTAGCTGGTTGGCTACTAAGTAACAGGCAACTAACTTTATGCGAGTAGACGATCGCCCTGATGAACGCGACGATGGAATCGTGCTTCGGCAAGGCTGCTATTTCCGGCGTCATGGGCTTCGGTATGGGCGGGTTGTTTGGGATGTTCATGGCTTCTGTACGTTGACGGTGCTGCTGTTGCTTGCTGTTTGCGACTTGCTTTCTTAATACATACCTCCTTATACCTACCTGCCTAACCCCTACCTTCTACCTTCTTCCTTCTCCTTGGAACACCCAACCCGTTGTCGGAAGCAGCGCTATTATAATTATCACACCTCGCTAACCAAACCCGCTCTCTGCGGGACCCACTCCGTAACAGATGGCCTACGACACGCCGTTCCACACGCCGGGGGCCGCGGGGGCCGCGCCGACGCCGATATCGAGCCTGCCGTGGCGGCAGCAGCTGAAGGTCGGGTTCAAGGACATGGGGTCGCGGTCGTACAGCACGGCCAAGAACTTCGGGCTCGTCGGGCTCATGTTCTCCGGCATCGAGTGCGGCATCGAGGGCTACCGCGCCAAGAACGACATGTTCAACGGCGCCGCCGCCGGCTGCCTCACCGGCGGCATCCTCGCTAGGAGCGGCGGGCCCGCCGCCGTCGCGGGCGGCTGCGCTGCTTTCGCCGCGTTTAGTACCGCTATTGATGCGTGGATGAGACAGCCGAAGGACGATGAATAAAGTGGTGTAGGGGTTTTGGGATGTCGTGTCGTGTCGTGTCGTGTCGTGTTGTATTTGGTTCAAAAAGAAGATAGTCCACCCACTGGGTTCGTTGGCGGACTGACTGACTGACTGATTTGGCGTTGGAAGGGAATTGCATAGGATCACGGCGTTACGGTTTCCCGCAGCTCTGTGCGTGGGTATATATAGAAAGGGGGGGCATCACATTCTCCACTTAGAATCTTGTAATGTGCAGAAGATAGGTACGACGGAGCGGCTGCTGATACCGCTTGACGATATACCCATCCACAATAGACTAATGCCAATCACAACGGTTAACTTCTGTGTGAGGTCGTTTATATTTCTATTTGGAACAATCTTTGGATTGACGGGTTACTGTACTTGCGGTAGCCCATAACAAGCCATGCTATACATAAACTATTAGTATACTTGCGCGCGCCAGGCTCATCTCATATATATAAAGAAGATCGATGGTGATTTGAACCGAAATGCGTAAGATAATTGTATCAAATTATATCATTACGCCTTTTCTCCAGTCTCCAGGCCACATACGTACAACCATAACTGATTTAATACATATATCATAATGATATTCCATAAGGTTATACTCTCTTTCGCTTCCGCAGAAATGCGCCTTATGATCCATTTCCCTGCATGGTACAAACCGCTCATAAGCTTCATAAGCCTCTATATCCTGCTGACCCTTCATGGCTCTACTCATCAGTCCTAGTACTAATTCCCGCCCAAAAGAAATATCGAATAGCCGCCAACTCCAAAGATACTATTCATCTATTAACTGGTGTAAACTTCCGGATTATGAATCAAGTCGCCTTGTAGACTTCAAATCTACCGAACTCCCAGAATGCATTGGTAAAAGCATCAGGGTTGTTAGCGACGTAATCGGTGCAGTTGCTCGGGCCTATAAGTACCTATTTAGCAATCAAAGCTCTGGTAAAAGGTAATGAGATAATAATAACTTACAGCCGCTCGTAGCGTACAATGCGCTAGCATACTGGCCGCAGAGATCGATGTTAGCAATGATGCTCTGGTTCTTGAAGTGCGAGCCGATGTCACAGTTCGTGTTGGGGAAGTCGGCGGAGGCTGAGCCCCAGATGCTCGGATCCGGATTCTTGGCGGTGATATCGGTAGGGATGCTGCTCCTGCCGAACTGCCACACCCGGATACCCTCGTTGCGCCACTCCATCGCGATGATGCCGCCCTGTGCGTCGTTGTACGCGCTGCCGTAAGTAGCAGCAGAGCCCCTAACTCCGCAGCCGGCATTGTTATCGGTGGCATTGTAGCAGTCATTTGAGAGGCTTGAGTCACTCATTATGCGCTTCACGTCCATCGTGCAACCGTCTGTCGTGTGCAGCGTCATTTGGTTGCCGTCGGTAGCTTGATTCGCAGCCTCCATTACGTCGATCTCGCCATGGTCCGGCCAGTTGGCGGGGTCGACAAGCCACAAGGCGGGCCAAGTTCCACATCCAAACGGCGTGTGCTTCACGTCGAAGATGAAAAGACCATTTTCGTACTGCGTCTGAGACTCGAGTCGCACGGAAAAGCGGCCAGTCGATGCATCAGGCACGGATTGAGGACCGACAGAGGTGTCAACTCTTATAATGGCCGAATCCTCCGAAGCATACGTGAGGTTCTTTGAGCAGGCAATTATTAGCACCGGCCCGGAGCACCGAATAAAAAAAGTAAGCGCTTACCAGTTGTGTAGCTTGTTCCCTTGGCACATAATGAACGAATCCCTGCGCCGGATCGTATCCAACAAAATAATTGAATTTGTCGAAGAAAGTCGTTCCAGAGTCTATTGGGTATGATCAGTTAGGTGTATTCAAATACAATACGAGAAACAATACGAGATTCGATCCAGCAACTGAACTTACATTCATCTGCCAAGGCGTAATTGAGCTTGGTATAATTCGGGTATCGATTCGCCTTGGTGACCTCGATTGGAACAACTATGACGATAACGAGAATGATAACCACAGCGGCCACAACAATAGCCCAAGTCCTTTTCCTCCAAGACCTCGGATTCCACCAAGGTGCAGCTGATTGTTCGTGCATGTTTCGTTGTGGGTAATTTGAATAATCTTGTCGATAATCTTGTCGCTCGGTAGAATAGTAAGGTGGTGGTCCAGTTACCATCTCAACCGGGCCGTCTGTATCTCTGACCTGAAAGGAAGCAGGACCAGCCTTAGGCTGGGCGGGCGTGTTCTCCCAACCCATATTTGTATTAGAACTTTTGCTTGGCCCGCAAGATAAGCTCGTGAGAAAAAAAAGCTTGGGTACGGCGAATTTCGCTTAGAAACCCGAATGAGGTCAAAATCCGAATGCTGCTGCCTGCTGCGCTGCGATATTTTTTCCAACAACCCAAAATCCGAATTCGAGTGGTAGCTCCGTCTTAAAACAGGTGACTTTTTTTTCTAGAAATGCGTGTGCTTAAAGGGCATATATGTATTAGTTAAGAGGTGGTTGGTACAAGAAGTTTAATAGAGTTGCTTGATGTGGCGCATAAAAGTTGTTCAAGTTGTTGATGGTGGTTAGATTCTTAAATTATTTTATTGAATTTCACACTGGCAATACGAGATAAAGAAAACCTCCTCTTAACTTTCTCAAATCTTCCAGATACCTACCTCCTAAGCTAGCCTTAAAATATTGCAGCAACGGAACTACCAACACCAATGAAGAGGTTGCATATTTGTCGTACCACAATGCAAAGACTGGAGGAAAAAAAAAAGGTGACGCGTTGCGAGTTCCACGTTTTAACGCTGAAGATGCCGGTCTATCTCCCGGCCTAATGTCTAGAATGATTGGTAGCGGTTGCTGCGTATTCGTTGTTGGTGCCAAGGTTTAATACGACATATCCCGCGGACCCGCCCCTCTCTGATATGGTGTTGTACCTCTCCCGTTTAGTCCATGTGTACGGATCCGTAGGTACCTGGAGTTGCGGGTCCCTTATACACACTTGTTTCACTGCAATCTGATCTGCGTTACGATCGAACACAGCCTACCGATGACGTGCGGACAGCCTAATCGATAGACCATCCCGGTTGTGCCGGTACAATGGTACAATTCCGCTAAGCTAATAGTATAACGAATGAAACAACGCGCCAAGGCACAGCCCGCGTTCTAGAATGTCGTATTAGGTCTATCTAATACCTTAGGTACGTCCACTTATAAGTTATACAGCATCAGCTATCAAGTTGCTAAAGATGGGATTTATTGAATAAGTAATCTGATGGTGTATCGAGCAAGGTTTTATAATATTGAATTAAGCCTAGGTAAGTTGTCTAAAATCTGTTGTTCTAGAGCATATATCTAATAGCTTATTAGTTTAATAAGACTAAACCTTACCAAGTGTAAGGGGACCTTAAGTTGGGACGTGGTACTTTGAGTTCGCCCTGTGACTTTTCTCTAGGTATTTCATCTCATCTTATAAGTCTTGATAGAATCAAGTTACCATGCCCTCGTTTCTTAAAGCCTAAATCCTTACACCTTGGTTATCGCCCTTGTGGTAAATGTGACCCTTCTATTACTGCGTGCTAGCATTAACCTAGATCTGTCTCATTAAAAGTACCCTTTAAAATCTAAGTTCCTGGTCTAAGCCTTATATTTTATGTAAAGTCTTTTCCAGGCACAAGTGCTGGAATTCCTTTACACTCTTTGGTTGTTGTCAGAGTAGTGTGCCTTTAGTCCCGTTAAGGTTTCGATTTGTTGAAATACCTACCGGAAGACGTGCATGAAGCGCATCGTGGTCGGACAGTGAATAATATCTCGGGTGCTATTAAAATAATACGGGTGGATCATCAACTGTATTGTCTCTACGTAAGAACGGCTCTATCGAGGCGACAAGATTCATATTTCGTCAGTTTGGAATACCCGGATGACCACCATGGAAGATGAGAGGACGAGAAAATGTGGAATTGGCACTATGGATATCATGCCACCAAGTTACGCCTTGTTGCTTTTCTCGGATATCGCACCCAGCTTGAGTAGTTCATGTTGAGTGGATCAGATATCGATACTTGTAGTAGCTTCGACTAGCCTGCGTTGGTTTTTGCCGGATAGGGGCAGCTTCCGCGGCAGAACGGACTCCAACTCAGTCGTGAATTAGAATTATATCGGATGTCGCCAGTCAGTCAGTCTACATCCTGTAATCTTAAAAATGCTCGGTATGATTCTCTCGAGTCCCATGGTGCTCCTTCTGCACATCATAGGACGTCTCCTAGGCTTTTTCTGCTTTGGCTGAATCCAGTCATATATATGCCAAACTCGTACAAGGACGCGACATGCACGATCGGAATTCCTGTCTCAACGTATCCGTTGTTGGAATCTTGTCGGGTGCTGGAGTCGACAACAATTTTCAAGACCATGAAAGCTAGATTCTCCTATATAGGGCAACCTTCCCCAATAGCCCCGAAATTGTTCGTCTACATCTTAGTGGGGGTGTAGAGATTGATAAGGGGGATTACAAAAGAAGAACTGTACTGATAGCTCACGCTAACGTCAACTGTGTACAGGTCAGCCTACTCTATATTCCCATTCCTCAAGACAAAGTGCTTTTGATATTCTCTAGTGTTAAGGTTATTAATTTAACACAGAGTGGGATATCCATCGAACAGATCCCGACAATTGTGATATTCGTAAAATCTTCTAGGCAGCCACACCGGGCAGAACCAGTGGGGGTGAGGTTGCTTTCTTCAGCACGATGTAGAACGGATGGACGTCATTGAACGCCGCAAGCAGAAAATGTACCATTTGGAATATATGAAGCTTACAATCGAGCGTGAAGCCAAGCCAAGCGTTTCCCCGCTTCAAATACGGGGAAAACACCACTCGATTCTATCCGGTCGAACTCGAATGACATGATACGACATCCCGGTCTTGGATGGGAGTGGGGAAGAGCCCGAGGAGTATAGGAGGACGCACGGCATATTCCAAGATATGAGATGTGCAGATGGTAGATGTAGAGGTGATCCTTGCCAGATCCAGGGGTACAGCATCCGAAGGCCATTGCGAAGGCATTAGAATGAGGGGATTCAATTATCTATTGAGAGGGGGGGGAGAGAGAGAAGAGGGGGTTAGGGTGTGAAAGCATGCACATACAATATTACGGTGGCACATACCTGCGAGAGATCGGTTATCTCGCGACCTTCAAGGCAGTGGAACAATGAAGGGAGTGCTACTTAATGTTGTGTCATTAAGTGTAACACAACCACCATCTTTTCCGAATGCGAATAACAAGAAAGCTTTGGAGGTTGTTGAAATATAATATGACGTGTTACTATGCACTGACGTCTTGTATTACCCGGCAAAGTTGCAAGCTGCAGGAGTAGATGTGATACGGGTTGAACTCGGAAATAAGTTACCTATCACAATGTATGGCTGCGTTAGATGTAATAGATAGAGGTAACCAATGTAACCCCTAGTCTATTGATTTATTGGACGGCGTTATACTCCGATACTATTATATATACCCCGAGCAGGTATACGATCTGGGCTTGATATAGTTTACCTCCCACAAACTCGAATACCTAGGTATCTGAGGATTCACAATGTTGCGCGAACTTATCTACTGCTCGATTGGGCTGGTGCTCTTTGCCTACGCCCTCGATTATGCGTTCAGCTTCGCGGATGATGAGCGGGAGCCCAAGCGTATAAGTCCTAAGGTCCCTTTGATCGGCCATCTTCTTGGAATGGTCAAGTATGGAGTAGTGTACTTTACGAACACGAGGTATGTTCAATGGATTTCAGAGCCGTGAGATGTGAGCACGTACGCCGGTTTTTACCATTATATTCCCACGTATACAAGCCTTGGAGAAAGTTGGGAATACTAGAGTTGGCTCCTTGAGAATGAAGTCTTTTAACACGAATGACAGCAAGCAGACCACAGCCGAGATGTACACGCTCCCCGTACTTAACAACAAGGTCTACGTGTGCAATTCGCTGCGCCTGATGCCATTGATCCAGAAGAACTTCAAGACGGTCTCGTTCCGGCCTTGGCTCAAGACGAGCGCGGAAAGGATCGGCGGCAACTCGCACGAAGCCGTCGAGTTGTTCGGCGGGCCGCTTGTCGACGATTTCGAGCGGATCATCAGGTTGACGCTGGAGCCGGGGCCGTGGCTAGACGCCCAGAATCTGCGCATGGGACAGAGCTGTTCTGCTCTTATAAACTCCCTAGTTGGTGGTTTAGAAGGAGAGGAAGGAAATAAGGTTTGGCTGCTGAGTTGGGTGAAGCACTTAGTTGTGCAGGCTAGCAGCTGTGGGGTTTACGGTCAAGAACACCCCTTTCTAGATCCTGCAATTGTAAAGGCATTTTGGTAAGTGTACAAATACCACTTAATACCTAGAATTGCGTCCCAGGGAACCCGCCCCCCGGGCCCTATCCAATCCAATCTTTTCCTTTCCTTTCCTTCGAAGCTAACAGTTCGGTCACCAGGGTCTTCCACGAGCACATGTTAGCGCAAATGGCAAGCCTGGATTTTTTCCAAAGGTGTACCAAAGCGCGTGAGGTCCTTTATCAAGCCCTGTTGAAGTATTGCGCGGCGCCTCCCGCGGACATCGCGCACACCGTCGTCGAACGGCAGCGCGTGCTTCGGGAGGCGGGGATGTCCTTCGAAGAAGCCGTCAAGCAGGAGATCGTCATGTGCGTCGCGACGTTCATCAACACGGCCTCGACCCTGTACTGGACTCTCTGGGAGCTCTTCTCGCGGCCGGAGGTCTTGGCGGAGGTTAGGGAGGAAGTGGAAGCTCATGCTGTATATCGGAAATCTGGTGAAGAGAAGAAGAACAAGGAGAATGAGGATTTGGAGGAGCAGGAGGAGGAGGGGAAGGAGGGAGAGCACGATGCTGAAGAAGCCGACTTCGTGCTCGACGTAGCGGCTCTCAAAACCCGGTGTCCCATCCTCCTCTCCGTCCTGCAGGAGACGCAGCGCATGCGCCACGTGCACGCCAACATCCGCAAAGTCCTATCCGACACGCCGCTCGACGACGGGCGGTACCTCCTGCGCAAGGGGTACTACGTGATAATGCCGGCCCCCCCGATCCACGCGAACACAAGCGTGTGGGGGCCGTCGGCCGGCACCTTCGACCCGTACCGGTTCATGCCGAGCCGCAATAAAGCCAGCAAATCCGACGCCGGGGCGGCGGCCCCTCCTAGCGGCTTCCTGTCCTGGGGGGCGCCGCCGTATCTCTGTCCCGCGCGGCAGTTCGCGTCCACGGAGGTCCTGATCGTCACGGCGCTGCTGGCCATGCGGGTCGATCTCACGCCGGCGGCGAGCGGCGGGAAATGGGAGGCGAATCCGGCTTTGAACTACAACGAGCTCATTACCTTGTGTAATCCGGCTAAGGACGTGGAGATGCGCGTTAAGCCTAGGGAGCAGGGCGTGGGAAAATGGGCGCTGAAGATGGGGGAGAGTAGGACGAGAGTGCCTATTGCGTCTGGCTAAGGGGTTGTTGGAAGATGTTGGGGGATGAATTATATACGGTACCTCGGTAAGTAGTAGGTAGGATATAATAATCAGCGGTAGGGATGATTCTTATTTAGGAACGATTTATGTTTAGGATATCTATAGTTACTCGTTAGCAATATCTTCGTTCTTAGTTTTATATTAGGGCTACTATTGAAGCCCTACTGAACTGCGATTTCCAGACTCAAACAAAGAGATTATAATATCACTAAGTTATTCTCGGGATCTCATAAAAGCGGACATCGCACTCATCCTCCAATTGCGTAGTCGGGTTGACAAGGAGATGGTACTGAGATTCAGGAGAAACCACTTAGACAACATTCTAATTAGCGTATTCTCATAAGTTGGTGATGTATTCCCTAAACGAACCGTGTACCGAAACTTTGACAAGTACACCACCTTATTCTACTTATCAGGTGCGTATTCGCTAGAACGTCGTTAACTTCTGAATAAACGGGCCCGACTAGTTGTGTACTGGTACCGATTTGATGTGGCAGGACTGCCGTCAAGGACTGGGAGAAAAATAGTGGCTCTGGTGACGAGAACCATCAGATTATATAGATACACGCTATGTAGTAATTCCCCAGCTTTTCTAACCAAATGTACCTAGGTAGGTAGGTCGCATTATACGTGCAGGGACAATGTATGATAAATATTAAGGTATGGTGGCCCTTTAGTCGTCCTCGTCCACTCGAGCACGTTTCGGTTGCCTCGACTCTCCCTCCTGCAATCCATAACCTCTCTTGGAGGAAGAACTCTGGTCCACCTCGGCCATGAATTTGTCCATCTGAAAAGGGTCGGTGCCAGCTGTATCTTTCTCGAATTGAACCGGTCCTTCCCGTACCTAAACTCAATGTAATTAGTAAAAGCCAACAATGGATGCGAATTGTGTGGTATATTACTGACCTCTGCGTCTCCAACCCCTTTAAAGGTCCCTTTACCCAGTACCTCGCCAAAACGACTCGTTTTCTGAATCTTAGCCATCTCTCGGTCTCCAGCCCCTTCATCTTCATAATCGTCCATATTCTGGCTTGGTCGATAGATACTGCTTATGGCATCTTGTGCTGCGAAGAGCGGTTTATCGTACGGATTATCTTCGTTGATACCACTGTCGAAACCGCTCGACTGGTTGAATAAACGTGAGTCGTACATAGACTCGGCTTGTTGTGTGGGTTTTGCCAGGCCAAGCGCAATCTTTTCAGAAATGTCACGGCCCTGCTCTCTTGCCATAACTTGGATCCGCCTTTCTGCACCCATGCGAGACTGGCGAAGTTTGCGTTCCTCTTCCCGCCGTTTCTCTTGGCGGGCCCTTTCTCTTTCGCGGACGTCTGAATCATCACTTTCTGAGCCAGAATCCGAATAACTGTAGCTGCGTGACCGGGACCTAGACCGTGAATCGCGGGAGGTTCTCGAGTCGCGACGTTTTGACGCGCTAGCACGCTCTTCTCGAGCTTTCTGCGCAAGCATACGTAGGTTCTCTTCCTTCTGTGCCTTCTCTTTTTCGGCAAGTCTTTGTTGCATAAGTGCTCGCTGGCGGACTTCTTCTCTCGCATGTCGGTCTGCCATGAAGAGCGCCTCTGAGAATTGCGCGAACTTGTCGTTGATTGTAACATCTTGTAATCCTCTGCCATCCGCCGCCAATCGCTTATCGAGAGGGACTGTGAAACCCTTGGGATTCTTCCAATTCGATACTGGGGGCGGGATTTTCCACATTTCTTGGTCTTCGGCGGTCAACTTTCTTGGTGGTGAGTGCATCACAGGTGGCGGAGGGCTAGGAGGACCACGCGGGATCTTCTTGTGCTTGAACTTAGGCGGTTCCACTGTAGCATATGAGGTTAGTATTTACGACGTATAGGTGTAAGATAGATTCGGAACCAAAAAAAAGAGAAGGGATGTACGTACTGGGATCCTTTTGCCTCTCCACGATCTTCATGATTCTGTCCTGCTTCTTCGAGTTATCTCCCATTTGATTTGCTGGCGTGTAGCGCACAAAAGTAGGGTCTTTTCGTGATCCAACATTGACGTTCTTAGGCTTCTGGGCTGCGACGGCACCGCTAACGAGCGCGGCAAGAGCTTTTGCTGTCCGTTCTTTTGTGTCCGCTACCTCTTGCTCGCTAGGTCTCTCTAGATTAATCTCGCCTGCATCTGCACGTTGTCGAAGCGGAATGAGATCCTTAAATGACGAATGAACTATCCTCCCCTCGCCGTGACCCTGTCTCGCGATAGCATCGTATTTGACCTTTCCAGAGGCATCGACTTGAATTGCCAGAGCATTGCTTTTACCAGACTCTTTGCCCATCGATAAGGGATACTGCGCGATGGGAATCTCTGGGAAAGCACCTCCATCCCCAAAATCTTCCTGTCCTCTTGGCCGCCATCCTGCACGCTGACCGTATGGGGGCGGACCGGTTCTTCGAAGAACTATTTGCGATTCGTCTATTTGACCAGCACCGACAATTCGAGGACCACGCTGCTGCGCGTGAGCTGGTATATCTTCATCCTCGCCAGTATATTTCGGCTTTGGTAAAGCAGCCGTAAGTGAAGCCGCCATGGTGAGGACTAGAAATGATTATGATGGTTTGAGTGTGTTATTGGAAAAAATAAAAATTGGCTGGCCAAGTTTGTAGCGTCTAGCAAGTTTAAAGCCGTAGATGCGTCGCGGTTCTGCAAGTCGACCTACTAATTAAAGTGGAGAACAGTCGCATTGTGGCTGGGTACCTTACACTCGTAGATGTCAGTTCATGTACCGAAGTACCTACCTAGGAGGCATATCATAGGTATTATGTAGGTATGCATCTAGGTAACGCTAAGTACGAATTATGTACAGTGTTATATTCTCATAAGTTACTACGAGAATGTATAAAATGGCATATGACACATGCAACTACCTAGGTAGGTACCTAGGTAGGTAATAAACCTTTCAGAATGAGGTACCTTATGTAGTCTACATGTATGTCACTTACACAAAAATTACCGACTCATCTCATGTGTGCTCAGGTTCCAAATCATCGTAACACGTACTTCTAAATTCTGGGATAGCCGGTATTCCTTTGTCTTAACCGAAGTACTTCTCGCCCGATTACCCCCGACAATTCTCACTTCATTTTGACTCCTATGATACATAACGCATGAGGTGCCAATGCTAACCGGTGTACCAATACGCCGTAAAACCAGTTTTGACATAATACTTCAACTTCTTCATTTACACGTAACCCTTGCGTGCGCCCTAGAATATTATTAGCAGAAGCATAGCGACTTATAACCAAAATACGTACCTTGAAGAAGAATTGGACGACAAAGACCTGCAAAGCGCCCATGCAGATTACCATAAGGCACTGAACCAAGCTGAAGTTGACAATTCGCGATTCCGTGCTTCGGACGGTACTAAAGTTTCGGTTCTCTCGAGTGCGGAAATATTTTTGGTTTCGTGCAATAGTAGATAGTTGGCCTGATATCTTGTATATGGATTCTTCAAGGGCTGTCGTCTGTTCGGGAGTCGATCCTTGCTTAGAGGGGAGCTGAGCCCGTACTTCATCCTCAACCTGGTGGAAACTGGGTTAGAACTGGCATTTGCTGTTGAACGGCGAGGACTCTACTCACAGAGATCTCGAAGTCGACAAACTTCTCCGAGTATGTGCTCATCTCATTATCGAAGCAGAACTTGTACTCGCCAACCTCATTGGCTGTGAAAACGAAATCGCCCTGACGCTCCTTCTCTCCATCTAAAATGACCTTCTCTCCAGGGCCGGTTACCGCGTAGTTAATGTCGAAAGAACCTCCCGATTGGACCTATAAAAACAGCCAGTCAGTGGGATAGTTAGCAAGGTAATGCGCATAACAACATACGGCGAAGTAGAAGGCAATCTTGGAGCCCTTCTTTTCAGCTAAAGCATAAAAGCAGGCCTTCTCGTTAGCGCCGATCTTGTAAGTTAAAGCGGTCGCTGAGACCATAGAGAAAAGGCAGGCAAATAGCCCAGCCGAAAATAATGTTAACTTCATTTTGCGTTGTTGTGCGCAGTTGGAAAGTTATGAAGTTAGTCGAAAGCTCGGGGGACCTTCTGGACAGCTTGTCGCAAGCGATAATTGATTTACCTTAGGTACTAGGTATTATGTAAGGACGGGAACATTGAATTCGAAGGGACCTGGGCAACCTTGGAACTTGACCAAGAGTCAGGGGTCGGGTTATTACCTGGGCCGACCGAATAGATGTACCAAGGTACCTACATGTAGCTCGTACAGAATTTGAATCCATCAAATTCGATTGGTCCCAAGATCAAAACATACCAGCGGGGATAGTGGAGAGCTTCAGCCACATTTTACAGGCATAGATGTAATGGTCACTCCACTGTCGTCACAGATAATAGCAGCTTACCTTATAACATAGTCCTAACATAACATTTAATGCGACAGGAAGTTTGTTCGGTAACTTGCGACAGAAACCCTACCTCTCTATTCCCTCTTTCGCCCTACTTCCCAACTTTCTATCATACATGGCCATTTCTTACCATCTCTTCCTGACGCCATCATAGGCTTCCAACTGCGGAGGTGTTCTTTTCAATCTTAACTAGATCTATACTATTTCTTCCTCTTATTCAGAGCATATATTAGGTAGATTAGGTTAGGTACTTTCTCATCTCATCTCTAAACAGCTACTTTAGCGAATAGTTCGCCGTATAGGTCGGATTCAACTTGCCTTCCTTTTCGATTACCCCAATTCATTAAGTTAATGATGGGGGATCCTACGAAGAGAACAGCGGCGATCACGTCCATAGGCATTCGAATCGCCTCAATTGTATTTTTAAGATGGGTAAGAGCCTTTACCCCTTAACTCTGAAAATGTACTTTACTAACGACACCAGGTCCCTTTACCCGTAAGTTACCCTGATTACTTGCGTCGTCTACGCGATGTCGTCGCCTATTTAAATTCACTAACCGCAATAGCCCTTCATCCCGATAATTTACACATTATTTGCCATCTATATCCCATCCTTCATCACGACTTACGCGACCGAATCTAAATACGACCTTATCGATGAGGTCGATGTAGTTCTTAGGGAGGATATCTTGAATAAAGATGAAGTGGCTAATGGAACAACTGACGAAGCTGTCGTAGTTGAAGAGGTAGATGTTAAAGAGACTGCGGCAGTCGTGAAGAAACCTTTAAGGCCACTTAGCACGCTCTTAAAAGGAACCCCGAACCCGAATAGCTTTCTTCTGACAGCGTTGACATTCTTGCTCAACGTCGCCTGCGTCGCGATGGTTACCGACATGGTATATTCACCCCGCTGGTTCCATCCCAGCCACGACCTTTCGTTTGCCCGCGTTGGATATGTCTCGGATAATGAGGCGAAACTACTGATCCGCGAGCCCGATCAGACCAAAATGCCCATTACTGTCCAAGTTCATATCAAGGATGCGCAACCACCGTTCGACAATCCGGTATGGCAGGTAGCAGGTACCGTTCTGTCGACCACCAACGAGACCGACTTTACTGCAGTGGTCAACATCCCCTTAAGCAATTCCAAGCAGCGGGTATACGAATGGGCCACCTCGAACAACCATACCGGTCAATTCACGTCTGCTCCTAAAGCCGGTTTCCTACCGGAGCTTTTTGATGGGAAATTTACTTTCCTATCTACCTCGTGTATTGTCCCGCGCCTTCCTTACTCTCCGTTAGACCACCCCTTAGCTATCCCAGGTATGAAGCACTTGGCGAAGGTGTTACCAAACTTAGGCGCACAGTTCATGCTATTCCTCGGCGACTTCATCTATATCGAAGTACCTATGCGGTTCGGCGAGTCCGTCGAGAATTATCGACAGAAATACCGACAAGTCTACGCTTCGCCCGACTGGCCAGCTGTTGGACAGAATCTTAGCTGGATCCATGTTCTCGACGACCATGAAATCTCCAACGACTGGGATTCGAAGTCAGCTGGTGTATACGAAACGGCCGTGGACCCCTGGCATCATTATCAAACCGCAGTCAATCCTCCAGTGGCTAAGAAGGCTAGGGGACAGGGCATTGCGTCGCGCAAAGGGGCCACATACTTTTCCTTCATTCAGGGCCCTGCCAGCTTTTTCATGCTTGACACCAGAACCTATCGTTCCAAGAACTCGGAACCGTTCGATAGTGAAAACAAGACAATGCTTGGCGACACTCAACTTGAGGACTTCCTTGATTGGATTCGCCGCCCGGAACCCAAGGGAGTCAAGTGGAAGATTGTCGCCAGCTCTGTCCCATTCACGAAGAACTGGAGAGTGAACACTAAGGATACCTGGGGCGGCTTCTTGTCTGAGCGTCGGAAGATTCTCGAGGCAATGTGGGATGCCAGCAGCCACGGCGTCGGTTTTGTGATCTTATCTGGTGATCGTCACGAATTCGGTGCTACGGCCTTCCCGCCGCCAAAGAATAGCACATGGTCTGAAAGTGCAACTGTTCACGAGTTCTCGGCTAGCCCTCTAAACCAATTTTATTCACCGATTCCTACTTATAAGCAGACAGATGATGAAGATGTTGAGCTCAAGTAAGTTACGACATAATCCTTCTAAATTGGCACCATATTAATATCAGCAGGTACATAAACGTAGGCAACTCCAAGTTTGGCGCGATCACTATCGAGAAGTTTGCGGAAGGTGAGCAGAGCAGCCTGAAGTACACCGTCTACATCGATGGCGAAGAGACATGGAATACAGTGATCTTGTCACCGGAATCGTTACACCCTGTGAAGGCGACAGGAGGATCCTTCTGGGATAGGCTTCGTGAAATCGGATCCCAATTATAAGCGATCTCACACATAATACACACACACACACACACACACACAATTAGCTATGTCCCTACATACGCTGGGTTAGGCATAGAATCCGCGAGGCATATGAATAAAATACTAGGTACCTGTTTTTAATGCAGAAAACACAGTGGTTATAAGATACAAGATGTTGAATGTGAATACATGACTTTCTCCTTTATTCCAGTTACACCTATTTGTATACTCTAGCCGTTCTAGTTAGGTACCTATGTCATATTTCGGCCGTAATATCCTCCCCCTGAACAGTTTCCAATACCATCTACACTACATAACTAAAACTCGCTATCTAGGGTACTAACGGTAATCGCAGAGCCCGCCGTCGACGGCGGGCTGACAGATCTTTCGCCGCTATCAGTCGATCTTCTCGACTCCCTCTGGTCCGACGCAGAGAACGCCTTTCCCGGTAAATCAACCGACGCGCGTCTCAAGCGGTCTAACTTGCGTCCCCTCAGCAACTCTTCTTCTTCCAGGCACGCTTCGTCGAGCAGCTGCAATAACACCATGCTCAGCTTCGCGATGTGTCTCCTCACGTCGTCCATGGTCCTAGGGTTCTCGCGTTGTTTCGGCTCCTTTTCTTCGCCCGCTAGATGCGGGCTGGCCTTCAACGGTGCAGGAGGGGTCGTTTGGGTTCTTGGGCCGCTCTTGTCGCCGTGGGGCATGCTTCGTTTTGCGGGCGAGGCTGCGGCGAGGGTCGGCTGGTGGGCGAGGAGTATGTACAGACAGCTAAGCACCCCCGCGAGCGCGCGCTGGTCGCTGCTGTCTGGTATGTACGCCCAATGGATCCGCGGGCCCCCCGGGGGCCCTGCGCGCGGATATTCCGCCATGGTTGCTCGTGATGGGGGTCGGGGGTCCCGTGGCCCGTTCGGCTTTGCGCGGGTCGGGGATATGGTAGCAGCGGGATGGCTGGGAGTCGGGAATGACCCGTCTACGGGGCGGTTATCCCCTTGGGGGTCTTGATGATACGCAGAGGTCTGGGAGCGGTGGTCTCGAGCTCTTTCAATGTCCCGTGGGTCCTGCATGCGGTCAGCCGCCGGTTTACTCGCACCCATTTGCTCGTATATCCATGCTCCTACATTGAACATAGCTTGCAGGTTCCGAACGCCCGCCCCACCTCTACGGGGATCAGGACTGCGAGTATAGTCACTTTGCCGTACCCCATTGGGTATCGTATGGTTGGGTTGCGGGGGGTTATGATTAGAGCCCGAACCCACTGGACGACGGTGAGGCGGCCAGTCAGCTCCTCGTGTCGATGTGATGTTGTTCCTGTGGCTATAATACGGTTGCCCTATACTCACCTGCCTCGGTACTTCCTGATCTTCGAACCTGGCCAGCTCAGCCGGGTTGTTGGAAGTCCCCGGCGGAGGAGGGGGAGGTGTGGAAGGAGGAGGCGGGTCTAGGTTTGGCTCAGGTTCGTCGGCGCTATCGTCGTCGCTGAGCTTTTCTATGATTAATTCGCAGCACCTCTTAACTCTATCTTTCCAAGTTCTCGCCACGGGAGCAGGTCGGTCTGGAGCATTGGGACCTCGCGTGAGGGGAGGGAAGCGCTTGAGGCGGTAAAGGTAAAACAACCCTATCCAGGCGAGGACCAAGAACACCAAAAGCATAGAAGAGATTACGATTACTGGGTCCCGTGGCAAGGGCTTGTTATAGGTGACAGTTGCGACGAGGATTCCACCAGCAGATAACAGGACGAGGCACACAATGAAGCACGGTAGGACTTTGTAAGTGATATCCCGCACGTAGCTGACTGCGCGGGTGCTTTTAGGCCTCCCCTGGCCTCTTTCCAAGTCACTCGGGAGTTCGTCTGCCGTTACAACAGCGGCCATGGTGGTTGAGTTTAGGAGGTATGTATATCATGAGTTGGCCATGGTCGAGCCAACCATGCTCTATTTGAATAGGCAGGGAGATAACATGGTAGATGCATCCCGAACAACCGTGCAGATTCTGAGAATATTCCGGACCGGTTGTTATTCTAAGTAGACTTACAAAGGTAGTTTACTGTAGGCTTGAGAAAACAATAGAATGCATGACTTTTGAAGCTTTCGATGTAATAAATTGGTATAATAGTAGGTGTTTATAGCTATGTTCTTTGAATGGGGTCATTCATAGCTTACTCCACGCTAGATAACAATTGCTGTAACAGTTACAAGTAAGAAAAGACTACCTTAGGTACCTACCTACTTCTAAGTAGCAAAGTAATTAGAGCATAAGTTTTTGAGGTTTCCGAAAAGCATATTGACATCGCTAGGCATATGGGTTTGTTCTCGGGTGTCCAGGTGTTTGATAGAAGACACTCGGATAATGATATTGAGTAGTCGATGTAAAACACAACACATGGCTATGTGAGACAAACTGGATTATCTGTCTCGTTTATATGGTTTCAGTATTTCGGATCCGTAATAAGCGTCGAGTGAAGCTTTGTGACCAATTAAGATAATATGTGACTTTGTATTGTTGGATATTCGTCTTTTCGTTTAAAGAGATTAGGTACCGAAGGAAGGTGCTTACCTCCTAAGGTACATGTATAATAATAGTGTAACCTGATATAGTCTGTGGCGCAGGAAGAATTAAAGTTCCCCTAGCCACATCTGCTAGTTGGGAAAGGGGTTTGCTTGTTGGCTGTGAAGAAAGTCCAAGACTGATTCCAGTCATCATGTTCTCTCCACTCTTCAAAGAAGCCGCTTAAGCTTTAATTCGTAGGTTACGGTTTACCCCTGACACCGATAGCAAAAACGAATCAATATTCGCGTATGTTGCATCAGGAGCCAAGATGGTCTTTGGCTTTACAACAATAAGATCCGTTCGGCATTTGGCGAGGTGAGTTAGTTGAGATTTATAGCTCGAAACGGCTGAAGACTAATAGTACTAGGTATAGTCGGACGACCGGAATTCAATCCAACCTTTTATCTCTACGTCACTTGCAAGCTAGAACATTTGCAACGACTCCCGAGAAGCCTCTCGTATCAAGTTTGAGTGGCCATGTCAAATTTTCATACCCTAACAATGCCAATAACTTGAAACGGTCTTCACTGTAAGTAGTTGCCTTCACCTGGCTACAAACATTGACATGCTATTGAGGTACCAATGGTAACACTTGGGAAGCCCCAACATTTGGTTAAGGTACGTGGATTCTATGTGAGATATACCATATAGCTATAAAGCTCATCTTGCTAGGGACAATTGCCGATGTACCAGCTGTGTTCACCAAGATACCATGCAGAGGAACTTCAACACGTTCGATGTATGCTAGTCTTCCCTACTAAATAAACAACTATGCTAATGTATACTTACCCAAGATACCACAAGATATTGAGCCCTCTCAGATTAAAGCAGATCGTGATGGAGTCAAAATACAGTGTAAGAACCAGCTCATAACTTTTAGTAGGTATCCTTTGACAATTCATATACTAATTTGTGCAGGGTCGGGAGATGGACACGAAAGCTTCTATCCGTGGGAGTTTCTTGAATTCTATCTGAAGTCTGGCAAGAGAGCACCAGAGCCTATTGAGTATGCCTTATCTCAATCATAGAAGTACCGAGAGAAAGGCTTAACACGCTTTAGACTGGAGTATTTCGGAGCGAAAGGGTCACGGGGCTCACAAAATTGGCCTCCATCTTTAGAATACGGTGAATTTTCCGCGAATGAAACCGAAGCTGTAGGACGTTTAACGAACTATATTGTAAGTCTTTTGCTCGGCCTGATCAAAAGGATCTGTCCTTACGATGTTCTCAGAGACGCAATGGCTTTGCATTTGTCACCGGAGTGCCAATCAATTCTGCCGAACCAACCGAAAGACTACTTGAAAAGATTACTTTTATAAGGCAGACGCATTATGGTGGCTTTTACGACTTCATTCCTGATCTTGCACTCGCCGACACAGCCTATACCAACATAGCACTGGGAGCTCATACTGACACGACTTACTTTACGGATCCTGCCGGACTTCAGGCCTTCCATCTCCTTTCTCATACGGACCCTGGCAGCGAAACTTCACCAGGTGCAAATCTTGGCGGCCAATCTCTACTTGTCGACGGGTTCCACGCTGCAGATATCCTTAGGAAAGAGGATCCCAAGTCATTCCAGGTGCTCAGCCAAGTCAAACTTCCCTGGCACGCTAGTGGCAATAAGGGTATTACGATATCGCCCGATAAACTGTACCCTGTTCTCGAACTAGATGAGGCCACTGGTAAGATGCATCGAGTTAGGTGGAATAACGACGATCGCGGGGTTGTCCCATTCGATAGCGAGCATTCCCCTGCTGAGTGGTATAAAGCTGCGAGGAAGTGGCACGATATTCTAAGAAGAGAGTCTATCGAGTATTGGTTTCAGCTCAAGCCGGGAAATCTTTTAGGTGAGCCCGTATAACTCTAAGTGAAATACCTGGGTCAGTTGCTCATATCAACTTGTAGTTTTCGACAATTGGCGGGTTCTACATGGCAGAAGCGCATTTACTGGAGTGCGAAGGATATGTGGTGGATATAGTAAGTTTGATATCTTTTACATCTGCACTGTCATACTTTTATTAGACTAACCAGTCTTTTCCGTAGTTAACCGCGATGACTTTATCTCCAGATGGAGAAACACTAATTACCCACGGGACGAGATCCTGAAGCGAGTTATAGGCTAACTTATGTTGCGGGCACTACTCGGCGTAACCTGTCTTACATGGGTGGAAATGTCCGTTAACATTTTAGCGGCACGACCTGAGTATCGCCGGCGTACCTTCGCGCGGCTAGATATTCTATTGGCCATTTACTATATCTGGTATCCCGTTAGCCTGGCTCACGTTGATCTTGCGTTATATTTATAAAGCAATGCCGTTATTCGACTTGTCCAGTTTGTGCGCCAGCTGCCAAGTAACACACCCTCATTGCGCTATTGCCTGATCTACCTACCCTAAAGTCTGAGGGAGGAGGCCAAGTGATCCACGCCTTTTTATAATGTGGCACATGACTTAAACGTGCCACGGAAGCCCCCAAGCTGGGAATTCAGCTGGCGCTTATTACCAAGGCTATCCAAGTGTTGATATGCGACTAGACCATGAGTTTGCGTTTGGCGCCATGAACCCAATGTTGTTTTAGGCAGTCACTTGAATAAGAGGTGCAGTAGGTAGTCAAACCCAGCTGCCCAGCCGTTGGAGTTGGTTGCACTCCGCGGTAGGTACCTCTCTACCTAAGATCAGGTATGCTTGCAGGGCACAGGCTAGCAGGGGACCCTTTCCCTGCACCTGGACGTCATCTTCGGTCCGGGTTCATCATATCGGCGCAATTCAGTAATCCCGTATAGGACCTGCAGTTTGCGGGATACTACCGTCTTTATATGTATAATGAATACTAACGTTCTCTTCCTTTCGCCCTGCGTCGCTTGGTATATTAATTCTCCTTGCCTCTTTTCTGTTATTTAGACCCAAGACTACCATCTCTCTCGATACTCCTCAGTTTGCTGCATCTTTCCCCGCGTTCTAGGCCAGATATAACGTCTTATAGACTCAACCGCCAAGATGGCTGATATGAACACTGGCTATTTTAAACATGATATTACAGAGGCTCCTAAATCTAAAGCAGTCTTCGACTTATTTTCCCTCAAGGGCAAAACAGCAATCGTTTCTGGCGCTGGCGCTGGAATTGGTCTCGCGGTAGCTCATGCGTTTGGTATGAATAGCGTTTCTCTATCTTGCTGTATAAGTCTCCATAGCTGCTTTGCTATCATATGTTGATGCGACCTGATCTGTAGTTTTGATCTTAGGCTAATATAGAATAGTAAGTGGATGCTACATTACTATCTCAGTGCTCTCATAGCACCGCAGCCTTTATAAGTCGCCTCTAGCAACAGAGTGAATATCTATAGCAGTTGAAAGCCGAAAGGTTTCGAACGATATTCAACATATGTTTTTCCCGGGTAAACTGATTCCTAGTAGGCTGAAGCAGGAGCCAATGTGGCGATATGGTACAACTCCAACAAGAAGGCTCTTGAAGAAGCTGCCAATATTGAGAAAACGTATGGCGTTAAGTGTAAGTGACCCATTTTGGACTTCGAAGCTCCAACATATCTAATTGAAACCTCGATAAATAGGCAAGGCTTACCAGGTTAATGTGGCGACGTGGGATGCGGTCAAGGATGCGGTTGACGAAATAGTTGAGGAATTTAACGGTAGGCTCGACATTTTCGTGGCGAATTCGGGTATCCCGTGGGAGGAAGGGCCCTTCATCGACGGCTCTGTCGAGACGATGCACAAAGTGTTCAAGATAAATATCGACGGCACTTTATTCTCGGCACGAGCCGCCGCGTTGCATTGGAGACGGCAGAAGAAGGAGGGAACGACTATCGACGGCCAGCCGCTAGAAAACTATAGCTATGGCAGCTTCATCGCCACCTCCAGCATGAGCGCGCACATCACCAATATCCCGCAGCAGCAAACCGTGTACAACACGTCCAAAGCCGCGGTCAACCAGGCCTGTAAGTTTTTCAGCCTTAGGTCAGGTACCTGCTATACGTGTGGGATTCCGTGCTGACACGAGTTGCAGGCAAGTCGTTGGCCGTTGAGTGGGTTGGCTTCGCGCGTGCCAACACGATATCTCCCGGCTACATCAAGACGGACATCTCGGCCTTCATTCCTCCTACGACTAAGAGCCTCTTCAAGAGCTTGATTCCCATGGGGTAAGTCCCTACTTTGCCTGATCGATATCCTACATAGGTACCTAGATTCGTCCCACTGACTACGATTGTAGACGCGAGGGCGAGACTCACGAATTGAAGGGTGCATATCTGTACCTGGCCTCAGACGCATCTTCGTATACGACCGGTACCGACATCATAGTTGACGGTGGTTACTGTGTGCCATAGATAACGGGTCGAGATTGCGATTGGTTTTTTCTTGGCGGAATGGATGAGAGCTTCTTTAGCGATAAACTCGTAGTGGTGGTGGTGGTGATTAGTAGCGTTTGGCATTTTTATAGAAATGAAGCTTAAGAGAAATACCCTCCCTTATGAAGTCATCCTCAAGGCTGAGGATTACACAGTCATGATTCGGGAAGTGAAAAGCCACACCGCAGATGCCAGGTACAATACCTTAGGTATTACATGTAAGTACCTACTCAGTAAGATGTACCGACCGGTGAGCCCCGTACGAACAGAAGCATGTTCTCGGTGAAGGTTGTTTGATACTGGTGGTTGTGTAATGTCTTACAGCAGCCCGTAGCCGATAGAACAAAATGTCTGCATTTATTGGTACGAATTATCTAAGCTTACGGATTAGATAAGATTACCTAACCAGCTAGGTAAATATTGAAGCTTTTTACCCCTGGGCATGTGCTGGCATGGGCGAAGGAGATGCTCGAGATTTCAGGGATAGGACCCTTTTAAATCATTTTAAACCACACCGGGAATCGCATAAACCAACCGTATTGAGTTCGGAGGGTTTTACCTCTTATGTCATATCACTTTGCCGGGGAGGGTTTATCTTAGGTACCTACGTAGGTACCTCCTAACACTATGAAGTCACATAAGATATTGTACTACCACGTAGCTTAAGGTCCTAGAGGCCTAGAATTCCAAGTGTTCAGGTCTAGGAGGCACTTCTAATCTCGTACTTCGTACCCCACCCATCCCGTATCGCACCGCACCGCACCGCATTGTACATTGTACATATTGTATTGTACAGTACAATACATATTTCAGCTTTCAGGAGGTGTAAGAACAGGTACATAATCTTTAGCGCAGCACACACAGCACACACATAGCACGTACCTAACGAAGAAAGTCAGTTCTATGTAACACACACACTTTCTCCCACCTAGGCAACCTTTACCTAAGATTCGATTTCGTCTGGTGCCTTGCTAAATCCCAATCCCGCCTTCCACCGCCTAACTTTTAGGTACTAACCGTTGCTAAACTAAACGTTGTTAAGGTAAAGTATCCTTGCTAACCTGGCTAACCTGGCTAACCTAAACCCTTCATTTTCATTTTCATTATTGTTCCTCTTCCTCCTTTCCGCTCTTCTTCTTCAGTAGCATTCAACACACCCACCACCATCAAGACCCTGAATAGACCTCCCAAATTAACCTAATTTTATTACCCATCTATTGATAGACTTTTTACTGCCTGCAGCGCTACTACAAGCCGACCTTCGCAACGCAAGGCGCATCCATCATTATCATCATCTAAACATTTCACTATGGACGCTGGAGAGGGCCAGGCGCCTTTCTCCCCCCCTGCAGGCCCGGTAACGGATCAACGCAATGTTCAGGTCGACAATGCCATTCGCGCCATCAAGGAGAAGAAGCCTCTTCCCGAGATCGATTTCAGCATTCATACCATGGAAGATGGCACGCAAGTTAGCACCATGGAACGGGTTTGCAAAGGTACGTTGGCTCAGACTCGAATCCTTAGGAACTACCCCGCCACTCAGACAGATATGGTTGATGATCGAACTTGACTGACTGACCGACTGTCTATCTAGATGTTCAGGCCCCCGCCACATTCAAGCCTACCGACAAACAGTTCTTCGAGGATGATACCCATACGAAACCTGATATCACCTTTTTGAAGCAGCACTTCTACCGAGAGGGACGATTGACCGAGGAGCAAGCCTTATGGATCATCAAGACCGGAACCGAGCTCCTACGCAGCGAGCCTAACCTATTGGAGATGGATGCCCCCATAACAGTTTGCGGCGACGTCCACGGTCAATATTTTGATCTTATGAAGCTTTTTGAAGTCGGTGGCGACCCGGCCGAGACTCGATACCTCTTCCTTGGCGATTATGTCGATCGAGGTTACTTCAGTATCGAATGTGTTCTATACCTATGGTCTTTGAAGATACATTACCCGAAGACTCTCTGGCTGCTGCGTGGGAATCACGAGTGTCGTCACTTGACCGACTATTTCACTTTCAAGCTTGAATGCAAGCACAAGTACTCTGAGGCTATCTACGAAGCTTGCATGGAGTCCTTCTGCTCCCTTCCGCTCGCTGCAGTCATGAACAAGCAATTCCTCTGCATCCACGGAGGGCTCAGCCCCGAGCTTCACAGTTTGGACGACCTGAGAAATGTAGGTAGCTGAGCATAACCTCTCAGCCTTGTTGCTGGTGTAAGATATAATCTGTGGCTGACCTGTGATAGATTGACCGTTTCCGGGAACCACCCACCCAAGGATTGATGTGCGATATCCTGTGGGCCGATCCCTTAGAAGATTTCGGCCAAGAGAAGACTAACGAATACTTCATGCACAACCATGTCCGTGGTTGCTCGTACTTCTTCTCCTACCCTGCCGCATGCGCCTTCTTGGAGAAGAATAACTTACTCTCCATAATTCGGGCGCACGAGGCTCAAGACGCCGGTTATCGAATGTATCGTAAAACCAGGACCACCGGATTCCCTAGCGTCATGACCATATTTTCCGCACCCAACTACCTCGACGTTTACAACAACAAGGCTGCGGTGTTGAAGTACGAGAACAACGTGATGAATATTCGGCAGTTCAACTGCACGCCTCACCCGTATTGGCTTCCAAACTTTATGGACGTATTTACTTGGTCATTGCCATTCGTTGGTGAGAAGATTACTGATATGCTGATTGCTATCTTACATACCTGCTCAGAGGAAGAGCTTAAGGAAGAAACGCCTGCGTCGTCATCACCTGGCCCGCAGTCGCCTCCCCTCGGGGGCCCTTACTCGGATCCGGATTCGATCGAATACAAGAGACGAGCCATCAAGAACAAGATATTGGCCATTGGTAGACTGTCGCGAGTATTCCAGGTACTTCGGGAGGAATCCGAGAAGGTTACGGAGCTCAAGACCGTATCCGGTGGACGACTGCCTGCGGGTACGCTTATGCTTGGCGCTGAAGGAATTAAAAACGCCATCAATACTTTTGAGGATGCCAGGAAGGTCGATCTCCAGAACGAGAGGTTGCCACCTAGCCACGACGAAGTCCAAAAGCACCAAGAAGAGGAACGGCAGCAGGCATTGGAGAGGGCCTCCCGAGAGGCAGAGAATGATAAAAAACTACAGACTCTTTCGAGGAGGCTAAGCACGTAAGTATTGATTTATTTGCAATCCCAGTAAACATCTGCTTACTGTTAGACAGTGATCGAAAGCGATGATCTTGTGCGCGTATATATCAGCTGATCCTTCAGGTAGCGAGTGGACGTCGACTTGATGATCCCATTTATGATGGCAGTACGTGTGATGCGTATCTTGGCTTAGCAGATTAGAACATCCTATCGAGGCAGTAACCTTTGGTCATTCTTCGAAACGATAAATATCTACCTAGTTGAAGCCGTGCCTGGATTGTTGTTCAGACAATACAATAAATGGGAGGTATATAAGACCAAGGATCCAAGGTCCAAGGGGGAGGGCTCTAATAAGATAAGCTGGACGATACGGTTTTTTTTTTTCAGGTGGCTGACGCAGAAATTAAAGACGAATACGGTATTGGGGAAAGAAAAAAGGGATGTCCTATCATGATAGTTGGCGAGTTTCTAATGAAAGTCCTGCAACTGTGCTAGATGCCCTAGCATGGTACTAGCCCTCAAATATCTGACCTTGATCTCCTGTCACACCGCCCATTTTGTCTTCTGGTTACGTCGTCTGTTTGTTCAGCAAAGTTAATAGGTTTTTCACTGTATGTGACAGCGCGTAGATATGGGATTATTTTATAGACCGGATGAATGGCGCACAAACGAGACTGCTGTTTCGTCGTCCTGACCAAATAGTATAACCCCTCTATCTCAAGTTATCATCCCAGGTTCAATTTCGTACATTTCGTAGATCCAACAACCACGCGACGCAGATACGTATACCCTCATGAAACAATCCCTGTTACTCTCCAAACTTACCTACCTAACCTAGGTACTCAGATAAACAGGTATCTACCTAGGTACCTAAGGTAACGCTTTCCCCTTTTCTCCCTTCCACCTTCAAGGGCCTTTAGAAAATGGCGAGTATGTTAGGCGGGCTAGCAACGCCGCCGGGGACGTTGCACGGCTCGCTGGCGACGAAGAAGGACCAGCGCCCGCGGGCCGCGCAGTGGGCCCCGAGCTTCTCCAGGTCGAACAGCTCGCCGATCGGGCAGCCCCATCCCGCGAGCAGGACCTCGTGGAGGATGTGCGGGGAGGTCGGCGGGGCGGGCCAGCTTTCGACTGAGGCGGTGGGTAAGGAGGGATGGTTAGTTGGTTGGTTGGTTGGTTAAGAAATAAAGAGGAAGGGGAAGGGGAAGGGAAAAAATGAAAAGGCGAAGTAAGGAGGAAGGGAGGGAGAGAGGGAGAGAGGGAGGGAAAGAGGGTGAGGGTGAGATTTCAAAAGAGCGGAAAGGGGGAGAAAAAGGACGTTACGGACAGGACGGCTGGTCCCCCGCCACCGCGGAGAAGCGCTCCCATATCCAGCGCAGCAGGGCCTCCGAGCGCTCGACGCCGCCGAAGTGGTGCGGAACGACGGACCGGTAGGCGGCGAGCTCGGCGTCGGTTTTCTGGGGGTATGTTGCTATGAAGCCTGTTGGGTTGGTGGTGTTAGTAGGTTAGGTTAGGTTAGGTACCTATTTTTACTCGGATTAGGGGGTCAGGGGGAAAAAAGAGAGAGAAAAAAATTAGGGGGAGGGGGCCGAGGACAAAATAGTAGGTACGAGGTATGAGGTATGTACGTCCCTGAGCGGATGAATAAGATATCCCCGAACTTGACCTCCGTTCCCTGCGCGGCGAGACACGCCTGTAGATCCTCGAGCGGGATCGCGTCGCTCTGAAACGGGTCGTAGGGCTTGCGTTTGTCGGCGGGTTGTGCGAGGCGCCAGCTGTGGTAGTCGATTAGGACGCCGCGGCCTACGATACCTTGCTCGGCCCATGCTGTTGAATATGTAAGTTAGCTCCTATATACATAGGTACCTTATATATATACCCATCACCTCCACCCCGTCTTCATCTTCGTCTTCCTTCTATTCCCCTCCTCCTCCCTCCCCCCCCCCTCCCCCCCACCTGCTGTTTTAAAAACTCACCATGAATCCCATTAACCGTAGTCCTCCCACCGTCCTCGCCGTCCTCGCCGGCGCCGTGTATATCGTCCATCGTGACGCCGTTGTAGAACCGCGCCTCCTCCTGGTACGCGTAGTGCCGCAGGCCGTCCCACTGCGTCGACACCTGCGTATTGAAGGTCCAGACGTCGTCGTTGACGACGCGCGGCGCCTTCCGGATCAGCGTCTGCGAGAACACGTGCCGCTGGAAGAAGGGCTTCTGCCGCTGCGCGTTGAGGGGCCAGTTTAGGGAGATTCTTGGAGGAGGAAGAAGGGGGGAGGTCAGTTAGTAGGGTTGCGGTAGGAGAGAAGGAGAGGGAGAGAGAGATAGAGAGACAGAGACGTGGAGAGAGAGGTAAGGGGGGTGGGTAGGGTAGGGTAGGAGGCATGTAGGCACCTACCTGTGGCCCGTCTTGATCTCGCCCTTGGCAGCGGCAGCAACGAGCTCGTCGGTTAGCCGGTTGAGCGTCCCGAGCTCGTCCTTGTCGCCGTATAAACCCCACGCCGAGTAGTGCGGGTCCGTCTTCCGCAAGGGGAGGTCCTCGAAGTTTGGGATCCCGTTCTCGTTAAGCTTGAATCCGGGAGCCGGCGGTGCCATCGTTATTGAGTACAAGTTAAGTGGAACGTTTCAATTTACGACTAGTTATGGGATCTTTAATCAATTGAATAGGTAGGTACCTAGCACGTCTAATAAATAGGGGTTATCAACTAATGGTATCGGTAATCATGTATTAGAGGCGAAGGTAAGAACTCGGTACTATGTGTCCTAATACATTAGGTGGTAGGTAGAATGATTATTTTATTATTTTCGTTGCGGCATTCATGATGAAATAATGTCGTCCCCTCTCTTAACCTTAATACCTCCCAGTGTCACAACGCGTTCGGGATAGGGACACAGGGACATGATGCCGATCGCAAGTTGTTGAGTCCCCCGCACTCGGATACGTTCCACGGTTGAGACGTAAGTTCGAGGTTAACCCAGATCTTTATTTCGTCTTGGGGTATAGTTGTATCTCGATTCTCGATTGCCGTTGTGCTTCCCCACACTGCAAAGGATAGTAACAGATTTCGCTTGGCGGGTTAATATATAGCGAACCCTCTCCCGATACGGGAACTGGTAACGTTAGCGCGCATATTGGTGTGTCCCGAGGTTACAGATTTGACATGATGTCTGATCTGATTAAACAAGCACTCAGGATACGCGATCATCCAAAGTAGCGGTTCGATAGAAACGTGGGGGGATGGTTTGTATGGGAGGAAGAAAGAGAGTAAAGAAGACAAAAATCATATTTTGATATCTATAATATCTATAATCTCGGGGGATAGTATCATCTAGTCTATTGCCATCTAGCATTTTCCCAGCGGAGACCGGCGGAACATTTCTTAGGTATTGAAAGACCAATGCAAACCGCCCAGTCGTGAACAGGGTATAGCATCATCCACTTCCCATGGACGAGCGATTCGTTCCCCTAGACCAAAACGATACCGAACTTATCATAAGGGAAATCCTCTAAGCTGACAAGTTGCTCGGCCCAGCCGTCGTCGATTGCACCTAGCTGCTCGTCATTGCCAATCGGAAACAACGCCGTTCTCCCAGCAAGCACCTCTTTCTCTTTTCCCTTGTACTCGGCGGCGAGGCCAGCGTGAGGAACCCATACAGCCCTCATGCCTGCTCTTCGGCCTGCCTCGACGCCTAGAACGCTATCCTCAAAGACCAAGCACTCCTTAGGCGTGATCTTAGGGACTCCCTCAGGTAGGGACGAGTTAATCAGTTGGAGAGCAAGCAGGTAGATATCAGGAGCGGGCTTGCCGCGCTGAACCCTCGGATCGTCACCTAGGACCCGATGTTCCTCCGGGATAAGATCCAACACGGCTTTCGTTTCCGGCCGTGAGGTTTTCAGCTCGTAGTTCGCTCTGTGGCTGCTGGTCGCGAGGGCAATCTCGACCTGTAGCCCCTGCGTAGTCTTCGCGCTTCTGAGATGCTTGAGGAGCTTCTCCACCCCGGGGAGGGGTTTGCACTCGGGGAAGTGGATCTGGTGCTGCTCGGCTTGCTCCTCCTTGAATTGTTCCCGAGAGATGGGCAGCTGGGCCCAGCTATGGAAGGTTTCGCCATGGGATGAACCGGGAACGCCCATGAGCTGGGATTTAATGGACCAGGGGAGACGAGGGCGTCCGTATTTGGTGAGGACTATGTCGGCGCAGAGCGTGTACAGATCCTCGGTGTTGATAAGGAGGCCGTCCATGTCAAATAGACACGCCCGAATTGGGGGTAGGGTCTGGGAAGCAACCCCGGAGACAGACTCCGGACCCTCATCTTGATCCCCCGCCACCATGATCGGAATATATTAGGTATCTAGGTAGGTAAGTAGTAAAAGGTGACAATGATTCGGAGTCTTTAAGATCACTTATAATTGGCTAGAGGTAGCAGCGATTCGTGATATGCATGCAGTGCTAGATAGGTATACATTAAAAGGTGAAGACGCGTGATTGGGATCCGACTGCTCCCGTCGGGATTGAATGGCTTTGCTCGTTCAAGTTAGACTTGGCCCGTCGGTGGCCGGAGGAGATCGCCTCAACTATTTATCCTAGCCTTTTAGTTCGACCAAAAGCATGCCACCAAGATGAGAGAGGTACGGAAGGGAGCATGAAGAACTAGAAAACAAATTAGTTACCTACCTATTGGACCTATTGGACGCCATCAGCTACAAATATTGCGAATCACAAGGGGTTCCGTCTCGTTATTGGACAATCTCCAAGCTTCTGCATAAGAAACCCCACTCAATTATCTCACTGCTCTTTCTCTGCTGAGGTGATTGACTTCGAGATTCGAACATATAAGAAGCTTGCGAATTATTGCGTTACATTTATTCGGTACACGTAGATATTTCCTGATATTTACCTTGAGAATCTGGGAGCTTTGTACGAAATAGGTAGTATAATGGCTGGAGTTACAAAACTTGAACTCCGGACAGCTCTTGGTCCAGTCTACCGGGACGTACTGCCAAATCCCCCTCGGGACTGTACGGCAGATGAAATCCCAATTATCGACCTGGCGCTTATGTTTTCTGAAAAGCTGTCCGACCGTCAGAGTGTCGCCGCTAATATCAGATCGGCCGCAACTAATACCGGCTTCTTCTATATCAAGAATCACGGTATACCGGAAGAGGTCATTGCCCAATGCAAGAGGCAAGTAATCAATTTCATGAGACAACCATTGGAGAAGAAAATGCTAGTGGATTCCAGGACGCATAGCAAGTTCTATAACGGATATCTTGGAAACCGGAAGGCCCAGATCTCTCGAACAGAGAGCGCAGACGTTCGAGAATCGTTTTCGTTTCGGTATAGCCCCGAACTTGATCCGGATCACCCAATGAATATCTCCGACCTCCCTGAAGATGTGAGATCATGGATCCGTGCGGAAGACTTTGTGGTCCGTCTATCCATATCTTATTTATTTTCTCCTTGGGTTTCATGTGATTCAGTTACTCAGCTACGTTTTTGAGCGATGATTAGCTGACCTCAACCTTATAGTGGGAGGGGACAAAACATTTGCCAAACTTTAAAGAAGATAGTCTCGCATATTGGAAGAACTGCTTAACTCTAGCCAGGAGGCTAGTGAGGTTGTTCGCTCTTTCTCTAGACCTGGAAGAAGATTATTGGGACGATAAAGTCACGCATCCAGGAGCAGATGGCGTTTTCAACTACTATCCCCCAAGGACGGTAGAAGAAGTTGAGAGCAAGTTTGTTGGGTTAGGAAGTCATACAGACTTGCAGCTATTTACGCTCTTATGGCAGGACAGCGTAGGTGGTCTGCAGATACTATCCAAAGAAGGGCAGTGGCTGAGGGTAAGACAAGATGCGGGTTTTATGAAGAGTTAAAACCGATGCTGATAGTTTTTGAAGGCACCTCCGATTGAGGGAACGCTTGTTGTCAATATAGGCGACTTCATGATGCGGCTTTGTAATGATATTTATAAATCCACAGTCCATAGAGTGACAAATGAGTCAAACGAGGAGCGTGTCTCTCTACCATTCTTCTTCGGTACGTCGTTAATCCATTGCTCTTCTTGACATATTCGCTTACTGTCCTACTAGGTCTCAATTTTAATTGTGTCGAGGGTGTTGTGCCTTCATGTACGTCTGAGAAGAATCCGGCGAAATACGAACCCATTTCTTGCGGCGACTGTGAGTCTCTACACCCATCCTAAAAAAAAACCCTAATTGACCAGCTCTAGGGTGTCAGAAGAGATTCAAGATTGAGAGGGATGAGTTTCTCAAGAACCACGAAGCAAAGAAGATACTGGCTCCAAGTGCTACCGTAGTAGCTATATAGGGTATCTCACTTTGTTTTACCGGATATTATCTGAGCTTGGATAACCTTTGCTTATTCGGTTGCTTGGCTGCTTATAAGACCTTTTGAATAAGCTCGAGCACATCAAAGAATGCCTCGCGCTCGGGCTTGAGGGCCTTTAGGCCTAGGCCAACAACAAGAGTACGGCGTTCATCCGGGGTTTTCCTTGCTATATGGCTAGCGATTTGAACGGCATAAAGCTGCGCTAAAGATTCGCGCTCTTCGCCACCTCCACCAAGGAGTGTCTTTGGTGTTAAGTGAGACAGCGGCAGCAAGCTAGAATTTGCTAGGGCCATGTCTACGCTTGCTGGCGAAGATACCGACAATGGTACTTGAATCTATTATGAGATAAGCGTTAGAAATTGGAGTATCGCCTTGGTTTTTGTAGTAATTTACCCATTGCGACAATCTGCCTTCCTGAGATAAAGTGAGAAGGATCTTGTCTGAGAAGTAAAGAACAGAAGCCTCGGTCGTAATTCCGTCTATAAGTCCAGTGAAATTTCTTGATTGAGCCGGGAATGGCGCTTCAACTACTTGAGAAGAATCCATAGGTTTAACTCGTTCAAAAAATGGAATTAGAAAAAAAGACAAATAAAAAATCACTCGGCTTGAAAGATGAAAGATGAAAGATGAAAGATGCTAGGTTTGGCGATTTCGATAGATGCACCTGCAACTTGCTACATAACTGTGGCTGTTGGGCTGTAATTAAAGCATTGCCCCTGTGGCTTGCACTATTTGGGACTGCTAGGACGGATCTTACAGCTTATAAAGTGGGCCCGTTACCACTAAAGTGGCACTAATAGACCCCGCGCTAAGCCGATTCAACCCCCCAGAACAAATTCTGCCAGGCGGTCAAAATTTCAAAGTGCCGTTTCTCTTCCAGGAACATTCTCTCATTCTTCACTCATTGACAACAGTTAAAAATGCCAAAATTCGTACCGCGCCAGAGGAAACATAAGGTTCTTGCGCGCGAGAAAGCGCGACAAAACGGCGTTCAAGATGGAGGGGACGCATCTCCACAGATGGACAGCAATGCGCTGGAAATTCTTCCAGACGCTCAGAAAGCAGAACGGGAAGCCAAGAGAGCTAAGCTGAGAGATGAACTGAAGGGTGAAGTCAAGGTTAGCGGCAAGAAGGCTAAGCGACTTGAGAAATATATCGACAACAAGCTCAAAAAGGACGAGAATCGGGTTTTGCTAGCCGAGTTAGCCAAGAATAAGATAGACACAAGCTTATTCTCGAGTACTCGGACTCTCGGCCAAGGAAAAGAAACGAAGCGCCAGGCACTTAGTCGCGCCTTGAGAGAACGAAGAGCAGGTATCAGTCAGGACAGTGATGACATCCTCTTTGAAACCAAGGATGTTGAGGATTTAGATGATGACGCTGAAGCCGACTCCGAAGCCGACTCGAAAACCACTCGTTCTAAGGGCCAAGAAAGCAAGTTTTCTCAAAATGCTACGTTGACAGCCAATGATATTTCTGCCAGCGATGCTAAAATTGAGTTACCACAAAAGCCAGTGGTGACTGTTGGCTCTGGACTGAAACGACCTCTGGAATTAGATGACGAGGGGCGGCCAGTTATACAAAAGAGACAGAAACGTGGTGGCGTAAAGTCGAAAGTGCATGCGAAGCCACAAATCATATTGCCTGAGATATCACCCGATACTAACGGAGAACGCATGGATGAGGATGATACTAGTGATGATGAGTGGAACGGGTTTAGCTCCGACGCATCTGCTCGCGAATCAGCCGAGTCCCAGAGTGCTTCGGAGGATGAGTCTGATGAAGGGGAATCTACAGATCAAGAGTCGAGTTCCGATGACGAAACGTCCGAAGAGGAGGAAGACGACTCAAAGAGGAAAGAGAGGTCTTCAGCGTTCAAATCCTGGGCTCACGAACAACGCAATGCGGCCCTTGGATATCAGCCGGTCGACAGTAATAGTTCAGTCTTAAATATTCCGGTCCCCAAGGATTTTAAACCACGGCCATTGGAGCAAGACCCATTACCCCTGGAGTTACTGCCGACAAAGGACAGTGGGAGAAAGGCATTTAGTGTCCCAGTCCAGAGGACGCCTGAGATACAAGAGGCGCGGCTTAAGCTACCAGTTGTAGCTGAGGAGCAGAAGATCATGGAAGCTATTCATAACAACAATGTCGTGGTAATTTGTGGTGCCACTGGATCAGGAAAGACGACACAAGTGCCCCAGTTCCTGTTCGAAGCTGGATATGGCTCACCTAATTCACCTACACCGGGCATGATTGGAGTAACACAACCACGAAAGGTCGCTGCAGTTAGTATGTCAAAGAGGGTTGGGCAAGAACTGGGTGATCGATCAGATGCTGTGGCATACCAGATTCGATTCGAGGGCACAGTTGATGACAAAACATCTGTTAAATTCATGACCGATGGTGTACTTCTTCGTGAAGTCGCCAACGATATTTCCCTTCGAAAATATTCCGCCATTATTATCGACGAGGCTCACGAGAGGAGTGTCAACACGGATATTCTTGTTGGGATGCTTAGCCGAGTCGTAAAGTTACGAGAGGAGATGTCTAACGAAGATCCCAAATTAGCCCCCCTGAAACTAATTATTATGTCCGCTACCTTGCGAGTTGATGATTTCATAAAAAACAAAACGTTATTCCCAACTCCACCACCGGTTCTTAACGTTGAGGGCCGTCAACATCCAGTTACTATGCACTTTGCTCGGCAGACTCACCACGATTACGTTGACGAAGCTTTCAAGAAGATTATGAGAGGACATCGTAAGCTCCCACCAGGTAGCTTTCTTGTCTTTCTCACCGGACATGATGAAATACAAAGGCTAAGCAAAAGGCTCAAACTTGCGACCGGTGCCATGAATCCCGCTGTATATCCAAAGGTTCGAATATCCGCTAACGACGCACCTTTGGAAGTTGAAGATATCGATTTTGGAGAGACTAATGATGTTGGGAACGATGATTATGATTTGCCATTTATTGATGAGGAAGAGGAAGATGCTGAGGACGATGCCGAATTTGATGTCTCCGACGAAGTTGGCTCAGGGCCCCTGAAGATGCATATTCTGCCCTTGTATTCATTATTACCTACGAGAGAACAAATGCGAGTCTTTGAGGATCCGCCCGAGGGCTCTCGTGCAATTATACTAGCGACTAATGTTGCCGAGACAAGTTTGACGATACCTGGTGTTCGCTATGTATTTGATTCGGGGCGGTCCAAAGAGCGAAAATACAATAAAGAAACTGGCGTGCAAAGTTACGAGATTGGATGGATTAGCAAGGCTAGCGCAAACCAGCGAGCTGGACGTGCTGGCCGAACTGGACCAGGTCACTGCTATCGACTATACTCTTCCGCCGTTTATGAGCGGGACTTCCCCGAGTTTGCAGACCCCGAACTGCTGAGGATGCCTATTGAGGGTGTGGTGCTGCAACTGAAAGCAATGCGCTTGCAACATGTAGTCAACTTCCCCTTCCCTACACCACCAGAGCGGCAAAGCCTGGCTAAAGCAGAAAAGCTGCTTCAGTACTTGTCAGCAATCACCGAATCTGGCCAGGCGACTCAAATTGGTCAGACTATGGCAAAATTCCCTCTGCCGCCTCGGTTTTCCCGAATCCTTCTCGTTGGACACCTCCACGATTGTTTACCGTATACTGTGGCACTTGTCGCAGGGCTATCTGTGGCCGAGATATTCATCCCAGAAAGCCAAGCGATACCAGCTCTGGCAGCAGACCATGAACACGACTTCCGCACCAACCAGGACGTAGCTGCGGAGAACCAGCAAACCCAAGCGCGAAGAAAGTATAACGAAGTTCACCGAAACTTCTGCTCGCTAGACGATAGTTCCGATGCCATCAAGCTCCTCCAAGTCGTCGGAGAATTCGCACACGACCCGACGGAACACTGGTGCGAGAACCACTTCGTGCGGTTCAAAGCGCTCCAGGAAGCCCAGAAGCTCCGCCGGCAAATCACAAACCTGCTGCAAAAAGATATACCGGCATTCGCCAACCTGACTTTTAAGGAGAAACTCGACCGACCTAGCCCCAAGCAAATCACAGCCCTCAAGCAGATGGTCGCCGCCGGGTTCATAGACCAAGTTGCCATCCGCGCGGACTTGGCCCCGACCCCTCCCGAAATCTTCCGCAAGCCCCGCCGCGCCATAGACGTCCCGTACGTGCCCCTCAAGCCCATGGACGCGGACCCGCGCGACCCGCTCGCCGGCCTCGTGTACATCCACCCGTCGTCCTCGCTCGCGCACCGCAGCCCCCAGGAGTGCCCCGAGTACATCGTGTACGCGAACCTGCAGCGCGCCGCCGCCGACCCGTCCGGCCAAAAGACCCCCAAGACGCGCATGCTCGCGCTCACGGATATCACGGGCGCGCAGCTGGCGGCGCTGGCCAAGGGGACGCCGCTGGTGTCGTATGGTAAGCCGATTAAGGAGGTCCCCAAGTCGGATAATACTAGGGAGTGCTGGGTCGTGCCTTATTTGAGGGCTGAAGGGGCCGGCGGCATGGGCTGGCCGTTGCCCGTTAGGAAGGTTATGCAGAAGAAAGTCCCTGGGAAGGGCTGGGTTACGGAGTGATTTATGCGAGGGTAGCCACCTAAGTATGTACCTCACCTATACATTAGGTACCTGGCTAGAGTTACATAGGCTAGAGTTGGAGTTGGAGTTGGGTTATGCGATGCGATTAGTTTATATTAGAACAAGCCGGATTCTTTAGAAGTAAAGGGTAGAAAAAAAAAAGCGAATTTCCATTAAGCCAACCCGTTCCAGACAAGTATTCATAGCGCAGAACGCATCATCTATTACGCAAAGTGGGCCAGCCATCTATAGCAACTAATCAATCAATCAAACAATGGTTGACGGAAGGTCCCTAAGGGGCTCTCATCTACTTACTATACAGCTAATTCCTTTTGAGAATGCAAATGCTCTCTCCTCATCTCGACGTAATACTCATTGTGTTTCGTCTATGTTGCAAGTGTTGTAAAAAAAAAACCTGCTCATGCTCCCTAACGCCTCAAGCAAAGGAAAAGAAAAGAGAGAGAATAAGAAAAAGCAAAAACAAGAAAAAAAAGAAATTGCCAGCCAGAACCGTTTTGCTATCTAACTTGGGGGGTGATGTTATATCTTGGTCCCAATTTGCTAATTTCTGTCTTGCGCGCGAAAAAAAGGATATGAATGATACCCTCGGATCAAGTGGGAATGGTCGTCTATCCTGTCTCTACTAATTCTATTTTCTTACTACTCTCGGTATGGGGGCGGCGCCGTTGAAGGTCCGGGGACGGCGGGGAGCGACCGCTCGTTGGCTGGAAGGGCCGATCCAGCTCTCGCTAGTTCGGTTGTCTTGTACATCATCTTAGGAAAGTATTGTTGAATAAATGACTCACTATTTGAAGTTAGTATATAACCCGAAAAACCTATTCACATAGCTGAAGTGCACTTACGTGTAGTAACTGTGGTCTGAGTTATGCAGTTGAACAAGGTTGTGGGCCAACTCATGGGCGAGGACAACCCACCACCAGACAGCTGCCGCAGCTTTTCCTTCCCCTGACAGATTCTCTGCGTGTAGTTGCATAAAAAAGCGTAGATTGCAAAAGATGCTACCATCACGGTTAAAAGCAATCGTACCTCCCTCCTGGTCGTAGAAGATGTGCAATGCGGAGCGCTTGATCGAGTAAACATCGCCCACTTCGGTCAGTATTGAAGCAAACGAGTTGATAGATCCGTGGTTTGTCGTAAGGAACTGGGCAGGATCAAGATTAGGTATCGTTCTAGATACAAACACCCGCATTCCGTTCGATGCTTCTGCCACGAAATTGAGATCCCTTCCTATAGTGTCATCGCAATACGTGGCTTGTTCCTTGACCTCTCGAGTTGTTGGTGGTGAATAAACTTGGGAGGAATCGTGGGCTCTTGTAGACTTAATGGCATTGAGAAGGTTCTGTTGTATTATAGCGGGATTAGTGACCTTGCCATCGTCTTTCGTGCCTGACTTTGACCCCGATGAGGGCTCTGGTGGCGGTAATTTCGCTGGCTCGGGATCGGAGTTCATCAAGTTCCTCAGGTCATCATCCTCACTAGAAGTGTCAAAACCGAATCTCTTGGAGAAATTCGAGAAGAAGCCTTTGCTCTTCCTATTCTGTGGCTGGAGTGTATCCGTTGGTGGCGGTACGTCGTTGTCATTGGGGGACCCGAATCCACCTGGCATGCGTGGCGGCGGCGTCCTATTCCCGTTCCTCGCGGCTGCTGCGGTAGTAGCAACTTGGGCGTGTCTTCTAAATTCCTCTTCTCGTTCCCTAATTTTGGCTTGCTCAGCATCTAACGCCTTGCGCCTTTCTTCCTCTGCAATTCTAGCTTCGGCTGCCTTAGCTCTAAGGATACGATCAACGTTGTATCCACGAGCTCTCAGATCTAGTAAATCAAGCTTCAGGAACGGCTCGAAGAAAAAGTACGCTTGCTGACTTGGTCTGTTCAGGATAAGCTGGCATACTGCTTGCCCTACTTGATACATATCAGGGCGAGAAGATTCGGATGCAACGTAAAGGATCCAGCCATTGGCAGCTTTCAAACTCGCTGCTGACCTCTTTTCAGTGTGCGACTGACTTTGGCCACGAAGTGACCGGCGAAGCGAGACTGACCGTACAGCTTCTACAGTAAGATTTTTCTCGAGCCATCTCGCGTCATGTTTGATGGCATCCCGCGTGTACCTGGCATACTCATGAATGAAGATCTTTGAGCGTTCAAGCACGTGCTTCCGAAGCCAAAGCGCACCCTCCTGCTTCTCACTCTGCGGTCCAACCCTGAGATCCTCTTGGACAATGGTGGAGAGAGTCTGAGAGCCAAGAGCAATATAGAAAGCCTCTAAGCTGTCTTCTTCTGGCGCACAAATTAAGTGATCTTTAAATAGGCGGTAGCTAATGTAATCATCCAGAATTACAATGCTGGCTGGGATCGCAAGTTGGTACTGTCTGATTGGCGCTTCGTCTTCCTCGGTTTCTAATGCTTTTTCTTTTGCGGGTGCGCTTATCTCTTTAAATGCTAGGAGAAACGGTGAAGATCTCATCTTCCGCCAGAGTTCCTTATCTCTTTTGAGAGTTGCCATGTCTTCAGCTAAGAGTCTCAAAACACTTAGGTACTTTTCCGAGCTTTGAAGGACACTAAGCAGTCTGGCAGGTTCACCTGCTGCTAGCTGAGCAATTTCTAGCTTGGTCGGCTCGGTTTTTGAACCACATGCGGATAGGAAAGCATTCGCAGAGCTGCCGAAGTCGACAAAGTCGAAAATATCTCCGTACATCGTTGAACTACCTAGATAGCACTGGCGAGGACTCAAATGGACAACATTGCCTGCTTTACCACCTTTCTCTGTCGCCATGGGAGAGGCTGCCAGATCCTTTTTACGCACTACAGGCACGATCGGAGCTTCCCGAAGTTTGACGATCGCGCTTCCGTTGAGCTCATTCAGGCGAGTAGCGAAATAGCCAAACAATGAAACGGACTCCTGGTGGGTTTGGGGAGGTTTGGCTAGCAGCTTCTCGACGCATTCGTAAATAGGGGGGTCCGCGACGACGCCGAATTTCTAGGATACGGTTAGCGAGATCTGTGCATAAAACACTAAAGGGCAAATCAATTAGTTGAGACTTACAGGAGCGTGGGGATGGAGATCACTACGCAAGATGTGAAACCCCAACATGGCAGCCGCCTCATTTGTAAAGCATTGAGAGGGGCTCGCAAGCTGCTTATTACTTCCCTGCAGCGGGAGGAAAGCTTTGGACACAGCTCCTATATTGGAGGATGCGTAATGATTACTATGATGATAGGAAATAAAATAGTTCATGGCATTGTCCCTCAGCTTCAAATCGGGCGAGGCCATCATATCGACGAGTACGGACGCTGGCGGGTATGGACGCAAGCCAAGGTCAATCAAGAATTTTCCTTCCGCACTTCCAGGACGTAAGCTACCACCCGGCCACTGAATGAGCTTGAGACCAAGCGGCCGAAGCGGCCCTTTAGGCTCGTAGAGTTCAGAAACTTTGTACAGTTGCGAACTCGCTTTAGACGACTCTAGACCATAGGGACCGGCTTCCGCCGGACATATGCGTGACTCCTTGAGTTTTCTCAAATCGTCGTTCGGAATATCTTGTCGTACAGACGCCAAATATTTGATGAGTTCGACGTGACTCCATTTTGCTCTTCCAGTATCCTCTGTCTCTGTGGAAGGATTGAGCAACCGTGTGAAGATCGTATCTAGATCAACGGTTTTTCTGACGCCGATAGCAGTGAGAAATTTGTCCTTTAGCGAAGAACATCCCTCAATAGTTGGGAGATCATCAAACAATTTTACACTCTGGAAAAACGATTCCGTCGGCTTCTTCATACCTAACTTGGTAGGCATAACAGTATGACTCTGCAGCAATGATGTAACAGTTGCTTTAGAGCTCTGGCTGAGATTGTCCCAGCTTTTTGACAATACAGTAAGGATTTGTATCGAAAACTTAGGAGACTTGGTCAGGTTTTGCTCATCTGGCCTCGTTGAACAGGTTCCAATTAGGAAGTGAAGCCAAGGGACAATCTCAAGGGATTCCCAGCCCAGGGCCTGCAGCTGCGTTGAGCTGCAGTGCTTGGTGAACTCGTACGGTAGTGTAGTTGGTGGTATGGGCAAACCGGCTGGTATCTTGTTTGGACTTATATAGTTTTTTATGTTTCCTAGGGCGATAATGCCACCATGCTCATCAGCCCCCTCTGTGACAAGGCCTACTGCCACATCAAGAAGCCTGTCTCGACTCGGTAGGTCAAGTTCACCCTGAGAAGCCTTCTTGCCGGCCCAATCTATAAAGCTGATAAGTTGGGCCTTGTTGAGTGGCTTTCCGGACAGCTCTACCCGGACATCATCTACAGTTATAGGAGAAATCAAATCGAATTCGATCAACTTCTGGATGAAGCCAGTGGCGGTAAGCTCGGGTGGAATTACAGGTATCCCATCAACAAAGTTGGCAAGCTCTTCCAAACCAAGTCGGACTTTGTTGGTGGGAAGAACTCCTCGGCTGCTGTAGACTTCTACAAAGGGTTTTTTGTATGACGTCCAGAATGCTTCTTCGATTATCTGCGAAACGTGCCCACTAGGCGTAGAATCTCCGAATGTAAAGGCTTTTAGGGTATGTAATGCTTCGGGCATATACTTGTCAACCTCTTTGGATGTGATGCCCGCCTTAGAAGACTCCGCTGCCCGCTGCAATTTGGTTTGTAATTCGGCCATCTCATTCGAAAAAGCAAGCCGAGTCATGATGCCAGCAGCTCGGAGCATTTCGATGTTCCATGTCCTAACCCACCTTGCATTTAAATCAATAGCCTCCCGTTCTACCGTGGGTATGACTGAAGGGGCTGAAATATGAATACCAGCACCGGTCGTCTGGGTAGTTGGGAACCCAATGAAGATCCGCCCGCCTTTTTTGCTCGGCAGCACGGAGGCAAATACATTCGTGGCCTTAGAAACTGCTTTGGAGCTTGTAGAACTTTGTGAGGCCTGCGTTTCGTCATACGAAGAAGTCAAGATGGACAATTTAGCTAGCTTTGGGGGAGGCTTTTTGGTAGCCCTCTCCAACTCCGCTGAAAAATTAGCAGGGACTGAAGTCTTTATCGCAGCAGTAGTCACCCTAAGAAATATGCTGCTTGAGGATACTAAGGTTATGTCTTCGGATAAGGTCTCTTGGGCAAGCTTCTCTTCTTTTGCCGCCTTGCTAGCCTTCGTCGAAGCAGAGTTGGCGGTGAGCCTAGAAAAGAAACTGCGCAAAGACGGCATTTCCGAACTACCTAACCCGTAGGCTTCGCTTTTTGCCGCCGTTGCCACTTGGGGTTTCCATCCGATGGCCGCCATGAATGAGGCATCTATCTGTGCGCTCGCACGCTCAACACTCTGCACCTTCATAAGACGTTCCTTGGTTGTAGTTTCGACATCTTTCGACAGCGCAACATCGACGCTGGGGCTGGTTTTCTTTTGCAGATGGAGGATTTTGTAGTCATCGATCCAGAATTCAATGTTCTGGAGCGCTACGAACGTTAAACTTGTGGCTAGGAACTGGCTGACAGAGAGCAGGTTTGGTAATGTTGTCGTCGTATTTCGGTAATCTAGAACAAAGGCTGTATCTGAGCTGCGTTGATCCTCGGGAACCTGTAGTTTCCTTGTGAAAAGAGCATTCCCTTTCCAGTAGAAGGCCATAGCTTCATGACCTGAGCTGACAAAGGGTTCCTCACAATCCGCAAACACGCTATAAAATCCTACACCAAAAGCCCCGATCTTGGTTTCGTCAGGGTTGCCCTCGGCAATCCTTTTCAATCTTCCCCAGTCGGTCTTCGTAAATGGTTGGCCATTATTCTGCACGACAAGTCGCTTTAGGGTATGGTTTGCGATTATATGCTTCAGGATTTCGGAGCGGTCGGTTGTAGAAGGTAAAGGGACTTGTGTCGAAGGAAGAGTTTCCCACTTGATCTTCACGGTCGTAGCTTGGGCGTCAGCAGCATTCTGAATAAGCTCTCGCAACGTAGTCCACTCGCCAGAGTATCTGGCTAAAACTTTGTCGATCAAAGCTCGAGTGTCGACGGTTACGGCCTCTTCATCCTCGCCATCCCGTAGGGCGGCAGCTCGGAGCCTCCCATAATCCATCGTTACGGTTAGAAGAGTAGATGGAGTACTCAGTAGGACATGATAGTATTAAGACAACGTGATTGTTATTTTAACTTGGGCAAAAGGAAAAGAAAAGGGGTAAATAAATTATTTATTGACTCGAGAAAGGTATCACGAGAGGCGCGTCGTTTGGTTGGTAGAAAATACGTAAGTATTCATCCAATTTACGAGTGGCAATTGCTGAGGCTGCAATTATGACTGATGGATGCAAGGACCCGCGTAAGGCGTCAAGCTCTTAGGCAAGGTCTAGAACTAAAAACAAACGCATAAATGGACAAATTTTTTTGCTGACAGTGAATAAATGCAAGCACGAAACTTCAACTTCGAAGGTAAGAACAAAGGTAGTAAGTCCGTACCGTACCTGCTTCACATACACCGCGCTCTTTGGTAATGATGCACGGCTTGCCCCACGCCTACTTGAATGGATTGATAGGCTGGGCACGCATAAGTACATAGGTTAGGTACGTAGGTACCTTACATTCATCTATCTCTAAACTCCACCTAACTCCGGACGTTCATGTACAATACATGCAAAAGCAAGGTACACGAATTAGAGGTAGACTTTGACGGGTCACGGTGGTCCGTGGAGTCGTGGACGAAAAGGTACCGAACTACAAATCGTACATTAAGTTACCTAAGAGGTACCTAGGTAGATACCTAGTACTACAGAACGTTGGTCTAACATTTGACATTAAACTCCCTATTCAGTAGATCCCATGCGAATATTCCATTGGAATTTGTGCTCTTTTTAAGCATATAATACCTGATGAATTCGAGAATTATTCCATAGATAAGTACCTTAGGTACCTGTAATGAAGATATCTCGTGGATAAACTGGGTATTTCTATCTATCCAGATTGTCTTGTACTTTGAACTCTAACATGTCCTATTACACCTACCCGCTAACCCGAAATGCACACTTAAATAAGATAATACAGCGTATAATCATAGCTCATATACTTATTTTATGGCCGTCGATGATGATCATCTGGGGAACTCCTCCTCTTGCGCTGCTGAGGGCTTCTACTTCGCCTTGATCGCCCATCTCTTGATCTAGGTCTAAAACTTTCTTTCCCGTCTCTTCTCCGCTTGGCTCTCTCCGGACTCCGGGATCGGCTGTGTTCTCTTCGGTGTGGCCTTCTGTGTCTATGGTCATTCCGTTCGGGACTGTAACTTCTTTGCCTCCGATGATGGTCATGTCTGTCGTCTTTTTCTTCCCTTGATCTATGACTATGGTGGCCGTCTCGTCTTCTTGGTGATCGGTCCCGGTGTCTTTCTCGGCTGCGGCTCCTGCTCCTATGTCTCCTCCGGTGGTGCCGTCCAGAGTCGTGTTGCTTGGTGGATGTCTGCCGTGTATCGTTGGGTAATTGTTTGGTATCTCGTGAAGTTGCGGTAGAATTATTGCCGCTATCCTCAACACCTCTTCCTTCGCTCACATGTACAGCATTTGCGCCAGTAGCATTTCGGGGAGGAACGGGCAATCCTAGCGCACGAGCTATCGCATCTTCTTCCGCCTCTTTAATTCTTTTGAGCTCTTCTTTCCGCTCCCGAGCTGCCTTTTCCTGCTCTGTCTCTGTGCTTGTTGATGAATCGGCCTTCGCATACCAAGTAAGATCTTTGCCTTTTGCCCAACGTCCGACGGGGGCTTTCAAACTGTGACCCAGGTAGTTCTCGCGGTGAGTTGAAGTGGCGACATCCTCCCAATTGAAGTTGACCCCACCGCGCGAGCCCGTCTTGCGGATGGTCGAGACAAGATCCATAACGGTTGACTGGCTGATAAAATAATTCAATTAAATTGACTTAATTCTTCTGGTAAGTTTTGCGACACAATTGAACGTAGATATTATTAGCGACAGAGTTCAAGAAGAGTTGAGATGGAGAGGGCGTGGATGGATGGATGATGGAAGTTGAACAGAATTAAATGGAGAAAGGTAGCTGTAGATTAGGTACCTGAGTACCTATCCCAGCTGCCCAGGTAGCACAGGTACCTTACCTATATTGAACTAACAGCCCCACTTGCAGCCACTAGAAATGCTACCTACCTCCACTGCGGCACTGCGATACTCAGAGGTACGGTACATGTCATTATCTTGCTCTCCACGCGCGTGGCTAAAGTTCCAAAGTAATCCAACTTCTATCTTTCCAAGCTTCATATTACCCCCATATCCTAACTAACATCTACTCACCGGAAGATCGACAAAGATGGCAACAAGTAACGAGCCATTAGACGAGATTCAATGGCGACATCCAAACTACGCCCAGAGCCTGGGAGGTCTGCATTCCAATAATATACTCTTCTACTTCGCAGAATCGCCTTTCTTCGACCGTACTTCCAACAATGCCGTACTCTTTACCCAGGCCACCTTCAATGAGAATATGAAATTTATACTCTCTACCCGTGAACAATTTGAGGGTCGCCTCAAGCAGATGTCAGGGTTGGAGTATATAGTCGCTCAGGAACCAGCCGAATCGGGTCCTGGTATGGGCACTGGCGTCTGGGTCATCCACAAGCAGACACGTCGGAAGCGGGATCCCGAGGACGAGATCACTGTCCATGCTGCCTACTATGTCATCGGAGAAAATGTGTATATGGCGCCCACGCTCGCGGATATCTTGAGCTTCCGGATGGTAATTATCCCATATCAATATATCATTCTACTCGTTCACGAACATTCAAGCCTAACGGTTGTTTCGTAGGTCACCATCTCATCGGCATTGAGCAAATGTTTCGCTGCTGCAGATAACGCACGAACCTGGTCGCCAGCCCTCGGGCATATCTACAAAACAGCACCGGGTACTACAAGTAATAGAGCACATGCATTGGAATCGAAAGGAGCGACGCCAATGCCCGAGGCGCAAGGAAGCAAGGCAGCCCCGGAATCAAAGAAGCCGATCCAGTCAGCCGTAGACTCCCGTTTAGCCGAACATTCATTTATGATACACATGCAGTACGGAGGAGACTATATGGATGAGAACCCCATTACCGGCAAACCCGGCGAGTTCCATCTCACCTCTACGGGCCGCAAAGATAAACTTCAAACATTAGCTTTGCCAAATCTTGATACGTCTTTCAAGAGTCCCACCATTACTCAGCCGGATAAGAAGGATACGAAGGGCGACAAGACGCCAAAGACACCTACAGGGATGCCTTCTAAACCCAGGCGAAAGAAGAGTAAAGCTGGTGCTACCCCAACTTCCGCATAGAAAACCGAAGATGGCAAAGATGGTGGAAAGAAACGGAAAAAAAAAGTCTCATTTACTGGATTAACAGGGGACGGCGTTTAGAGGCTTGGGAAACGGAATATTGATACCCCTGCTATAGGTACAGCTATAGTTACAACTATAGGTATTTGATTTCAACGACAGACTAATCCTAGTCCCAGATCACTCACTACCTCCTTGGTGAATATTTCGATATTTCATCAATTTCAAGTTGTCTCGCACGGTGTTGTTTCCTGGTTTTAAGTCCTATTATTTTCTATTAAAACTGCAGGATCAAACACGAAAATCAATGTTACGATAATAAGCGATGAGTAAATCTTCCTAGACAAATTATGCTTTATTTACAGTTATTTAACAAGATTTCAAAGGTTGGAAGTTAACCCTACTTCACCTGCACGATATTATTCGGTTTCCCCACGTCACCACTCCCATAAGTCATCCCTCTCTTCACCATCGGGCTTTCCGTAATCTTAGGCCCGTCGTGCAACATAAGCGAGTTCACCTCACTTAACTGGACCTCCTCGGCAGCCCGGGGGCGCATCTCGCTTTCGTAGATGTCGATCAGTTCGGCCTGGGATCGGCCCTCTGGGTTCGTCAGTAGTTTGACGAGGCTAAAGAGATCGACTAGACCGTGGCTTAGCCCTTGTCCACGATCTATGTGAAGCACATCACGTTAGTATCTAAGCCTCTCTCTCCAAGGACAACTATGGGAACGTCTCCGTACAAGTTTTAAACGGTGACAACATAGCAGGTATGAAAGGGGATAGGGAGTCTACTTACGAAACGTCATGGGGTGCGCGGCATCGCCCACTAGGGTGACGAGACCCCCGTGGTTATCCCACTTGTGCTCCGGCAAGCTCGGGTCCCAATTAGACAGGCCGAACCAATATACCTCCTTGTGGTCGTCAGGCAGCAGCTCGAAGCACTTGCGCAGGGGGTCCGTAAACGCTTTGCTCCGCTCCTTCGCCTGGCGCAGGCGGTCGCGAATGCTCATGCCTGCCGCGATCTCGGCGGCCTGATCCTCGGGGGTGCACTGCCACGCGACGTAGAAGGTGAAGCGCCAGTTCTCCGGGTGGTCCTTGTCGATGCCGTCCATGAGCGTCAGCGCCCCGCACATGTTGTCCGGGTGCGGCCACAGGCTGACGAGCGCGTTCTTGGCGATCGTCCGCAGCGACACCGCGTAGTCCGCCGGGAACGAGGCCGTGATGAAAGTCGCTACCAGCGGAAGCCGCTTGACGGCCGCCCGCTCGTTCCCGAGCAGTTCCCTGCGTACGCGGCTCTGGCTGCCGTCGGCGCCGACGAGGAGACGGCCCGTCTCCGAGGTCCCGTCCGCGAAGTGCGCCGTCACGCTCTTCCCATCGTCCGCGTACGATATGCGCTCGAGCTTCTTGCCTAACCGCAGGTCTGGAAGCTCTTCGGCGGCGAAGGTGCGCAGGCGCGATCTCAGGACGCGGCGTAAGTTCTCCACGGGTTTCTTCGCCAGGAGCTCGCCTGTTTTGCCGTTGAATATGGGCATATACTCGACCTTCTCGGGTTTCATGTAGGGGTCAACCATCGCAAAGTCTTTGTGCTTCCATCTTTCTTCTCCGATGAGGGACTCGAGTAGCACGGTAGCCCAGTGCAGACCGATTCCCCAATCTCGTCCACTGTTGTATTAAAGCACATGGTGTTAGCTTCCACTTAATTCTGCTATTCTTCAAATTGGGAATCCCGCAGGGGAGTAACAGCACACCAACTATTAATAATCAGTTATCATGAACAAGACAATGGAGTAATTAGATGTGTGTAAACAGAGGTTAGGCCATCAACACAATTTATTTCCATACATACCCTTCTTGCAACAATTTGTTCGTCTCTCTCGAAAACTATAGCCCGGATACCATTCTGGTCATCTGTTAGTCGAAGCGGCAGACTTCCAGAGCAAGATGGGAATTTACCATATGAAGGGCATGAGCCAAAATCAACCCATTGCAACCTAGTACAGTATATATCAGTATTCTTATGATATCCTGGGAATGACTTCACTTACCACCACCAATAATGAGAATGGGTAGGTCTGTCTGCTGATTGTTTCCTGCCATTTTATATGTATTGGGCCGCGCAAGTTTCCTATTGGTGCCCTGAGTGGAATATCTAGTTGTAAGTCTGATATTGGGCAAGCTTTTGAGCAGAATCCCCGAATAACTTATAAGTTAAGAGAGCTAAGCCAAGAGAGCCGAACGAATATCACCCGCAACTCGATGCGTAGACAATAGGAGAATCTATCTCGTCCATCTGAGTTCTCCTTAATATATATTCATCCAACTGCGTCATATGCCATCTTCATAGCCGAAATTTCTTTAGTTAGTTGCCTTCAGCAGCGCAACCGTGGGGTTACATCCGATTCCTCTAATCCAGCCCACCGATCACGCTCGTGATCCGTACGAGAACAAAAGGCAACGTGGAGTTCGCCGTCGATCCGTACAAATAGCATTACCATCCAATGAGGATCTATCTCTCGCTCTTCGCATCTTACCGTCAAGCGCGAGCGCATATAAAAAAAAGATAGAGAGTGATAAAAGAGAGGAGAAGAAGAGGCGCACTCCTCTTCGAACTCCTCAGATCATTAGCGAAGCGAGTCTGCTGCCACCAGATCGAACGACCGGGTTTGGCCTCGAATCTACGATGGGACGAATGAGGTGGGGTACATGTCGTTCCGCAGACCAGTCACGGTTACAGCTGAACGGGCTGCAGCTATTCGCAGCGAAAGATGGTTCCTCATTTGGATAAACCCGTAGATCAAATTATCACTTATGGAAAGACTCGTGCCCTGAGATCAGGAGAAAAAGCTTGACTTTTCTTTTTTTAAAGGAAGCCCCGAGCTTTGTGGTTGCATTTCCAGCTGTCAAGTCAACGCATGGAATACCATAGATTTAATTTAATCTATGGTGTTATGTACGGCTGTTGTTAATATGAGCCCTCAGACTAGATCATGCGTATGATGACGCCGGAAAATAAACCAGTCACAGCTTCAGATAGCTATACCCTGATGGATCTACGTTACGTCAATGACATGTCTCTCTATTAAATCTTGATCGATCATGGCGATCGATTATTGAGTGGGTTTATATACCTAAGCATTGCCGTTAAGTCCGAGGGTGACAAATACGATGCTGCGTACAAGATATCGGCTTCGTTTCGCTGTTTCGCTTCGATACCTATCGTCAAAGATGAACATCTTAATTTAATGGGCAGGTTTTGCCGTTGCTCCTCTTGATTAGGTACAATGATACTATTCATAGTTGGTGCATATCGCTTCATATTTATATCCCAAGGACCATAGTTAATATGCTTTATTATCAAGGTACCTAAGCTGTCCTGGGTTGAATCTTGAATATTACCATAAATAATTACAGGACTTCCCGGTGAGGCTTAATATCTTTTATCCTCTTGTTCAATACCTGATATAATGGGTTTCATTGCTAAATGTAAGGTAGGCATACCTATAGAGATTTATGGTAACATTCGCAATCTACCTCGGTACCTAACATATCTATTAGCGCTTGCCCCTTGAAGCACCTTCGAAGAAGCTACGTGATCTTATATACTATATACCCCTCACAATATGATAGAGCATTCTGATTCTGTCTTTAGGTATGTCCACGGGTCTGCGACTTTATTCGATGTGCGTTCAATATGCCCCGCAACTTGGTAGGATCTGTAGCCTGTCTTCAGTGGCCAAGATTTTCAAATTGTCTACAGCTCAGATAGAGCAGCTGGAAATATTATCCCTACGGCCTTTACCTCATTGGTCGGGGGAATCCAGACTGACGGGTGGTTATATCCCTGAAGAGCAGGTCCTTTCAGCGTTTTAGCCACTGGCCTCCCCCCATCCTGTTTCAATTCAGGAGTTAGAAAAATCCTTTCAGAATCGTCGCACATGTCTCAAGGCAACTTCGGTACTCCCATGGTATAACCTGGGCAAAGCGAGAATCGAATATGGTATCAGCTGCGAAGGATGCCGAGATGAGCTGAACGATCTGGATGAAAAAGTTCTCAGGGAAGGGTTGCTTAGCTCACTTTTCTTACTGCATAGATGCGCAAAATATATGAACCCAGGGGTCGTATCGACCAGAGGTGAATACGATACCATATACAGCACCTATATGACGACTTAGTTGGCTATGATGGCTGCCTATACAAAGGGTACCTAGCCAGCTCCCTTTCAAGAGGATAAAAGGCCAGACGTTACTAGGTTCACTTCAATACACTGCATGTATGACCCTGACAGTCACTCAGTAGGTATATTACATCCATGACGAACCATCATATATGACCGCTACATAAGCAAATTAGGTCCAGATGGGTTACCAAGGTAAGACCTACGACGCGGGATTCAACGTATCAGACGACATTGGATTAAGATTATATGCTGTCTAATATTAAGTACCTGACATTAAATAGTTGGCTGCTATAAGACCACGCGATCTAGTAGACATGGCCTACTAGCAACTTACTCCTACAATTGAGATACACCCCCTTTCCCACGAGCGATTAGCCATTGGCTAGGGTTAAAGTTAGAATTGATGCAGAAACACAATTTAGAAAAGAAGAATGCCAAGTCTAAAGTCGGCTGAGGTAAGGGATAAACCCCTATATCTACCTGAAATACTCGTGTTGTTGTGACCTAGCTTGTTTCGGACCGCCAACTCTCAATTTCACTTATAAGACAGCTATAATGGAATCGGTTCGCGTGCTTGCTATGGATTTACCTACAGCTGGAAGGAATGTCTACCAGTACCGTATACTAGTAAGAGCCGATATCAAATATGTTACTGTTGAAGCTGGGGCTCTCGACGATGATTTGCTGATAGACATGGCCTTAAACTTTCACAGAATCTTTCGTCTAGAAGATTTCCATTTACTCAAGTGGAACGAAGCGCGCGTTTCTCGGAATGCTGTATCCGGCGCATTGTTAAAGCAGCATTTCGCGAGTAAAGTACCCGGCGTAGAAGCATTATGGCATCCGGAGATGATTGACTTCCCCGACATCGAGACGGAAAAGCAGCTCAGCCCGCTAGTCCAGGAATACGAGTGGAAGGAAGCCTCGGTGACGGACTACCGCCCGTTGGGACGCCGTAAAATGCCAATACCAGTTGCCGAAATAGCCCGACCCCGTTCAAGAGTGAGACGGAAACCCGGATCTACCAACTGCTATAAGGTTCCGACGTCGCGCCGAAATACCTTGGTCACATACATGAAGAAGGCAAGGTGAATGGCTTTCCCTTGGAAAAGGTGGAAGGCCGATCTGCCGGCTCGGACGATTTGGAGATCTGCGAGGTAGCCTTGCGGGAGCTTCACAGCTTAGGAATTCTGCACGGAGATTGCAATCGCCACAACTTAATCATCGATTATACTGGTAAAGCTACAGTTGTTAATTTCGAAAAAGCCTAGGTCGGCGCGGACGCAGAGACGATGGAGAAAGAAGTTGCTGGGCTACGAGAAAAATTACAAGACGCAGGAGAAGATACCGACTGCGGTGTATATTCGGCACGGTAGTGACCTTTCAATGGAGAAACTTTTTTTCTTTTCGAGAAAGGAACATGCACTAGCTGCGTGCCGAAACCGGGTTATTTACTCGGACACGACGATTGATGCGATTGTCGAGGCGTCACATGGAGGCTGCTCTAAACCTACCTAATGCACGCCCTGCAGGACTTACGTGCCACTCATACACAACGTTGCATACACCTCATGTGTCTCAAGCTAACGATGCGGCTAACATGAGTAAGACATGTATAAGACAAGAGAGACTGAATCATATGAGTATTTATATACGAAACTATTTACTCCCATAGATAGGTACCTGCCACTGAGAGACAGGGAAACTCCAAAAATTTGTCTTACTACGTAGCACGCTTCCTCTCGGCAGTCAGCAGTCCTACATATTCTTTCTTCCTTGCAGCTACCAGGTAAATTTAGGTAATTATGCCCGAGCCGCTGCAGCATCCGTCACGCGGCACAAATACTCAGCCGTAAACCCGGCCATCAGCGCGCCACCGACGATCCAGAACTGGTCGTGGAACCAAGCCCCACAGCTCTGCGGGCTGCTCAGGTCCACGCTGTAGATGTACCAGGTCATGGCGGCCGCGACGCCGCCCACCGTGCCGACGTAGTACGGCGCGCCGCTCCCCGTCCACACGCCGCACAGGGCGAGCAGGGCGACCATGACGACGGCGAGGGTGGTCGAGAGCAGCTTGGTGTTGTTGCGGAAGCGCAGCGCCATGCTCTTGACGCCGGCCTTCTCGTCGTCCTTGACGTCCTGGTGTGCGTAGATGGTGTCGTAGATGATGGTCCACAGCACGTTCGCCGCGAACAGCGCCGACGTCGGCAGCGCGTACGCGCCGAACGGGTCCACGCCCAGCGTCGCCGCGCAGAAGAATATCGCCCACGCGAACGGGAACCCGAGGAACACCTGCGGGTAGTACGTCACGCGCTTCATCAGCGCGTAGATGAAGAAGAGCACCACGCTGATCCCCATGTGCAGCTTGCACCCCTCGGGAAAGAACGTCAGGATCGGGTAGATGGCGGCGACCAGCGACGCGGTGAAGATGTGCGCCGCGGTCGTGGACACCGCGCCCCGCGCCACGGGCCGGTGGCGGCAGCGCTCGACTTGCCTGTCAAACTCCTGGTCGACGGTGTCGTTCCAGGAGCAAGCGGCGCCGCGCAGGAGGATGTTCATGGGCAGGTAAATCGCCGCGACCTTCAATACCTCCAGAGGGTTGGGGGCAGTGGGAGCGATGCAGGCGGCGTACGCGAGCCCGATCAGATACGGGAAGTAGAAGGCGTATAGACCGGCGGGCCGGTCAATACGCATGAGCTGGGCGTAAGGGATCCACGCGCGCGGAAGCCATGACAAGAAACCCGTCTTCGGGTCCTCGTACGGCGGGAGGTCGGCGAAGGGGTCAGGGTTCTTCTCCTCGGCCTTCTTAGGCACGAGGGGAGTCTTGGAGGAGGTGACAGCCATAAGTGAATCCCCAAGGACCTAAGAACCTGTGAAGGTTGAAATCAAAGTAGGAGCTTTGGTGATCTCCTCTTGAGGTACAAGACGAGAGAAACGAATAAGTGTGAACTATCGTAGGATTTTACGAAGTTGAGATGTGTTGGTTATAGTATAAGGGAGTTAACTAAGAAGAAATAGAAGAAGATATATAGAAGCTAAATACCTAGTCCTACCTAGAGGTAGATAGTAGGGTTACCGCCTCAATTTTGAACGCCGACGGTTAGTCTTAGCTTAACTCATACGGACAGCGATATAATAACCCGCATCCTATCGAGCATCCAATAACGGATAGGATAAGCATGTTTATCTCGTGCATAGTATAGTAAAATGCAGCCGATGGATAGATCATAACTCTATGGGGCCGATACGTGGGTATGGATGGCCATCGAAGGATTGGCGCTTAAGGTTGCAGTGGGTTATGTTACCTTGTTGAGCTACCGTATTCCCACCAGTCTGGTCCACTTGAACCTATTGGTCATAAGCTAACATGCCTGTTACTTCTTGTGGGTGAGTGCATGTACTATAGTAACCGATTTTACGACTATCGTCATGTGAAGGACGAGGTACCTACCCAAAATATTCAAAGCTCCATTATTATCTTCCTCTTGGGACCTACACGTTGGTTGTGTGGGGGAATCCACCTCTGCAGGCTAGGTACCTAAAGTGAATGGTTCGATGAATAGCTCGGATCATGATATTACAATAGTATGTTCGTGTTTTTTCAGACCTTAATGATTTGGCCAATGATAGTATTAATAAAAATGACCTAGACACCAACCAAACCCGAGAAAAAAAATCATACACGAAGTTAGCTCATCATCAGTTATGCCCTCATTACTGCTACGATGAGTGCCGTCGTAAGCTTAAACCTTGTGTATTACGGGCTTGCTCTCGTTCTAGGAGCTATCTGTTTCGCTGTCATAGAATTCTTTAGGCCTGTCGACTCGAAATTACTATCCAGCAAGAGACGATGGAGAATGCCACCAGGGCCACCAGGCCAGCCAGTCGTGGGAAATCTACTGCAGATGTTCCAAGCTCGACGCAGTGCTCAGGCTCTCAACGAATGGGTGAGTACAACTGCTGCTAGTCTAGAGACAACAATTTGCTTTTTCTCAATACGTATCTAAACTATCCTAGCTTAATTCCCTGAGAGCGTATGGCGAGATGGCGACGCTACACATGGGCTCCCGAACTTGGGTTGTCCTGAACTCAGAACGGGTCGTGTCCGAGCTCATCGCCAAACGCGGGAAGATCACGAACGAGAGGCCTCATATGCCGATTGCGAGCGATCTCGTTAGCAATAGCAAACGCACCGTAATCAGACAAGAAGCAGAGTGGAAAGAGGGACGCAGAGTAATGCACCAATTGCTTAGCGGCTCGAACCTCAAAGTATACGCCGGCATGCAGGAGCTCGAAAGCATCGATCTTCTTCGCCTGTATCTCCAACAGCCAAACTTATGGTACGCTCACAACTATCGCTATTCGACGTCGGTTCTCCACAGGGTTGTCATGGGTTACCCTCTAAACAAGCCGAAGGCTCAACTCGACGATTACCAGCGAGTCACGATCGAGTTCGTGAAGAGCATCAACGAGAGCTTTGTGGATTTCTTCCCGGCCTTCAGCAAGCTTCCTCACTTCCTACAACCGTGGCGAAAGTACTGGGCGGACATGGGCGCATTCCACCGTCGCGTGTTCCAAGAATGGTGGGACCCTGTTCGGACGGCTGTGAAAAACGGCTCAGCACCGCCCTCTTTCGTCCGCGACGTCCTTCTGCACCCGGAAGTCAGGTTCACAGGCGACGACGAGGAGGCCATGTACCTAGCCACATCCGTGATGGCGGCGGGTGGGGACAACACTCGTATGAGCATCAACACGTTCGTCATGGCCATGATCTCGCGGCCGGGGGCCCAGGAACGTGCGCAGCGCGAGGTCGACCGGGTCTGCACAGACGCGGACGGCAAGACGCTCAGACTTCCCCAGATGACCGATCTACCCGCGATGCCATACATAGCCGCCATGATTAAGGAGGTCTTGCGCTGGCGCCCGACCGTCCCCATCATCCCGCCCCACCAGCTCACCGAGGACCTCGAGTTCGACGGCTATCGCATCCCCGCCGGCACCAGCTTCCTGATCAACTCGATCGCGCTGTCCCACGAGTTCGACGACCCGAACGAGTTCCAGCCCGAGCGGTGGATTGACGGCTCGGAATCGAACGCTACGGCTAACTTCTGGGGGTTCGGCGGGGGTCGCAGGATTTGCGTGGGCTGGAAAGTCGCCCAGCAGGCTCTGTTCCTCGCATTTGCCCGTTTGATATACTGTTTCGATTTAACGCCGGTTCGTATAAACCCCTGATCCCTGAAATTAGATGCTGGTCTGCCTACGTAAGGTGGCTAACTAGTTAACGTTACAATACTGACATGTACAACTCATAGAACGGCCCTGTCGACGATAGGAGACTAAACCACCAGACCGTCGATGAGCCATTCCCAGTGAAGGCTACCGTTCGCAGTGCCGAACATGCGGCGCTTATCGAGCGGGAAGCATCCAAGTATGAGGCACAATTCTCTCAATTCTAAATACTATGTACTAGTTTAGATAGTCAACAGGGTTCTCAGAGCACCTAGTCCATATCTCAGAGTACCTAAGCTTTGTAGCATGACGTGTAAATCTAGACCCTGTTCCAAAAAAAAAAAAAAAAAAAAAAATAGACACCTAACGCCTAATTCCTAATGCATTCATTCGTTCATTTCCCCATCTTTCTCTTCGAAAACAGCGCTCAAACGACAACAACACTCTAAGGACCTAGTCCAAAATAAAATAGACTTGGTGTGCGCGATAATACCTACCTAACAGCAGCGCCAAACCGTATGATCCTTTTACTCAATGTGTTACGTACACCCAAAGGGATGCCGTTGATAGGTTAGGTTAGGTACAATAGCTAACATACACTTTACACGCTACTGGCTGTGGCTTGAAGGATTTGACCTGCATAAACGTTAGACAAGCGGAATGTTACCCCACCAAGGTTGTCAGCAGTTTGTATTGTACAACCAACTGCTTTCCACTAGGTTAGGTAATTGAGATTTTTTTTTTTCCCGCATAAGACCAGACTCAAAATGGTATTCCGAGAAATCAAGAGTTGATGATCTTCTTACTGCTGTGCTGTTATCCTTCTTTGTTTATCACTCTGTCTCCTCGCTCGTATGGTTGTTGTTTGTATGTATGTACCTATGTATGTAGGAACGAATACTGTTCGTCACACCTGCATCCTTGGTAGGGAGGCTGGGTGAAGTCCGAAATTGGGACGGGTTTGGTTCAATTCTGTTCTTGAGTGGAGAAGACTAGGTATGTTACCTACGGCCACGATGCAACAACACTTGGCCGATTACGTGTTAAACTATTCCGTAATAGCTTTTCTTTTGTACTTTGGTAGGTTATTGCCGCAACCTTAGTTACTAAAGGTTAGGTACCTACCTAACTACTATCTTCCCGAAACGTATAGTCCCCTAGCCAATAGCGTTCAACGAGAACTTGGAATATACCCAATTAGGAAGGCACCGTTACGTCTGAGCCAATCAAAATCTTAACTGACTAGGGGGTTTGCCTTTTTCATGGCCTGCGCTACCGGAATTGCCTTGTTAGTATCATAAACCTGGCAGGGTCCGTCTGTTGGTTGTTGGTAATATTAGTACGTACGCGCTGTTCGGTCCGCATGCCCCCTTGCGTCACTAGGTTGTATTCCTTGCAGCCGCATTCCGTTCCTCGTACCACAAACGGACTCCAATGGATCCCAGGGTTTATTGTTATACGCAAGGTTGTCCTGCAGGTAATGCAATATTGTTGCAAGAGTACCTGCCAAGCGTTCACCATACTACTATGTAGACCTATAACCGTGGAGGGGTTGGCTATCAAGCTACACTTAACCTAAACTAGTATTGCTCACGACGTCTTTTCAAGTTCCGTTACTTGAGTTAGGAGCATTTTAAAAATATAGGATCTACCTAACTTCAAAATGCCTATTCCATTTGTGCAAAAGCGTAACTGTACATCCCCGGCATAGGTAGGCCCAGAATCTAGTACTCCAAGCTAGTACTATACCCCTCAATCATTAGCTTGTTCTTTCAGATTTACCGTGCTATACAATCCATCTAGTTCATCTAGTTAGAACCTAAAGCTACCTCCCTAAGATACCTAACTATAAGGAATCAGTCAGAACTTTCTTTTCCCCCATTAACTTAGGTAACTAACTACCTGTGTGAGGCAAGGACTACCTAGGTAGTTTATCTATAAATATTTTCAATCTAAGAGGAGACTTAAATTCATAACTTGCATTGATTTCATTCAAACGAGCAGACCTAAGTAGCTTGAGATCAGTGTCCCATGTTAATAGAGGGGACACATGTAATCCGAGGTATGTAGGTATGTACATCGAACCACAGCACACATCGCTGTGCCAATAAATGGTTTTCTTCATAGCACTACCTTGTAGTTACCCAGGATCCTTGCGCACAAACTGCCGATATATCCATTCATCTTACGATCGGCGATTAGGTTGTCACCATTTACTACTAGTTGCAAACCGCGGTCCGCTTGAAGAAGTTCAAGTTTCCTCAAAGATTACCTAAGGTTAGGTAGATAGATAGATTTCACGATTGTGACTCGTCCACCTCGGCCTCGACCAAGCTCTCCTGGCCAGACTCGTAGGTGTAGATCTTAACAAGCCTGAACCCTGCCTTTTTTAGTAGCTCGACTAGGTGCGCTTCGGTCCGCTCCTGGATGGCCGCAAGTATCAGCATCACATGGTCCATGGAGGTGATCGGCCAGCCGGCCTTTTGGGGGGGCACCACGATCTCGTTGATGAGCAGCCTGGAGTAGCCCGGCTTCATGGCGGGCCTCAGCTGCCGCAGTATCTTGACGCAGTCGTCGTCGCTCCAGTTGTGGAGGATCGAGTGGAGATGGTACGCACGGGCGTGCTTGACGGGCTGGGCGGTGAAAAAGTCGTGCGAGAGCGCCTCGAAAACGCCGCCGTCCTTTTCGGAAAGGCTGGAAATCACCGCCTCCCGGTCCTGCAAGATGAGCTTGCCAGGGAGCTGCGGGTGCTTCTCCCGGAGCTCATGCAAGTCATGGCCCTTGCCCCCGCCGACGTCCACGAGGAGGACATCGCTGTACTCGGGGTTGAATCCCTCGACGAGACGCTCAGACACGGGATAGAATCCGGGGTCGACCCAGGATGGCTTCCCGGACCGATAAGCTGACATGTAATTATTGAATGCCTGAAGGTAAGGGGGAGTCTTGTCCAACCAAGCGAACGCAGTTAGGTCTGTTTTGTGCGCTGCTTGGAATGGGCCATCTGTTACGCTTGTTGGCAGCGCATAATTGGTGTTTCTGAGGTACTCGGGTAAGTGTTGGAACGATGGGCGAGCAACATCGTAGCTATAGTGGAAGTTAGTTATCCCGTAAATTATACAGGGAAAAAAAGAAGGGTAGAACAGGGGAGGGGGGGAAGGGGGGCAAGCAGGATGTCAGGAGTCTCACTTGAGACTCCTTGGGAACAAAGGAGATGATAGGAACAAAGGAGATGATAGGAACAAAGGAGATGATAGGAACAAAGGAGATGATAGGAACAAAGAGGATGTTTGTATGTAGCTCTGGCTTCAGAGCTACCTTATTTAGAGTTCCTTGGGAAACAATTCGTTGTTTCCCCTACCATATGCTCTACGACGTGACATAGGAACTCTTAGAAGAGTAAGAAATCTTATGTGATATATGAATGTCACTAACAGGAATAAGATGCCGTCTCTATATCTGGGCTCCGAAAGAGCGTCTGACAGCGTGGTATTGGAGTACGTATTCTCGCTTTTCTCATTGATTACGTTCATGGCAGCGAGATGCCTCATGATTCGTACTGATCATTCATAATTCGTCAGCTCTTCTTGCGCTTACGTTAGGTGAGACATGGGCCGGCTTTACAAATCAGGTTCTCATCTGCGCTGGTCTTTAGCGCAAGCTCCTTCGCAGTAATACCAGCTTCGCCACTCTCTTTCAAGTGATCGAATATCTTGAGATCGATTGCCGTGCGGCAGTTGGCCGCCTTAGCTGGCTGAAGGGGTTATATTAGCGAAGTTCCATCTTCACATATGCTGAAACAAGAACTTACTTCAGCCCATCCCATTCGCATGATAGACTCGCTAGGCAACTCTAACTTGGAAATCAGGTCATAGCTGAGGCTCATGAGCTTCTCGCGGGCGCCTGGCGTGTTCGCCTTGTATGAAGCGCCAGCTGTTTGAAGCTGCGAGAGAATGGTATCAACCTGGGATGGATCCTGGGCCATTTTCGTTATGCTAGGATATGCTATGATGGAATTAAGTGAGTTCCTATGAGTTCTGATATTGACAAACAAATATTTAGGTATTGTTCTAGTTGTTTGAGACTTTACATAAATAGTAAATACCTACCTAAGTGGGTAAGTGCCGTATCCAGGTTAGATTCGGTACCTATTTAGTAGAATCAAATATCGTCAAGGGCTCTCTACATAGTATGTAGGATGGTTACAATATAGGTATTTTAGCGTGGCCAAATGCATGGCTGCACGGCTGCATGGCTGCATGGTAGAATACCGATAACCATTTTGGTCCATATCAACTAATGAAAGGGTGCGCGCGAAAGGTGAACGCCGCCTTCATGCATCTAAGATAGAGAGATATGATATTCATATACGATTACCATATTCTTTAAGACGTATAAGCGCACATGATCTATATAGTTGTAAGATAACGCCGAAGGATAATCGGCCTAAAGCTTACTTTAGTTAAGACGTATCCACTACCTACCTCCCAGGACTCAGGAGGTAACTATGGTGAAAAGAGCTACGGGTTAGTGAGGTTACTATGTAGTACTTGGTTGCTGATGGCGCAGTCAGATACCTGTCGAAGGTTGCAACTTGCAAGAGAGCCCAGATCCATGCCCGACCCGGCCAACCTGGCTGCTTGCGCCAGCTTAACCACTCGTTTTTTCTTCCCCTGTCTCTTTCATCTCTTGAGCTTCCTGAGACGTCTAGACTCGAAAGAATAGAGAAAGGCACAGGTAATTAGATGCTACTTTAGAACCCGAGAACGAAGTGTTGCTAAGATAGGTAGGTAGAGGTAGGTACCTAATGATTCAGCACTTATTAATTTTAGGTAGGTACCTAGGTATCTATCTTAGATTTGTTGAGAATTCCTGGTAAACCTAACCACGGCCGTTGTCCCCATGTGCCGTGGAGATCAACGTCATGCCATCGCCAAAGCAGTAAGAACCATTCTGTATAGAGTTCAAAATAGGAACAAGTCTGTGAGGTAGTGGGTATATCATGTAAACAAAAAAAAAAAAAAAGCTATAGCTAGTGTTCGTTAGTCTGTTCGCTGGGTATCCTATATTTACACAAGTGCGAATATTTTTACATGGGCGTTTCGAAGTCGCAAGGTAGTAACTTTTAAATAGTTTCGCCCCCAAATTCTTGGCATTTGTAGATCTTAACAGTTTTCCGATATCGTAGATCCAAGATGCCGCGATTTTTCAGTCGTCTATTCGAACCCAAGCCCCGTTTCTAAGCTCATGTCGGGTAAGTTCGACTTCGTCGGTTATGTGGACCCCAGGTCCATGGATCGCACCGCCCCCAGAAACCGATATGCTGGCGCTATGAAGTTGTGATGATACCTGCCCGCCTTTTGTTCGGCCGTATGGCAGCGAACTTCTCACTGTAGAACTTGCAATGTACCGCCGGAAAAGTGGTCCATATGTTGGAATCGAAGCTGCGAGGATACCAACGAGGAGCTCGGCAGCAGATACGAATCCTGGACGGACGTTATCCCCTTAAGAAGAGATTAGACATTTGCGATTCAACAGAAATATAATGTTGTTCCGAGTTAGACTTACAGCTTACATCTGCTGTCGAACTCACGACCAGACTATATGCCAACCTGACCACGCTGACGATGCAAGCACTGTAGACAAGAGAGAATGTTAGAACGTGGTCATTTATCAGAAAAAAAATATATCGACCAAATAATCATATCTTACCTGCTGCCCGTGGCGAAAATGAAAACCAGCTGGATCCTCTTGTTCTTCGTGACTTGTAATCGCAAGATCATAGGAATAGGTAGAGCAAGGATGACGAAGTCCGTTATAACGTTGATCACACCAGCGACAAGAACCAGCACCCCATAGTTGATGCAAAATCCGCCTTCAATAGACGTATCCCAAGAAAATTCGATCGGAGTACACTGGAATATCGATACGACGGTTGCCGAGATGCACCAGGCAGCGACGAATGCAGACACTAACCAAAGAGAAATTTGGAATCGCCTGGAAGAGAAAATTGAGCCGTAGAAGCTTAGAATGCTGAATTTTATGAAGCCTATGCAGACGTAGTAGAAGACTTCGAGGATGATGCCCCACTGGATCGGTGTTAGTTAGTTACCTGTTAGTTTGGACTCGGAATATTTATTCGCAACTGACAATACGGAGTTTCCTCGCATCCGTAATGAAGAGGATATGTTTCCCTAGTCCGTACACTGCCCCTAGCGAGAAGCTGACAAGAGCACCGATATAAGCGATCTTTAACGAAATAAAGAGTTAGTCTTTAAAAATTCTTCGTAGAAGATTTCGAATTGGGTTATACGTACCCAGGCTATCGTCATTAACCAGTCGCTTGTTTTTAACGCTATGTGGCCGTGTGCTACATAGCGCGCCCAGAATCGAAGAAGTAGGACAAAAACGGAAGCGACTCCAGTTACTATGCAGCATGCATATATGTTGGCTACAAGACTGTCATCCTTATGCTCCAACATATAGGCTATGTCCTCTTCCGTTAATGGTTTCGCCATGTTGGACTGAAAGACAAGGACGACGACGACGACGACAACGATAACAGATTGGAGTCGACGTCCAAAGTCCGATGATGGCTGATAATATCGAGGTGAGACGGGATACTCTTTCAAAAGTAGATTACTCGGGGGGAAGCGCATGTTACATAAGAAGAGATACCGAAAAGGCCAATAGCAAGTCTTAAGTCAGCTTACGGACTAGCTGGGCGGGATGATGGTGGATGATGGCGGATGATGAGGATGGCATCACATAGCCAGGTTTCATCGCTGCAGAAAATTGTCATGTCAGGTACCTATTCAGGTTTAGGTATTAAAGGCTTATAGGACTAAAAATGAGTTTGCTCAACGATGTAACGGTTTACAGGATTCAACTCCATCAGTACCCATACCGCGTGCGATAGGAATATGCCTACCTAACCCCTAACCTATGGGAGGAGACCTATAAGAATCTATGGGCCAGGTACCCACGTGTATATCTATTTGAGGAAAATTCATTGCTGTTGGCCTTTTTGTTGGTTGGCGTCGTCGAAGTGGGTAAAAAATAAGCCGAATAAAGCAACTGTAACTCTGTTAGAAATATATTTGCACACCTTGCAGCCGGGGGAAAAAAAGGTGGCAATGAAGGTGACATGTAAAATAAATGTTAACTAAATAAATTCTGAACTTCCATTTAAATGCGGAAAGTTGCGTAAGTTAATTTGCATTTAAGATTCTTACCTCCGTACGAAGTATTCTATCAGTAAAATCCTCCCTCTTACTCCCAATATCTTAAGTTCCAACCCATCTTATAATCCTCACTGGGACTACGTAATTGGTGTTGGCTAAGCTTAAAGTCGATCATTGCTTTTATTTACCTAGGGACCCTCCCACTGTCATACTAGGATCTTGGTAACCTACCTTACTTAACTACCTGACCTACCCTTAGGTATCTATTATTAGAGTTATTCATTGCTGTTTCTATTCATCAAACACCGGGTCTCAATATGCCGTTATACACTCAGCTACCCGATACTATCCAAGAGGTGGATGTGATCGTCGCTGGAGGTATGATTGAAGCCATTCGCAGATCTTTAACGGGGAATTAAGTCAATTGACAAGGAATGTAGGTGGTACTGCCGGCTGTATCGTTGCGTCTAGACTCGCGGACAAAGACCCCAACTTGAGTATCTTGGTCATTGAAAGTGGACCGAACAACTATAATGAGACTCTTATCATTCACCCGGCCTTTTTCTTCGCCAACTTGGCGCCTGGATCAAAATCGGTCGCATTCAAAGTGGGCAACAAGTCTGAGCATCTCGCCGGCCGAGAAATCGTTGTTCCTACAGCCAATATCCTTGGCGGTGGTTCTTCCGTGAACTTCTCGCTATACAGCCGAGCTCAACGTACCGACCTCGACTCTTGGCAGACCCCCGGATGGTCTGCAGACGAACTACTGCCATACATGAAAAGGGTATCTTAAGCGTCTCTCGCATGGATGTTCTAAAAAGCTAAAGGTTGCAGATTGAAACATATCAAGGTCCGGACTCGAAAGGTCTACATGGCACTGATGGCCCAATTGTCGTTTCCAGTGGCTCGTACCGCGCCAAACGAATCGAAGATGACTTCCTCGACGCCCTGAAGGAGGTCGGCTACCCCGAAGTTGAGGATATGAACGATCTGGATACCTGCAACGGCGCGCAGCGTGCCATGCGCTACGTCGCCCCAGACGGAATGAGGCAAGACGTTGCTCATTCATACCTTCACCCCAGACTTAGGGACGGAAAGCACCCTAATCTCCACGTTCTCGTCGAGTCTACAGTGGTGCGACTTGTACTCGAAAACGACCGCGCTGTAGGCGTCATTTACCGACCGAACTCTGCGTCATCCGCCGCCGAGGATCGAACTATCAAAGCCAAGAAGCAGGTCGTCCTCTCTGCTGGGGCTTTCGGCACTCCAGCTATCCTAGAAAGGTCTGGAATCGGCAACCCTGAGATATTGAAGAAAGCAGGTGTGCAGCCCGTCGTGGATCTTCCTGGCGTTGGAATCGGTTACGAAGATCATCATATCGTCGGATACCCCTACCGGTCGAGCTTGAACCCGGACGAATCCCACGATGCGATCAACGGTGGTCGATTCGATATGGAAGACCCCGAGACCCGTAAGCTTCTGGGCTGGAACGCCGCAGACATTACCTGCAAGCTTCGGCCGACGGAGAGCGACGTTGCCGCGTTGGGTCCCGACTTCCAGAAGGTGTGGGAGAAAGAATGGAAGCATAACCCGAACAAACCCATGATAGTCATGGCAGCCTACAATGCGTAAGTCAAAAAGAGGAGAAAAAAAAAGTCGCCGATATATTGCTGTTACGATTCTAACAATAGCTAGCTTCCCCGGAGTACCCATTGGCCTCCCCGTCGCGCAATACTTCGGCCACAACATATTCACACCTTACCCCTTCTCGCGCGGCCACGTGCACATCACGGGGCCGAACCTAGAAGACAAGATCGACTTCGAGTCCGGCTTCTTCGCGGATGACGGGGAGATCGACATCAAGATGTGCCGGTGGGCGTACAAGGTGCAGCGGGAGATCGCGCGGCGCCGGAGCGTGTACCGGGGCGAGGTAGCGCGGGGCCACCCAGCGTTCGCGGCGTCGTCGCAGGCGGCGATCGTCGAGACGGAAGGGCCCCTCCCCGCGCCCGTCCGCAACATCGAGTACACGGCGGAGGACGACGCGGCCATCGACCGGTTCCTGCGCGAGAACGTCCAGACCACCTGGCACTCGCTCGGCACCTGCAAGATGAACCGGCGCGAGGACCTCGGCGTCGTCGACGCGAGCTTGAACGTCTACGGCGTCGGCGCCCTCAAGATCGCTGACCTCAGCATCTTGCCCCGCAATATCGGCGCGCACGCCGCGAATACGGCTATGGTCATCGGCGAGAAGGCCGCCGACCTGGTCGCCGACGAGCTAGGGCTCGCGCAGTAAGTACCTAGGTACCTACCTAAGTGAGAAAAAAAAAGGGGGGGGGGACAACTTTAGGTACATGCGATAATGCGCCTAGGCTTTAGCTACAGCACATCTTAGGTACAATACCTTTAGATTAGGTAGTTGGTTGTTGTTAATCAACACACTGCGTTAGAGGTGCAACTAACTAAACCAACCAACATACTATGTACCTAACTTACTGTCTTTTAATTGTGATGGCGCGATATACATTAGCTACCTAAACTACTTGGCTTTGATAACCGGGTGTTGGAATCCTACTGGTACTCTACGTTGCTTTGCATAAACTGTAGTCTTGTCTGTAAGGTTACCATTCCGGGTGCCTGCCCCCTTCCCCTCCCTGTAATAGAAGAATCATTATGATTGTTGTTGCTACCACCTCGGAGATGCGATGAAACTCCAGCGGATAATTCCGAAGCGGATTGATTTTGTAAGGGGTTGGGTGGTGTTTGTAAATTACCTATGCGACGTGCATACTGACGATACCTCGGTTTACTTGAATTGGGTACCTACCAAGGTAGATACCTGGGTAAGGACCTAAGGTAAATATTGACTTGTCTAGATAGGTACCTTAACCAATATATATTTTGTTATTCGTACGCACTCGGTGACGGTTCTTGTAGGTAATAGCACTACTAGTATGAGGTTATATCAATCTTCATTAAGATGATTGCCTTACCTTACGTATCTAATTTATTCTCCTGTACAGAAATAAGCTAACCATTTTTTTTTAAAAAAAAAGGGGGGGGTTTCCACTAACTACTATGACCGCATTGTATCTCTTTATTATTCCGCGAAAGGTATGTGGTAGGTAGTAGCCATTGGCCTACCGTAACAGGTATTCTCCAATCGAATATTCCTAACCTAATTCCTACGACCATCCGTCCATCGTCCATCCAATCCATACATCCTCGTGCGACGGAAAGCTGAAAACATTTTGAAGCACTGCAACTGCAACCCAACCTCGCTGCCTCGACGAGTTTAGTGTGACTTTCTAGAAAATTGCGCCGTTGCATCTCGTCATATCGCTTAAGCTGGTATTCGCTTATGAGGTACCTAATGTGTCTTTGCCCTATCCTGTCCTGCTCCTGTGCCTTACACCATTACAACCTCACCCCGCATATACTATCTGCCAATAGGGTGTCCGAAGTGGGAACTTCGGAAGCGACTTTTTTGACGCAGGCTGAGCTTGCATGTGCGTGTACTTTGTATAGTGTGTATGTGTATGGTGTTGTATCGAAGGATCGCTGCTAGCCTGGTGTAGGCGGTCATGTTATAGGCAACCCTTTTTTTCTTCCCGAACTAACCGCGATCCTCCGGTTGCATCTCACTATTTCCTACCAAGATAGAAGCTATACTCCGTACGGAATAATCACCTAAAGATGCCATACAGAGATAACAGGTTTCCGTTGTTATATAGTCCGGATAGTGTCCCTAGTTAGTGTAGAACTACCGAAACTATTAACCTAGTAACCTCCCATATCTGGCCCGATTGGCAAATGGATTACTGCCTAGGGTGAAGCTAGCATTATGCATATTTCCATAGTCTATCCTTCGACGTCACGGCGGTAAATCCTCCAAGATCCAGGGCTAAACTCAAATAGTTAAGTTCTGCTTATCCCGGGGTACCTCGTAGGCTCGTACATCTCTCTCCCACGCTGTAGGTACCGATGGCAGACCCGACAAGCATTAATTCCAAATTTCTACTTGTGCCAAAGCCGAACCCACCTCTCCACGTCCTGGCGGCTGATGCTCGCGGTCTGTTGTAACGCGGCGCTTGCGGAGATAGAGTTCTCCATCGCAAATTCGGGGAACACCTTTCCCGCGAGGTAGTCTTCGTAGAAGTCGATCAGTCTTAGCGCCGGGCTAGCATCATCATCGTCGTTTTTGTTGTTGTTGGCTGCGCCCTGTTGATCGTCGGCTTGGCGGGCCTCGAGCTTGTTAGCGGATTGGCGAAGTCGTTGCAGCCACTCCTCGCGGGAGACTACCGAGAGCGGGGTATTGCTGACGCTGACGCTGGCGCTGGAGTTGGTGTTGGCGTTGGCGTTGGCGCTCTCGCGTCGATCCGACCCTAGCTTGTTGTAGTCTTTGGATACTTCCACGATCGCAGGGAGCAGATGAGCCCAGGTCGTGCGCTTTGGGTTCATGAGATGGTAGACTTGAGGACGGCTCAGCTGAAGCTCGTCACTTGATATAGCAGCAGTAGTAGTAGTAGCCCTCTTCAGTAGAATCTCAATTATGGCGTCCGCGAGCACGTCGACGGGAATCCAATCGACATCTTCAACGTCCGTGTCGTACGCCCCTAAGGAGTCCGGAATGGCGCCGAGACGCATAGAGCTAACAATGAGCCGCGGGATCCACTCCTTGGGATTCCATCGTCCCGGGCTGCGAGTTGCACCGCATACCTGACCAATTCGCGCTACTATGACAGGTACGTGTAGCTTTTCCGCGGCGTGTTTGAGCACGCGCTCGGCAACGTACTTGCTCTCTCCATAGCCAGCCGCGGCCGGGACAGACAGGCCATCGAAGATCTCCTCTGGGACCGGTTTTCCAGAGCTGATGGCCAAGTCCATGACGGCACTTATGGAGGACAGGAACATGACCGTCGGACGGTGAGCGCTTCGAAGAGAGAACTTGTATAAGTTCTCGACGCCTGCGAGGTGCTTCGCGAACGCGGGCAAGGGGAGGTTGAAGTCGACGGACCAGGCATTGTGGATGATAAGCGTAGCCGACGAAGATAGGGCCTTGACCAGTTCCGGCTCGAGATCGAAAGTCTCGTGAGACAGGTCGGCTTCGATGAAGTGGACAGTTTTTGGAAACTCCGTGGGCAGTTGAGGGTCAACTTGTGCGTTATTGATGCGCTGCCTTGAGGCCGAGTCGGGGCCACGATTTAAACAATAGATAGTACCAATGCGATCATTCTCCATGAGCGCCCGTAGGATGTAAGCCCCTATAGAACCTGTTGTTCCCGTCACAATACAGACATGAGAAGTAATTTCACCTTGCTGTCCACTTGTCGCCTGGGACTGAGTCCCAGCTAAATCGTCGATACGGCGTGTGAAGAGATCTATGGTTTCTTCCAGGCTTTCTCTACTCTTATCCTTCTCGCCTGCGTGATGAACATGTCCTTTAGCTGCTCTCTGGATTGCTTTGGCCAATCCGATAGGCGTAGGGTTCGAATAGATTGTAACCGGTTTCAGATTCTCGACATTGGTTTTCGACCTAAGGTTTCGGCATAACCGTAAGATCTGAAGGGAGTCAATACCGCGAGCCAAGAGATCGTCATTTATTCCTATTCCGTGAAGTGTCGTAGATTCTTCGCAGGCGTCGCGCACCGCGGCGAGTACGGCCTCTAGATCATCCAAATCGATTTGACTGTCCACCTTGGTAGAAGACCCGACGTCCGTAGATTCGAATTCTTTATACAGTTTGTTGATTTCTTCGGTGTAGAGATCGAGGGTGGCCTTTCTCATCATAGTGCCCTTAGGTGTTCGTAGAAACGGTTTCTCGGGCTTCGAAAATATGACGTGCGTTGCTGCTATCCTAGCATGCGACGGTGCTTCCTGGTTGGCTTGTTCGATCGTCTGCCATAACTTCTTAACCCATTCTTCCCTATCCTCGTGTGACAGCGCCCTTTTGTCCTTAAGCTCTATAAGCACTCCGGCCTCAAATCGCTGGTTTCCGAATACCACTGCTCCTTCGATATCCAGGTGCTTGCTCAAGTGACTTTCATATGAAACGGGGTTTGTCTTTTCGCCGTTGAGGAAGACAATAATGTCGTCTGCCCGTGATGCATGCGCCCACATGCCAGGGATCGTAGGGTGCTGCTTAAATAGGTCACCAGTGTGGAACTTGCTTTGCTCTGGGTATCTGTCAAAGACAGGCTGGTAGGGTAGGGTGGCCTCCGACTTCTCTATGACAAGTTCGAAAGTATCCTCGGTCAGAGGCTCAAGCACGGCGCCAATTGTAGGATGGAATCCCATATACTCCCAGTCCTTCGCCTTGTCCAGCTCGTTCGGATATATAATTGGGAGCCCTCCGGTTTCGCTTGATCCTAAAAAGCTCGCCAGTCGGAGCTTCTTTGCGATGATGTCTCCCAGCACTTTCGGTAGGGCCCCTCCAGCAAATACAATCATCTTGAGTCGAGAAGCAATCTCATCCAACATCGCCTCGTCTTTAGCTAGTGCTTCCAAGGTAAACGGTGCCGTCATCGCCCAATCGGCTTCTACATTGCGTGAGATAGCTAAGAGGCTCTCGACCGAAGGGGGACCTAGCCATGATGGGATGACCACAACACAGCGGTTATAAATGGCGTTGATAATGCCAAGCTGGACACCTCCGGGGTGGAAAAGAGGAAGTACGAGAATATGCGTATTATGGCCCATGTAAGATGATAAGGGCGTATAGCCACTTGGAGGCTCAAGCAAGATCGTCCTGGCTATTCGCAGAACAAATTCGTGAGTATAGATGCACGGTTTTGGGATTCCAGTGGTGCCAGAAGTATGGCAGACGAAGCACCCATCCCGTTTGGCCTTCTCCAGGGTCGCCTGGTAGAGATACGGCTCATGAGGATGGTTAAGAAGATGTTCCATTTCAGCCATCTGCAACACCCGCATCTCTCTCTTCTGCAAGATTTCATCTACGGCGGGGGGTTTCGCCCCGGACACGATGATCTTGTTACATTCTAGATTTTCTAGTAGCGACAAGTGCGCCACCACAGTGTTGCGGGGACTGGTAAGAAATATCTAGGTAGGTATGAACATGTTAGCATCAGACTGGTAAACTTCAGTTCTTAGACTCTTGGGTTATCCCAACCTTATATCCTGCCTTGATAGCGCCTATAAAGGCGAAGACGTAACGAAAGTCATTAGGCCCGATATACGCGATGGTAGGCGTGCGCACTGGATCCCCCCGCCCAACTTCGTCCTCCAGCCATCGCGCCACTCCATTTATAGCATTGGCTAGTTGACGATATGTGACATCTTTAAACCCGGCATCATAGTTTGACGGATCAGCTGGATATTTTCCATAGAGCGACTCTGGTTCCGTCGCAGCAATCTCATCGACGAGGTCGGGTAGAAGTTTAGGGTCCTCTGGGTGAGCCATCGTTTTGTTTTATATCGCGCCTCTTCCTTGTTAAGATATCGGCGGGGGATGATATACTAAGAGGTAGACTTCACTACCCAACTGCGGATTCGGGTTCGCAACTTGTCTCAGATGCCGGTAGGCTAAAGCCGACGTACTATCGGCACCTATGCGGCCTATCTGATCCTTTTCCTTGTTGTAGGATCCTAATTACATACCGGTGGCGAGCACTAACGTACGATCCTGCACAAAAAGGCCAGGCACATTTACCTACCTAAAATAACGTAGCCAAGAATTATAAGCCGTGGGAGCCGTGGGGCACTACCTGCCTAGGTTGAGGTATATATTATATTAGGTACCTGGTATTATATATTACACTGCGAATCAGCTTACACACTAAATCCACATGATGAATCTTATGATACTAACGATAATAATATCATCAATACAATCCTTCTTGCATTTGCTTCATATTTGTAAATACCTACCTCTATGGTGGCTTAGATTTAGATAGGTCTTCTCCGAACTATTCCTAATTTTTATTTTATTTTATTGATTTTTGTTTTCTTTTGCATAATACCCTTTTCTCCCCCCCCCCCCCCCCCCCCATAATGCAAAATTAATAACTGTCAACAAGATGTCGCGATAGCCTTAATCTGTTTATTTTCATGTTTGCGCGTTTCTGCTTTTCTCGTCGCCATGTCCGAATCACCTAGCTTAGGCCCTTTTTTTGAGCGCATAAACATAGCCTTTATCACGGTTGCAGCTGTCTCGTTTGCATTGAGGGCATATGTACGGATATTTCTTATAAAAGCGTTTGGGCAAGATGATTATTGGATGACAGCTGCATTGGTAGGTTTCTTCCAAGTGCCGCAGACTGCAGCCCCCAATGTGACGAATCACTGGAACTAAGAGAATGCTAGGGAGTTTATATAGCCAACACCACACTCGCTATTCTAGGTGCGAAGTATGGGTCGGGACAACACATATGGCATTTGGATGACGAGCAAATCGAAATGGCCCTAAAGGTTGGCAATGATGTTCTATGCTGCTCCTCAGGAAGCTTACCTGGTTACCTGGTTTACTAACGACGAAATAGTTCACATACCTGACTGAGATAACGTACGGAACTACGATGATACTTACCAAGATGTCTATTGCAGCATTCCTGTTACGAGTAACACCGGATCGCATCCATCGAAGGATAATATATGTTGCCGCAGGCTTCACCTGCGCTGCCGGCTTGACGTTAGTGTTCATCGTCATGTTTCAATGCAAACCAGTATGGTCATTCTGGGATAAAAAAGGACCTGGGTCATGTTTGCCCACAGACGCGATTCTCACCAGCACCTACGTCTATAGCGCCTTCGCCATCCTGACTGATTTTACCTTCACGTTTCTGCCCATGTACCTCATCTGGAAACTCCAAATGGACATGAAGACCAAGCTAGTTCTCGTGCCGATCATGGGCATGGCGTTCATGTGAGTACATGACACGCTGCAGGTCTAGTTAGCGATCATCCTGGCTAACGAGTTCCAAAGGGCAAGTCTTGCTGTTATCATTCGTCTCCCTTACGTTCAGGACTTCAAGAAGGAAGATTTCCTGTGTAAGTTCATGTTGCCAACTCATCCCTCCTTACCGAAACGTTTGCTGACCGACGCCAGATTCCACCACCCACTTTGGGGTGTGGTCAGCAGTCGAGCAGAGTCTGGCGATCACGGCGGGTAGCTTAGCTACGCTCCGCCCGCTGCTGCGCAAAGCAACCGGCCGTTTCAAGACCTTACTGCCGTCCTTATGGAATAGCGTAGATGCCGCAACGCCCCATAGTATCGACTCTGGAACGGCGCAACTCACCACCAACAGGCCCGAGGGGTACAAACTTCAAAGTCGAAATCCGTAACTAACTCATTCATGCTGTTGATCTCCCTTTCTTCGGTCCCTTTCGTGATTCGTGACTTCCATTCCCTGGATTATCGAAAGGACAGTTCAACTGGGTAGGGCGTTTGCTTGTCTTCTGTCAGCGAAGAAGTATTCAAGGCCGACGCGGGTTTATGAGTTTATGACACCAGCTGTCAAGAACGAGCCATTGGGATGATAGAAACGCATTGTCGATCGCATTCCTTCGACCTAACGTGGTATCAAGAGCAGACTGCACCACCTTATCGTGGCTTCCCACCTCCCACGTAATTGTAGTATTAGGTAGAGGCGAAGTCCAAGTAACGTTGGATTAGGGTGAGTGGGCGTCCCGTATTACTTCTCGCGCTAAAGATTATTAATACGTAGTGAGCACAAGAGAACAGACTCCATTGCGGCCGTGCAAAAAAAAGATGATCCCCTACCTACCTACATTGGGGGTCATAACACACGGGCCTTCTCTCATGGCGGATTGTCAGATCCTGACAAGGTCCCTAGTCTAGGATCTCAACGGCCGAATAACCCCATCAATACACAACACAAAACACGTAAGCGGATATTAAATTATGTACTATGTATGACGGAGAATTTGCAGACGCCCAATATCTTTTTTTTGTTCCAACCCTAGCGTCTAGTGGTAGTGTACCGCAGCAAACCTCGACGTATCCCGCACCAATCCCCATCCACACGTCGGCCCTACAGCAATCAGGTCTTCGTCGGCGTGGCTCTTGCTAGGTTAGGAAACATTACAGGCGCTTACCTTACCTTACCTTACACCCCGTCAGGCACTTACAATGCACTATTATTCCTCCGATTTTCCGATGGAACGCGCTTCTTCTTAACGCGACTTGTAAAGGGGGGTATACGTCAAGGCGGTGAGGCTTAGACTTAAGGTTTTCCCTTCCTCCCTCGCCGCAGGCTTCCGTCATGGCTGCTGATATGTATGAAGCACGAGGAGGGGAACGGGTATGTAAGAGCGAATATCGGACCGGTCATCTTTTTGGGTCCGGGGATATCAACCACGCGACGTTACTTCGTTTCTTCTGCCGGTATCTTCGGAAGAAGGAGCACACTCCGGCGTCCCATGTTATTATTTTCCATACGGCGGCTCGGACCCATCCGTCGTGCATGGCATAACTACTAACTAGGTAACTACATACATACTACACCAACTGAACATGGGCATGGGCATAGGCATAGACGGGCGCAAGAAGAAAAGATATCCACATCTACCGCATGCCATTCCCATGAAACGGAGACATGGGTGATGAGCTTACCATGGATTCGCCCAAAATAAAGATCTTACTCTAGAAGCTATGGAGCCCCCTTCCCTACTACTGGGGGCGTCAACCAAAACCAAGCCCTAGATGTCGATGCTTATCCCCTGAGCTGTCTAAGTCGCACGCAAATTGCCGTGTGGTATATTAGTGGGACGGTATCTGGGCTGGGCAGGATCCTCAGAATAATAGTGAATACGAATTCAAACGTGGCAATAGTGTCTGATCTGATTTGGGTAGGATAGAGGCAACCTATCTCCCCTAGGACCAGGTAGAACAACCTTAATAAACAGAATCCCCTTATTATAGAAATGGGCTCCCTCTTTTAAGCACCGGGTAGAACCGTATTCGTACGTCGAATTTCCAGATATAGCATAGAGATCTCTGATACGGTTAGGTATACGATATATGTATCTCATATTTCGCTAAATTTAGGTGCTTAAAGTAATAGGAGTTACAGACAAGATTGTACACGGGCTCAAGATAGGACTTGTAGTGACAAGAACACCTGGCACTGCACTTAGTTGGTACACTGTCACCATCGTTCCCGTCGAGGTCGGTACAACGCAGTACAAACCAACTCGTCTTTGGCTACTTCCATTAACTACCTACCCCCTATGTAGTTGCAGTCTCAGACTAGCCAGTCAGGTACTTACTGACATAGTGTATAAGTTCAATCTCACCGTGATTTTCAAACCCCCTTAGTTTAGGTACGGGCTTAAACACATAATCAGATAAAACACCGATGTGTGGTATTTTGTGGGTTGGCTATGCCATAGTGCGAAAATATGTACCTACGAATAGCCTATCTCAACAACCTTCTTGAGGACTACCCCCTTTTGCATTTTGGTACCAGTACGATAGACTCACTATGTATTGTTTCTTCCCATGAAAGGGGGAATACCTACATGGTGCCAGGGCAGGTCTCCATAGCCAAGAGTAAGAAAGGCAGCTAGATGCTCTGGCACCGTACGAGCCCAACCAATTCCTCTAATCATCAAAGCCCTACATACCTACCTAGGTAGTGTGTATCACATCCAATACAGATGGGGGGCTTCTCAACTGCCGGTCAGGGGGGAACAACTAGCGACGGGGAACAAAGCCTGTCTCCTCGGAAAGCATTGAACCTAGTAGCTCTTAGAACGACCGGCAATCAAGGTCTTGGCAATACTAATTCGCCTCTCTAGGTATTTTGTCGTTGATTGCATTGGGGACAAGGGGAAGACAAAGAGTGACTTTTTACATTGTGTGGGAGGCCGTATTCATCTGATCGATAACAGACAAAGGCCGAGAAGACTCCTGCGGCTGAAAAGTCTTCCGTAGGTGGGAGAGCGCCTCATTCGACAAGGCGAAACCTTATGACCTTTGCCGTACCCAGCTTCTACCTACCCCAGGTTTTAGGGGAAGAAAAAGGAAGGGTCCTTCCCGAATCACGTCCATACATACCAATCGGGGTTTGTAAAGCGGTGAGATGTGATACAAGAAAAAAGTCCGCCATCGTGACATTCTTTTGTCAGACCATAGATGGTTTCTTACCTCAGCCAGGCTCGCAAAACGTGAGCTCTGGGGGAGATCGAACGACAGATTCTACCATGAAAACTCGATTGGAAAAATTTTGCTCCAATTGACGTAATATTGTCGATGTGGAAGAGTAGTTCCGTGGGTTGCAATAGTACCATTATAACTAAAGTGGTACTTCCAAGTAGGCTATTCGAAACGAAGTACCATACCTCCGTTGAAATTTCGGTGATTACCCATCGTACCAAGGCATACAACGCGCCAATGTAGTAGTATATCGTCACGTCGTATGTATATGGTTATGTATATGGTATGAACGGTATCGACGCGTCGAGAACTTGCATAGGTAGCAAGGGCCCAGATGGAATAATATGGTGCATCTCCTGACCAGCTTGCCCTGCAAGGCGACGGTATTATTGGTTCCACGACCAGCTCAGCTCTTCTGCATGAATGCGATAATGGTAGGAAATTTAAGGATTGCCAGCTGGTGATCGAGAAGGCAATATTCAGAAGCAACTAGCCGTGGCCAGATCGGCCACCGGGTGTCGCGCAAAACGCTGGACGACCATCCTAGTTTCCCCCCTTTCCTTGTTTTCTGGGCCGAGTGAGTTAATGGTTTGGGGAGTTTTCACCTCGTACAGCATGTTAGCTTCATAAAAGCGACTAGGTATGAATTACATTGCCGTCGTAGAACCAAAGGTATTATGCCAGGCACATCTTTTTTTTTTCTCCGGAGGCAGTGTACTTGGAACAAAGATTTGACTAATCGTAACGTTCGTCCCGAGGTTCAGGAAAAAATCCCAAAGCAAAAACTAGATGCTAAGGTAACGGATATGTCCGGGTATTCCGGGCTAGTATTCAGATTCTGTCTGCTAGAATAGTTCACTAAGAAGCCATCGTGACTACTGACGAAATACGTCCGAGTGATAGAATGATACCCTTGTATACATACCTTGTAACTAGCCTCCGAGAGGCTGGACAGCCCTAACTATATGGGGAACTTTGGCCCTACGGAACACTAATAGATCAATATTTTATGTACGTGGCCAAGATGTCGGCCCCAGGTATTTTTGCTTACACATTGAGATATCAGCCCTTTTGGGTGGGTTTCTTTGCCTTGATATTCCCACTTGGTGTTCTAACTATACTAACCCTACCAGGGGCTAAACCGGGCTAGGTATTAATGTGTGCTCATTATGTATAATAGCGAGTTTCAGGGCTGTTATGCGTGACATATCTTAATCTGCCCAAGTACCTAACCTCGTAAGCTTGAGTTGTTGTCATAGTTACCCTCGAGTACCTAAGCCGGCGTACCATGTAAGACAGGGGATTTGCCTTAAATATGGCCGGTTGACTTTGACTGGTGGAAGAACGAGTTGAGTACAAAGAAAGTTGAAGAGGCCGTTGAGTTAAACGTCTAAGATGAGAAAGGTCCCGCGGATCTGGAGGAACGATTGCCGTTCCATGGAAGACGAATATGGCGCTCTCTCCGCCAATTGAAAATTGAGTTTACTTAGGTACCTTGAATGACAAGATGCCATGAAGGTGGTAGAGCATGCATGTGTAGTGGAGGATCATTGAACTATTAGGTGGTCCTAATCCCAGTCAGTCTCTTTAGTGGTCCTGGGCTGAGTCCACTACACTGGATGGTGCCGTATTAGGACCAAAGCGTAAGGGACCACCAAAAAAGGACCGCCATGGAAAAATAAAGGAAAATGGAAAATAAAAGACAGAAAAAAAATTAAGATGAAAAATTGAGGGTTCAATACACTAAAAGTTTAGTCAGCTACCTACCCGTAAGTTGGTCACACTAAACAGGCGAACATAGGCAAATCTAAATATAGTTGCGCCGAAGGTTAACCGACGAATCGGCTGCTTGCGCTGGTGTCGTCATGGAAGGTCATGACAGCAAGAACGAATTCGACGAAGCATTTTTCTGTTCTTTCTAGTCTTTCTTCAACCCTTCTACGCCGCTCCACTTCGGTCCCACCACGGCCATGTGGATATGATCTGATGAAGTTTGAGGACCTAGGCATTTATCGATGCATTCCAGAGTTGACCTCTCACGTGGAAATATTCTAAATAATTATTTTTTCTTTGATTTTTTTCTTCCTCGGTACTTTCAGTTTTCCGGTATTGGTGTTTTTTTGAGGAGTAGGCTTTGAAGCAAACGCCCCTCTTTCCCCCCCCCCCAATTTACTTTCACAGTATGAATAATATCTGACCCCCAAAAATTAGACTGCTGAGGGATTTGGGGAATAACATACCTTAAGGTATATACAGCGTAAAATATGGAGACGACATATGTAGCTGTGATTGGGCTGTTCATGTAAGTGGTAGGCAGGCTAGCCATCCAGGGCAAGCAGAATAGTAACCCTCTCGGGCAGTGTACAGACAAGCAGACAAAATAAGGAAAAGTAATAAATGCAATAAATGCGACTGTGTTGCGTGTGTGGCTAGACCCCCAACGCGTTCAAAGCAAGCTGTAAATTCATCATTGTCCTGCATGCAATTAATTACTCACCGCTTCTGGCCACCCTAACTGGTTGACGGCGCGCAGAAACATATTCCAATCCCGTCGAGGTTGACACCAATCCGCGATACGTGGCGCAAAGGACTGATCTTCAGGCTAAGGGATTGAGATGAACAAAAATAGAGCATCTCAAATGAGCCACCCTCGACCACGCGCATGGCTTATGTTGTGCTATGTGCGGGCGAGAAAAGCAGCTCGCCAATAGTCAAGAAAAGCTAAGGAACGAGTAGAACCGAGTCTCCCGACGATATCCTCACGAGATGACCGCAAGATCTTCGGGGGAGCTG